TTTATAAACATTATTAGTACTATAAAGTACAACATCATAAAAATAATTATATTAAAAATTTGTATTTATATCTATCAGCAAATTTCGTTAAATAAAATATATAAAAATACACTTATACTGTATTTAAATTATTTTTGTATTATTAAATAAAAATTTTATAGTATATATTCTTTAAATATATAGAAAAAAATATTTGATTACTACTTGTGTTGAATTTAATTGAATGCTTTAAATCAATAGTCAATTATTAAGAAATGTCACGTTTAAAATTACATTACATTACATACAAATTGTTTCTTTATATTTAGTTTTTTAATGACATCTCAAATAAATACTGTAAATGTGGGTTCATGAATAAATGGTCCCATGTTTTATTTTTATTTAATTATTACATCTATAGTAAACAAATAGCACAATATATCTTTTTTAAGCAATCAATTTGTATTAAACATTTTTATATTTATAAAACAATTTGTATCTCAAGTATATTTATTGATCAAAATAATTACGGAAACCAAAAATTGATTATTGTAAAAGTGTTATATATTGGTGTTAATGGTTTTATAAGTAAAACATATAAAATTTAATATTATATTGGGTTAAAAATATTTTTTATTTACACAAAACTAAATGTTTATTTTGTTTGCAGAATAGTTATTTAAATATAGGTCTGGAATAAGTTTTAATTTATTTCCTAATAAAATTAAGATTAACTCAAATATATAATACAAATATTGATATATAAATGTGTAGAAAAAATTAGTTACATAAGTTAAATATAATTTAAATCATTTTTCATTTTTATAGTTATAAACAATGAGATAGTCATTCGTTTAGTATATAAAAACGTTAACATAAACAAAATGTTACAAAATTGGTGTTTCTGATTAATTTTATTGCATAACTTAAATTTGGTTTTTTTATTATTGAATAAACAAAATATGATATATATTTTGTACCAGTACACAGAGTACACTGTATATAATATATGAATTTTATGTAGAATTTTATTATATTTACAAATATGTAAATTAAAAATCAAACAAACAATATATTATATAACATATTATACTTAGTTTTATGACTCAAATTCAAAAGAGTAAATTACAGTTTAGCCTTTTTATTGTATCAATTGTCAAAATGACATATTCTTAATATTTATAATCCATTTATTATTTTTTAAAGTTTTGATTTTCAATGAATTCAATTTGTCAATAATAAGGTTAGTATTTTCAACTGATTTTAAAGTTTGATGATATTTTGTTTGTTTAGTTTATGTCAATAAACTAGTATTTGATATTTTCTAAACATATTTACTCTAAATTCATCTATCAATATATAAATTCTAAGCATTATAAATTATTAAATATATAACTATACTAATATATATAATAAAATAATTAATTAAATTAATTAATATAATTTATCATTAAAATAATTTTGTCAATTTTTAATTATACACAAAAAACCATACATTTTTTATATATTATAATATAATAATATTATAATATAATATTATATTATAATAATATATTTCCTGTTTATAAAAAAATAATTATTATTTTGATTAAAAATATCAAATATTCAATTTAAAAAGTTTAACATTTGATTGTAAACATTTTAACATTTAACAACTAATATTAAATTTGTAATTTGATTTTTATCGAAATATTTAATAAATTAAAAAGTATTTTTATTACTTTTACAAATTTTAATTTTACTTTTTACAAATAGTGCTTATTTTCACATAGTATTAACTTAAAAAACATTTTTTTTGCAAATTTAACTATATATTTGACTACTGCATTATTGACAAGTTTTGCAAATAAATGTTTTTTTCAATTTTTAAAAAATTGTTGTTACGGATTACTGAAATATAAAATTTTTTCGTTTATTAGTGTAAATAAAAAATATTATTAAAATTGTTAAAGACATCAATTTGCTAACTATCCAAATGGATCGGCTTAACGCAAATTGACAAATATTATTGCAATGGATTTATTTGAAAATTTTAGAATTTTTTCAAAACAAGATATGATTTTCTAAAAATTCTAAAAATTAATTAACTTTGGTTTAATTTTAAACATTGAATTCAGTTGTATTTTAACATAATTCACAATTATTGAGAGTAAGTATTTAAAATGTTTAGTAGTCTTCACTAACGAACTCTTTTTGAATGATAATATAAAAGTTGTAGCAATTGATGGCTTAAAGTTAAGTTAAATATAGTCTTGAGATAGTCTTAGTTAATCATTTGAATGTTTTTATTTGTTATTTTTTCAAAACATGTGTTCAGATTACAAATATAACTAAATAAAATTTAAGAAATAATTATAAAAATTCAGTTTAGTAGTATAGACATATTTTGAACTTATATATAAAATTATACATAATAATTATTAATTACTAATATAATAATATTTAAATTATATTTAAATTATATACTAAAGTATCAAAAGATTTGTAATAAATCATAAATTTTTAATCTTAAATAACTCAAACTCTATATAACTTTTTAAACATTAGTCTTTAATAGCATTGAAATTTAAAAATTATATAATATAGACAAAATCGCGGAAATGTTTATATTTGTATTTTTACTAATTATAGATTTTTTCCAGATATTATTTTAATAATATTTTGTATGTTTTAACATTTAATTAACATTTAAAGTATTTATATATTTGAAATTTTTAAATGTCTATTTTAATTATGTATTAAATAAGTTCAATACCTATAATCCTTTAAAAATATCTAAATTTAATTTTAACATTCACAACTTTCACAATAATATGTAATATCTTTTACTTTTTAATATTAAAATTGGATAAATATTATTTGTATTATATTTGTCACCATTTGGTTATTATTTATTTGGAAATATGAAAAAATGGCAAAAAAGATGTTTAGTTTAACAATAAAAATGTGTTATTTGAGTCAAACAATTAGTTTCCTCATACAGTATGTGTCCATTAGATCATCAAACGAATGGTTAACAAAACTAATGATCATTACTTGACTGCAGAGTAAATCTCTTTGTAATAACATTTTAATCGTACTGTTTGTGTGAAAAGAAAACTTACTGAACCTAAAAGTCAATTATTTATATATAACTTTAAGAGATTATCAGTATCTAAGTTATGTTACAAACAATGTTTAATATTTAGATACTGTATAACAATTAATATAGTAATATATTATGATAAATACATTTTAATTTATTATAGCTGTGTTATTGAAGTAATTCAAATAAAAATCTAAATATTTACATTATTTTTATTCATTTTTATATTTAATTTGTATTACAACAGAATTTAGTAGTTATTCAACATATAATTTAATTTATAGATTGTAATCTATATTAAACTAACTATACAGCTATTATTTTTTAACAATATTACAATAACTTTACATTACATATATTTGTAATATTTATCAAACTCTTGATTTGTTTGATTTGAATTAACTATAATTAGGTTTTATTTAATATAAAATTTTGTTTTCTTAAAAACACTTTTCTAATCATTGATGATTGTTATATAAGTTTTACGTGTATTGAAATTGAAATGGTGTTAATAAATGCAAGCGTGACATACATTAAAAATTTTGTCCCATTCAAAAATTGATCATGCTTAAAGCATTTTATTTTATCACTTTAATATATGTCAATAATAAAATTTATAATATTATATATTATTGTTAACATTAGTAAACATAGAAATAAAAACTGTCAAAATAATGATTTTAAAATTTAAAATGTTTTTAATTATTAAAATCGCAATATTATCAAAATTTTCGAATTGAATAAATTGCTTAACACTATTTTAATATTTTTTTTAATATCTAACTTATATACAATATATATATATATATATATATATATATATATATAAAATTTCTTATATGACTAACTTTAATTATCTATAATAATGATAATTAGTATTATGTAATATTCTATTCTATAATAGTCTATTCTTATTAAAAACAATTATAATGTTTAACTTGTATTATACAAGTTGTATATCGTTAAGCTATATTTCAAATGTTATACTCACGTAAAAGTAAATATAATGTATAATATACAGTAAAATTATATACATTTAAATTAATGTAATAATAAAAATATATATTAATAATGTTTTCATTGTGAAGTATATAAACAATAAGATTATTACAAAAATGTTTTATTTTGGCACTAATATTGATAAAATACATATTTCTGATTATAACAACATTATAAATAATCGGACAAATATACAATCATTTTACAATTTTACATAACTTATACAATATTTATATCTTTTAAATTATAATATTACGATAAAATTAATAAAATATTAAATTACAATATATAGCTATTAAACATTTAATTCATGGAAATATCAAATTATTGTTTGACATAACAATATTTAAATTAATTCTATATATTTACATACATTTAATTTACATAATTATTGTTTTTATATTGTATATAATATAAGATTTTTTTGGTAATTTTTTCATATTAATAAAAATCAGTTGTATGTCATTTAATTTTAGTATTTGTAAAAACGTAAAACAGCTATAAATAGTCTAAAATATACAATATATGCATTCATTATATAATTACATTAAGAAAATTTCATAAAATGAATTTTGTTATATAATATTAATAAAATTCATTTTTAAATTTATCGTTAAATATATATATTCATTACACAATAATTACAATACTGAAAAATTATAATAATAAGATTTACTTATAGTAATAATCATTGATTATGATAATTATTAAACAAATTGTCATATATTATATAATATTTATATCCACCAAAAGCAACAAAATATAATTAATAAAAATTGATAATTTATAACAATTTTTATTGTAGAGTAAACATATTAATGTAGTTTTAACTTAAGATATATAATTTTTATACCATTAATATTGTATTTTATGCTATAATTATACATTTAATGCATTTATTATAATAAATGTGAGGCGTTTACGTTGTCGTTGTTAGTAATGGTGAGAATGGGGTTTCAAATTGATTTAATAATTAACATATTGGTCTCATTAGTGTTATATTGTATTGTATTTATAATTTTGAAGAATAAAATTAAAGAATATTATTCATTAAATGAATTGATTTTTATATTAATTAAAGTACAGTATATTCACGCCTAAGGTTTTTGGACTCCCTTTTTGAAAACGGATGTCAAAGAAATAATACTTTCTTCCTCTTCGTCTTCCACTTGAAAACATTTGGCAAAGAAGTCTTCCATTGTTAAGTAAAAATGGCGGCGAACTGATTGATCCCAAGATTCTATAAGATCACTGTCTGGATATAACTGAATTAAAAAAATCAAAATATTATCAATCAAAAGGTTTTTATTATAGTTAACCAAAAGATAAATTTCTAAAAAAATATTAAAAAGTTTCTAAAAGAAAGGTTTCGATAGAATAAAAAATGAATAATATTGTGACGGATCGTATTATTTTGTGACAGAACTAATTGAGACTAATTCAATGTTTAGACATTCATAATAAAATTTGAGTTTTTTTTAATAAAAAAAACATTAAACTTAGAATCTAATAAAGCATATAATGTATATCAACAACAAATAGAGCTCATAAAACATGATATAACATAAATGGTGTGTAATATAGTATAAAAGAGTAGATATTTAAATTAAATTTTGATTAGATTTTAGGTGTTTTTATCAATAATATCATAAATATGTTTTTTGATACAAAAATAAATTTTATTAGGGTTAGCTAAATCCTGAATAAACCAAAATTTTAACATACTATCTATTTTCTAATTATTAATTTTGTATTCTCGATATTTGTTATCATGTAATACACTATAATTATTAATATTTTAATATTTTAATTAATTAATACTATTAAAAGTTAGAATATTACATTTTATTACATATATAATTGTTCATTATATATATATTTTGATTTCAGTTGTTTAGTAGTTTACTATATATAATATATCAATAAATAATAATTATTCTATAGGGAGATCCCATAGTAAAATTTGATGATAAAGTCAAATTTCAATATTTTATTTTTGAGAAATTTTCTAGAAATTTCTATTCAACAAAATCTAGTTTTTATGCATAATTAAAATAAAAATATATTTAAGAATTACCTGGACTTTAAATTGGACTGAATTTTCAGTTAAGCTTTTCATTAAAAGCATGGAGTGATGGATATTAACTCTTTTATCGGCCGTCCCGTGAACCAGAAGAAAGGTTTTGCCCTTAAATTTGGTGGACATGTCTGACATTCGCGTCAAATCTGTTTTCTGATATATCGTATCGATTCCGTTAGCATAAGGAAAGCCAATGTAACGCTCAGAAAATACTGAAACTGTATTTTTTTGTATTTTTTATCAAAATTTAAGATATGAATTAATCAATCAATAAATACAGTAAATATAAGAATTATATGATAACTCTTACAATAGTTCTTAAAGTTAGTGATGGGAGAGACAGCTATAGCACAGGTAATGCTTGGATTTTTTTTCTCAGATTCAGCCGCCAATAATGACACCGTTAAGAACCCTCCATATTCTCGACCCCAAACAACAATCTTGTCCTCATCGATATATGAAACTGACTTTTTCAGATAACTATTACATCATATTTATAACAATTTATTTGCATTAAATATATATAAATATATAACTTTATATATAAATTTAATTTTAAATTGAATTAAATAAATAATTACTTTATAGCAAATAATAAGTCTTGGACTTCCAGTTTACCCAATTCTGGCATTATATCAAACATAAATTTATTTCCTTGAAAACCAGTACCGGTGCCATCAATATGAATGGCCACATAATCTTTATGACTGACCAAATATCGAGACCAATCAAGTTTATGCTCATAATTTACCGATTGACCATCGGGTCGATTATTACTAATTAATTGATATATATATATATAATGAGTGAATATTAATAATTGTTAAATAATAAATTAAGTAATTGTTAAAAATTTTCATACATCTCAATAACAGCCGGATATTTTGTGTCCTCATTTTCATCGAGAGTTTGTGGAAGAATAAGTTCAACTCTAATATTAAAACCTTTTCCGTTGGGAATTGTCATGTATTTCATTTTAGGCAAAGATATCAATTTAAATATATTTTGTAATTCTTCGTTATTGTCGAGAGTTTCGATGAATTTATTGTCGTCGACAGACATTAAATAAACGGATGGTATGTCTGGTCCTATTTGAAGCAATAAATCAATATTTTTTCAAAATTAACAAATATTTTATTATATTATATAAATAAAATATATACCCAAACACTCGGACAAATAGTATCTGCCATTAGGACTGAATACTGCATTATTGAACCAACATTTTTCACTTCTATTACATGACAGACAGTCAATCACTCTCGGAATCTTTGAATTCATATCCGTTACTGAAAATATGTGTCTAATATTGAAATAATTAAATTAATTTCAATAAATAATAATAAACTTTTTAATAGTTTGTATAATAAAATAAATACCTGATTCCCGGTTGATTGTATATTGTGGCTATAAAATAGCTATCAATAAAATTGTTGAACAAATTTGATTTAGTTAAATGAGTTTTATTTGGTTTAATTAGTAATAAATTAATATATTATATGAAATACTTTATAATAATGACTTACATTTTATTAAGATCTGAACGATAAGTAAGTATTTTGGTGACAACAAACTGTCCGTGAGTTAAGAAATATTTTTTACCGCTTTCCGTATAAATCATAGCGATGTGATCAAAGGTGCCGTATATACCGTCAGCGACAGGCAATTGAATAAATATATATTTTCCGTTATCTGAAATAATGGGCTGTTTATTGACAATAAGCCAACCCAACCGTCCAATCACTTGTTCATCAATTATTTTATTGCAAACCCAATTGTTCTCCTCTTTACAAATGCTAACAATTGTATAGTTTTGTGTTCTTCGCGACCAAATGACAGCAATACTTGTTTTGGTGATCCAAGCAATCGGTGCAGTCATATAATAGTCTAAACCTCTCAATTCATCCGGAGGTAAGATCTGTGTGCGGGTTCTCACATAGTTTGGTGCACTTATATCGACAACAGTTAGCGTCACTTTTGATATCTCTCGTCCCGGTTTAGGATACGGATAGTTAGAAATTCTTAGATTTTCATTATCATTGGATTTAAAATGATTTGTAGAATTGATGTCTCCATAGATAATATATGGCATTTGATCCACTAATGTGTTATCAAATGATGCGTAACAAAGTCGTGAACCGTCATTAAACCACCAAAACGCCAAATTTGTTTCAAGTATATGCTCTACATATACATTGTTTTATACAAATATATTATTTTTATGCTATTATCAACATTATTATAAGACTAACTGTTCAAACATACCCTCATACATTAGGTCGGGAACACCATTAAAAATAAAACCTTCCCTTCCATTGGACGTGATTTGTATTGGTTGATCTCCGACTCGGAAATACAAATATATGTTGTTTTTATGGATAACAAGCTATAAATTTAGAGAAATTATAATTTGTTAATTTGAAAACAAATATATTATAATATTTATAAAATGATAATAATGTCATACAAGTTGATTGGCATTTGGTGACCAACTGGCGTGTTGTATGTAATCACTTGAGTCGGGCATTAATAGCTGAACGACAGCATTGCTTTTGGTATCGTATATCACATATTTAGCTAAATATGAAAGACTTCCCGTCTTTTTTATATCACTTGCAATCAATAAAAACCTTCTGTCGGCAGATATACTAAATTTCTTCACATTTATACCATTTGTTCGCTAAATAATTAAATAAATAATATCTCAATCATTAAATCATATGATATGGTTTATATCAATATATTTTAATACCAGATGAATGCCATCCACTAAAACTCTTCTATATTTAGTATCGATATTATAGGTATAGAAAGTGTTGTTATTATTGTAATATAGGAGCTCTCGATCTGAAATCCAGGAGCCGTTGTATTCTTTATGTTTATAACCACTGATGAGAAAGTCATCTAAACTTAATCTGTGACTCTTATCATTTGCTCCAAAATCTTTTAAAATTAAAATAAATTACAAGATATAAAAATTATATATTTAGACTTTTATTTTAATGCTATTTATGCATATTTATTAAATAATCATTTTATGCTAATTTTAATTATTTAAAGTCTTGTAAATTATAATACATTTATTGCAAATACTAAAGCTTAAGATTCTTAATCTCATAAACTGATAGTCATTTAAGTTAACTAATGTTTATTAGAGTTGACGTGTTATCTAATAACAAGAAAACAAATATTGCTCTAAAAATAATTAATGCATTTGTTAGCATTAAACAAATAAAATAATCATTTTATGTGACCATTACAATCAAAATCAATAAATTAATTTGTCATTTTGTATTTAATTCAATAATATACATCAAATGTTTATTAAATAAATGTTTTACAGACATAAAAAATATTTTAGACTTACGCGGACTCAATAAAAATATTGAGAGAAGTATTAGCGAACAAATACTAGCAATAACCTGAAATTTAATCAATTTTATTATATATTAAAAGATTTATTTATATTATCAAATATATCTTATAATAATAATAATAATAATAATAATAATAATACCAATAGTGAGATTAGTATGCCTTTCCAGTTTCTCTGTTCAACTTCATTTACCACCAATTCCTATGTCAATAATAAATTAAAAAACATATTTTAAAAATCAACGTTATTTCAAAAGTTATTTTAAAATTTGTTTGTTAGCAAACAGTTTTAAAAATAGTGATATTTATAAGCTATGGTAAAGGAATACTATTTGCATTTAATTAATCATTATATTGACATATAGTATGAAAGAAAATAATAAACATACTTAAAGCTACTATAATAGTATATTTACCAGTGTTGGCAGATACAACAATTTGTATAATACAAAGCGTATTATACAGTATAACACAATGTATAATACATCTAGTGTTAAAAGCAAAGTAAACCATGTTTTATAATAAATTTAGATTTAATATTATTTTTTTATCGAATTTCATTTATTTTAAATTATTTCATTATTATTATTTAGAAACAACGATAATAATAATAATAATGCATTTCCTATCAATTATATTTTTACTTAATTTTTTTAATTAATTTTTTTAACAATATATATTAGTTTTAAAATTTGTTTAATACATTCAGTACATTGTATTAAACTGTATTCTATAAAAGGTCAAAATTCAAAACCTTGTATTTTTCAACCCTGATATTTACTCTATATGTTAATTTGATAAATGAGTTAAATATTTTAAAATAAAATAGTTTTTGTGTTTATTAATTAACTCTTTATTGTCGTCTAAATTATATACATTTTTATTAATCATTAATTGAAAGTTTTAAGTAAACTATTTGACTTTTAATCAATAAAATATGTTAAATATACTCTAAAAATATTGTTTTAAATAAATTTTAAGATTATATATGAATTTCATTTTGCTGTTAGTTTTAAATATTTTTTAATTTAATATTAAATAATTTAAATTTTATTAAAAAATTATTTTTATAATTTAATTAAATAAATTATATTTTAAAATATTAATTAATTAAGATTTATCTCTAATTTAATAACCTAAGGTTTATCTAATCATAAAATCACAATATGTATCGTTTAATAGACATTTTTATATCAATTCATTATTTTATGACAGTAAACACTAATATAATACTATATAAAATATAGATTTAATAATTTAATATATATTTTCTAGTGTCACCTAAATTCATCAAATGAAAAATCTTTTTACTGTAAAAAAATCTTTTATAACAAAATGTTAATAAAATTAGTAATAAATATGTTAACCAAATTTGATGTTTTGTGAATTACAGTAAAATGTCAATAAAATTTATTATTACAAAAAATAAAAGATATGAGATTAAATGTATTTTGCTTTAATAATAAATAGTTTATTTTGCTAATATAATGTTAGATTTTGCTATATTTTTTAGATAACGTTATGCATTTATTAATACAATAGTTATAATGAAAGATTAATAGTTATATGTTATTAAATAATAATAAATAAAATCAAATAAAAATATTCACTTCTTTTAATCCAAAAGATGGTGAAAGACGTCTGACGTCTTCAGACATTTTATAAACTGATTTTACATTTATTTGAAATCATAATATAATTCAATAACTTATTGCCTTTAAAAATAACATCAAAATAATAAAATTATTAAAATAAACAAATTTCTGAATCTATGATAAAGTCATTTACTATAACAATAACAAACAGAATTTATACGATCATTCAATTGCTAGTCTATATCTATGATATAATATATTAGAAAATAATTTATATAATCACTTAAAGACACAATAATTGAATATTTTTAATAAATTCTTACTTTTTCTTCAAATTCTTTCATTTTCTGTAAAATAATCCAAAAATCATATTATGATAATATAAAACATTTTAAATATTATAAAATTTTAATATAATTTTGCAAATATTGAATAAAAACAGAGTTAGCAATAGATGTTATAAAATACAATTCAATACAAGTGTGTTGAGAGCATAGTTGGAGCGCACATACAGTTCATTACATTATTATTATTACTGTATATTAGAGTACTATTGAACTAAAAATTGGATGCAAAGCGCAAGTGAAGCTCAGGAGACGTTAGATAAGTAAACGGAGGACAGACTCACCTAAACTTATTTAATATATAATATAATAATATTAAAGTTGTTATGGAAACATATCTTTCATTTTTACTTTAATATCATTGATAGTATTATTATTATTATTATTATAAATCTAATTAATATTGGAAACTAATATAACTTATTATATACTAAAATTAAATTTAAGAATTTTATATAAAACCAATTAATATAAGATTGAAATAATTTATATTTAAACTAAAGTTAGGATTTAATCAACAAAAACAAAATAATAATTATTAAACATTTTACAATAATTGTTGCTTTATTTGCTTATTACAATAAATTAAATTTAAATAATTAAATAAAACAATTATTATAATTAGTAATCAAGGTTGGAAAAATACAAGGTTTTCAATTTTGGCTTTGTAAAATACAGTAAAATACAGTAAAATACAGTAAAATACAGTAAAATACAGTAAAATACAGTAAAATACAGTAAAATACAGTAAAATACAGTAAAATACAGTAAAATACAGTAAAATACAGTAAAATACAATGTACTGGACGTATTTTACAATTATAGAAAAATTACATTAACAATGATAAAATATTTATTTTTTTATTAAAATTATATAATTTCAATATCGTTATTAGAATCGTTGTTTTCTAAAACTATTAAAAGTTAATATTAATTATTTTATTAATATATTTCAATATCAGAATTAAATTGAATAGCTAATTTCAAATTTTTTCAAATAAAAAAATTATTATTATTATAAAACATGTGTTTGTTTGTGAATCTTAGTATTTTTGTTAATAGGTGGCGCTAAATTTTTTATTGTAAGCCAAAATTGTCATGTAATTTACATTGTATTATACTGTATAATACGCTTTGTATTATACATACACTTTGTCTTTGCCAACACTGTTAGTAATACAGTACTAATATTACATTATTTATCATTTATTAATAAGTACTGTATTGAGACGTTTTTTATTAATAGACAAACAAATTTCAATTTCACTATATTTTGATAACTTTAGAAAAATCATGTGTTTGTCATTGAATTGTTTAGATATTTTTAAATAGATTTTATTCATAATTATAATATAATTAAATTAAATATCAATTTTAATAATGAATTTTAGGAAAATATGTTCAGAGGTTTGTCTCAAAAAATCAGATATTTTTATATAATATAAGACTTGAAGTAATTGTTTATCATATATTGGTTTACAATTTAGTTGTTTAAAACAAATTTCATTTTCCGATCGATATCTCAAATATCGATAAAACCCGAGACAAGGATTCAGGACATTCTTCGGCAACACTTCCCGAAGGCCACCGAAATTGAGGTGAAGGACATATCGGGCGGTTGTGGCGCTATGTTTGAGATATACGTCCAGACAATTGAGTTCACGGGTCTTAACACACTTAAGCAACATATTATGGTTAATAAGGTTTGCTTTCAATCATTTTGTATATCATTTTATATACGTTTATCACTAAATATTAGGCACTTAATCAACAAATCAAAGATATGCACGGAATCAGGATTTATACATCACTTCCGCAAAAGTAGTCATATATATACATCACTGGACATCAATTGATTTATAATGGACTCAATTTTGTCAAATTAATTTACAATAAATTTATAAAATTTTACAAAATTAATTAATTGACTGTCTTATTGTAAATTGAAAATCATTGCAAAGTTTTATTTCATCACTACTGTACTGATCTGTAGATAATAACATATTTTTAAAAATTCAAATTAATTTTTATTAATAAAATTGACAAACTTTAATATTTTAATAAAAGCAAATTACAGGGAAAATTTGTTTTTACATTATATTTCTATAAATTAATTATAAACTTACCGGTAGTTGCAAATACTTTATTGTTATATTAATAATTGTAAAATATTGGTAATTGACAAAATATGTATTATTAAATATTATCTTATATAATATCATACAAAAATTTTTTTAAAAATTAATAAATAACTAATGATTTTTTAAAAGCTTCAAATACTGTATTATATAATAATAATTGAGATATAAAATTGAAAATTGATTGTAAAAATAGTGTATCTCTTAGACTCTCATAACTACAATACAGTGTATAATATATTGCATTCACAACATGTGATGCAATGTTTGTGTTGTTTTGATTGCAATTATGTTAAGAAAAGTCAGTAATTCAATCAATTGTCGACTTTTGATAACTAAACGATACATCGGTTCACAAGTGGTTAAACCAAACGAACGGTTAGTTAAAAACAATACACAAAATGGCCAACAATTGGCCACAAACTACGGTAACAATGAATTGAATAAAAATGAAGAACAAATGGAAATTCAAGTGAAAGAAATGTTGGATCAAGTGATCAAAAAAGATAAGGAAATGGACAGAGAATGGCAACTAAATGTATATAACGACCACAAGAAGTTACATAACGTGATTACCCATCCGTCCTCATGGGTTCACCAAAGATTAGACCTTTTCATGTTTCTCGTCTCTCATTTTAAGCCCGACTGGTCTTTGAGTGGTTGGAAGAAAAGACTTAAAAATTATATTCATTACAGAGAGAAAAATATGCAACAATTTAATCCTAAACGACACGCGGATCTCGGTTTGTGACATCTGTTAGTTATAGACAATAGTTATCATATTTGATCCATTCATCCATAGGTCCAGAGCTTGCAATCGCAAACTTCGTGATCGATAGGGGAGGGAAAGTCAAGTTTACACGTTTGTCATATTATTATACATTTTATGATTAATTATATTTAATAATCAATTTGTTTTTAATTAACAGATTCGCCTAATTCTTGGGCAACAAAATTATCACATTTTCCTAGACGTTATGATCCACGATATAGATTGTTATCAGTGGACTCTTCGAGTTAGTGCTTTTAATGGTCACTAATTTGATAAATAAGTTATAATCTATTATTTAATTTTATTTTTAGATTTAAAGCTCAGATATGAATCATTGGACAACTTTGTTGAGATGTATTCACTGCAAGAATTAGATCTTTCGGACAATTTATTGGACGACTGGGCGTGCGATAAGTTGTCGCGACTTTTTAGGAACAGTACTCTTCATACACTAAACTTATCAAACAATCCGATGATCACTCACAGGGGTATTGAAAAATTACATTGGATTAGGTCTCTGAATAAGTTAACCATCACTGGCACGGCTGCCGCTAACTATCCATTTCTCGACCTATTAGTGCTTAGTTTTAATGATTTAATACCCGATTGTCAGATCATTACTTAAATTTTTAGTTAATAATAATTATTAGAGATTTAATTGATAATAAAATATTAGTTAACTATTGATTTACCGGTAATTTTATTTCAATAAATTATTTAAAAGTAACGCTATTTGTGTTAAAAGAGTACAAATTGTCAAAAGTCATTGCATTGAAATGTGCGATAGTGTGAAACGTTTCTCAAAAAAAGTAACGATTTATGTGAGAGCTATGTGCGGGTGAATGCATTGAATGACAATTAGGGGGACTATTGGGGACACAAATTGAAATAATGATAACGTTGTCATTAAGTTGTAGTCCGAGACAAATGTATTGAATGTTATATTCAATGCTTTATTACATTAAGCGTTGCATTCATTGAACGATTGTTTCGCCATTTTATAGCATAAGTGACTCACTATTGCATTGATTGCATACTCAGTGAAGACAAACAAGACATCACTTCTTTGATTGCAATCAATTCATTGTTTGGTCATTTGGTGGACACAATCAGTGCTGTATGTCTGGCATTCAAAACTTGAAAACATTTGGTAATTATGTCTGAATGTCAATGTAAACGACCATTTGATTTGACCTCTTGTTTATTATCTCATCATTAGATCCATTCGCCGATGCGATTAAAGCGGATGACAGCGGTGTTCAGGACGGACTGATACACGTGAGAATACAACAAAGAAACGGCAGAAAAACACTGACCACTGTTCAAGGGATATCTGACAACTACGACAAGAAGAAGATTGTCAAGGCATGCAAGAAGGTGTGTGTTGTCATCGTTGTCACCATTTCTTGTTTGTTAATCAATTGATACTAATGTTTGAATTGTTTTTTTTTCGATATCAGGAGTTTGCTTGTAACGGAACAGTTGTCGATCACCCAGAATATGGAGAAGTGATTCAACTACAGGGAGATCAACGAAACAATATTTGCCAATTCTTGACAAAAGTGAAGATCGCAAAACCAGAACAGCTTAAAATCCACGGTTTCTGAACACAACAACTCATCTTCAGGACATTGATTCCCATTTATTAAATGATTGATGCGTTGATTGATCGGCCCTTTTATATTATATTTATATGATTACTCTTTATATTAAATTAATGTTTCAGATTATATTTGCAATTATTGTCTCATAATAAAGCATAAAATGTAACCATTAATAACTGTTTGCTAATATATCGATAGTTTTTTTTAATTCAATCACAGATTGATGTAAAACAGGCATTAATAATATCATTATTCCGTAGTAAACGGTACACAAAACTATCGATATATTAATGGATTTGATAACTAGTTTAAGGTTTTTGGTATTAAATTTTTTATACTTAGATAATAAAGTTAAGACTCATTTTCCAAATTATTTAAATTGACTTTAATCTTAATTAGGATAATTAAAATTATAGGTTAAAATGTTATTATTACTATCAATTATATATATTTTTATAAATCAATATTATTTTGTTACTCCAATTATCAAAAAAAAAACATTGTATTAAAACAATGACTTTAAAGGGCTGACCATTTTTGTACTCCAAATATTGTTTTTAATAACTAAATGTATTAATTATATATAAATATATGATAATGTTTTGTTAAACTGTGTTTGTGTTATGAATCCTTTTTTCATATATCAGAAACTTTAAATAACTTAAATTTAAATATTTTATATTAACTTCCAAGTGATTTGTTTGGTTACTTATTAATTTGGTTAAGTTTAATATTATTACCGTAAATATCACTATACCTACGATAATATACATATTAATGTATCACATATACAGTAGTTATAAAATATAAAAAATTTATCATCTTAAAAGATTAAAAAGTATTAAAAAAGTCAAATACTTGGTAAAAATCATAAATTAAAATACCTGTAATTATTTATGATAATTAAGTAATTGTTTTAATTATACTCTTTATTCTCATAATAAATATTTTTAAATAAACATAACATAAAATCAATTAAAAACAATTAGCAAATTACATAATAAGGCGAATGAATTGAATGATTAAAATTTTAAATAACATAAATAATAAAATTGTTTTGTTTGTCATCACATTATCTTCTTTTTAGTTGCGGTATACCTTTCCTGATAGGCTTCATAGCCATTCATATGATGTAAATCCTTGAGTTCAAAGAGGTTGCCGTCGACGGCCAACAGCGATATCTTTGAGTTCTTCAGTATGTTATCAGTGATAGCCGATAGTTGTAAACAGTTTTCGTCTAATCTCAATATCTTAAGCTTTGGACACTCGGCTATTGATTCACTGATAACTGATATCTGGTTTTGATTTAGATTTAGTTCAGAAACATTAAGGTATTTAACTTCTTCAGTGATTTCAGTAATTTTATTGTGAGACAAGTCTATGACATCTAAATGCTTGAGATTAGAGAAGACAGTGGGAAATGCTGTCAACTCATTGCCAGACAATTGAACCGATCGTAAGTTTATTAGTTTGGACATCGATTGTGGCAACTGTTTAATAATATTGTTACTCAAAGACAGTACTTCCAGTTTCATTAAATTGCTAATCTCTGGTGGTATTGATACCAATCGGTTATTGTTTAATGACAATGACTTAAGATTATTAAATTGACCGATAAGTGGAGGAATAGTCTTAAGTTTATTGTATGACAAGTCCAGAGTCCTTAGATTAGCACTTAATTTGATTAAATCTGTGGGGAATTCAGTGATATTAGTCCGACTTAACTGAAAAACACCGGTCCTCTCGGCGTTAGACATATGAGACTTTAATGACGAAGAGTTACCCATCGCTGACCACAAGTTAATGTGTCGACCGATCACTCAATTGATTATCACTTCATTCAATAAATCAGTTGACAATTGATTGCAACAATCGTTGACTCAAATCAATCAAAACGTTAAAAACGTCTCAAATTGTAATCAAAAAATAGTATTAAAATGTTTACAAAATATGTGTTCAAATATCAGACGTTTTGTTTGAATAGTATTTTGTATGCAAAACATTGACTGCAATATTGATATTATTGTAAACATTGTTTTGTAATCATTATATGAAATCAATTGATTGTTAAGTTAATCAATGGGACAGTCATTGGGAGCCAAACGGACCACTCGTTGGGATTTCTTGAAGAAAGCCGAGTGGGGATTCCCGGTCAGTACTACGGGTCCGACCGCACCGCGACCTCCCACTCATGGACTCCAATTGCCGCCCGGGTGTCATATTCCCGATTATAAACAATACCGAGTCAACGATATCCCTCAATTGCTTGACGTCCAGAAAAAGTTGGCCGCACGTGGACTCAAAGATCCGTGGCTTAGGTTTGATTTAATATATGTTTAAATTACATTAATAATGAATATCATGGATTAATCAATTGGTCAGGAATGAGGTCTGGAGATATGATCCGAAAAATTGGGGGACAAAAACGTGGCGTATTTGGGGTCTCGTGGCTCCCGGACTACTATATGGCTTCGGTCTGTTCCTCGTTGTCGTCGTGTGTGAAGAAACTATACTTAAGGACAAAGATGACCATAAATCACACCATTAGGTCATCGATTAATTGATTTTAAAATTGTCTTTAAAATTAGTTTTCTGATGATTTCAGTTAATTAGTAGTTATGTGTTAATCTATGTATAGATAATTAAATTTTAAAATAAAATTATTGCTGAATATATTGGATTTATATTATATCAAATAAATAGTAAATATATATAAATACATCCATTTCTATATTTAGGAAATATATATCCTTTTTTGTATTTTGTATATAAATTCAATATAAATATTATATTTGTTTAGAAATGAGCTGCAAATAAATCTATAGTTAATTTGATAACAATTGTGTTGAAACTATAATTCAAAAATAAATACATTACAATAAAACTAAAATAATAATACCGTACAATAAGTGCTAAATAGGTGCTTAAAATTTAAGACAATTAAAAAAATATTACCCGGTACTTGTGATAATTTCATTATTAATAAATTGAATTACCGGTAATACCTATTTTAAGCAATAAACCAAACTCAATAAAACTGCAGGTAATATAAATCAAAGTCTAAATTTAAAATTGATATTAATAGTACTGGAAATATCACTTCAATTATTAACTATTGTAAATCATTATCAAAATATATTAACAAATATATGATTTGTGCAATTAATTCGTGTCTTATATATTTAGACATCTAATTTGGAATCAATAGATTGTTCTTCAGCGACAATAATTGTATTTATGGTATCTTTTAATAGTTTATATCTCATATAGATTTCAGTCAAGTATTCCTTTTCTTCTCTGTCGAGGATTTTGATGAAATTGTTGAGTTCAGGCAATTCAAAGGCATCCCAAGCGATATCTCCCGTATCGTTCTCTTGTAATACTATTTGCTTTTCATCGACATCTTCATCGCAATCCAATTGTATAACTAATGGTTTCTCCTGTTCTCCAATACGTTTAAGTAAAGTCAAATCAGTTACCGGATCTTTAGTTTGCAAATAAAGTGCAAATTTTTGTGGATTATCAACAACTTTAAACTTTTTAAGCATAGCTTTAATCACATAAAGACTAGTGTTTTCACTGGTGATGTGTAAATTCTTGACGGTATCTCTTGGCATATAAAAACTAGTTAACGTTCGCCTCTTTATTAATGTTCCGTTAGTGTCTTCGTCATTGATTATATCATAAATAGATGGAGGTCTTCGGCCAGCGATCACATTAATTGGTCGACAAAGGTTAAGATGAACCCGAAGAAAGCCTCGGAATGATTGTTTGCTTTCATCTATTAAAGTAATTCCAAGACCTGAACCCATATTTTTACGTTTTTCATTATACTTATTAATTTTATTAATTAATGTTTGAGAGAAAATGGGTGAAGAAGAACGAGAAAGTGGTTGAAACAGATAATTGGTGTCATTTATGCGCTGACAGTCAATGCGTACTAAAGCTCGACATCGAGGGTGACATATATACTTGCAATGAGAACAGCGAAGATATTTACCAAAAATAGATTTTGATAAAGTATTGCTTTCGTCAACTATTGTTGTTTTGCTATTTTTAGCAACCGATGACCACATAAATTCACCGCAACTGTCGCACCAATTGGCAGATAATGTCTCGATTAGCTGTTGACAACAATAATAATATTAAAATTTGGTTATCATTTAAGAAACAATTTATTAACACATACTCTAAAGTCATGTCCAACACCACTCTCTTTGTCCTCGATCTCAACGATGCCAAAGTTGGCCAACTCTATCAATTCAGTAGACTTTAATGTGGGAATTAGAGTTCCGTTAAGAAGTCTGGCCACCGGTGTGTCAAATGTTTGCATTGAACTCATTGTCTTATTTTGATTAATGTTGTGATCAGTCGTTTGTTTACTACTGTTTCGTCTTCGGAAGGGATTTGAAGACAACATAAAGTTTTGGAAGATTAAAGTCGGACTGAAATCATTAATCCATTGCAACGAATTCATTATCGTTTGACTCAAGTGTTTGAAGTCCGAAGTGGTCGCTGATGTCGGCGAACCACTGGTCGAAGTCATAGGCTTTGCTTCGTTGTTGGTCTCATTGTTGGCCACTATCTTGTCGTCCGATGCGTTCATTTTGCTATTCAATTGTTGTATTTATTTACATACAGTTAATGTCTTCATTAGCCAATTGACAACAAAAATTTGATTCAGTAATCAATAAACTATTTATTATAATATCAAGTCATATGAAATCAATTGACTACAAAACCAGTTATAAATTATTACAATTGAATTATTATTAATGTTTTCAATTATAAATCAATCATTTAGTAACCAATTGATTAAATCAAACATTTGATTCAATATTATTAACTAATATATAACTAATATATGCATTAAATAAATAGACGTTTGAATTGAATATTAATTTAATAGCAATACAAATGCTATGAAGACATTGTAAATATTGCATACGTTTTGTTGCATAACATTATCATTCAATGATTACACTATATATTAGACTACAGTATATTAAGTATAATACAGTATAATATACTTTATATACTTTTGTCAATTTTATACTATATTATATACTGTACGGTATAATACTTTATTAAAAACTACTGAATGTTGTAAAAAACTAATATTCATTTTTCATAAAATTATTATAAAATAATTTGTAAAACCTATTCAATTTCACTACTATTTTGACACTTATTTTTATAATTAAATTTAAATTCTGAGATTAAATCTATTTTTAATGAAATAAATTGTAACATTGATATACAATAGAATTTATTAATTTTGTAAATAATTATTAATGTATAGATAAACATTTTCAAATAAATAAATAAATTGCAAATTAATTCATTTTTATACATTTAATTTTTAAAATTTCAGTAAAATCTTCATCACTTATGAGTACATAAATATATAGTATAATAATACTTTGATATACAGTAAATATAGCATTTAAAAAGCTGATACATATTTTAATTAATTATTTTTAGTACAATAGAAATATTTTATGAATGTTTTTCATTTATTAAATATCTTTGTTTACATAAATCTTAAAGTAATTAATTTAGTAATGTTATGGTTTAAAATATTGCGCATTTAAATAACGATAAAACAGTTTGTGTCTAAAAGTTAATTTTAATTTATTATTATAAATTATAAATTATAATATTTAAACTCTTTTTAGATGTTTTAATCATTTTAATTCATATACAATAAGAGCTTTTAAACTAAAACACTAGTATATACAGTATGTATATAATGATGAATAATATGTACAATTATTGTATGAAAGTATCTTATATATACTATACTGTAGTATTTAATTTATAACAAGTTGTTATTAACAACATATACGGTATATTATATTTATATGATAGTTATATAAAATATAATAATTATGATTTGCTGCTATATATACTACAGTTTAGTTTATTTATATATATATATATATATTATTATAATCATTGTACCGGTAAATTGTACTCAATTCAATTCAATTCAAACAAACAATACATTTATTACCTAATATTGTCAATACTTTACTACAATATATTATATCAATTATCAATAAAATATTTTTTTTATATACCTATAATACAGTACCCTTACAATAGTAATAGTTATTTTTATTCAAATTTTTGAATTAATTCATTTTTCACTTTTTCTATAATATAAATTATATGCAGTATATTAACCTTATAATGACCAATAATTAATTAAAAATAAAATAATGTATTGTTTTTTATCTATATTTAAAAGATTTTGAACAATAATACTGTATATATAAGTCAAATATTTTATATATAATGTTATAAAAGTCATTTTTAACTCAATATTATACTAAAATTTACAATAGTTAGCAATTAATTATTCAAATTCAAAGTATTTTCACTTTATAATCATTTATAAAGATATATAATAAATACAAGTATTATAGTATTTTTATTAAAATATAATTTTATACATTTTGATTATTAATACAATTTGTTAGAATTTGCAATTATTATAATAAAAGTTACAAAATTTATGGACTAATTATTAATAATTATTACTGTAAATTAAATTTATTGTTATAATATATCAAGATAATACTTTAAGATAATAGTCTCTGACTGTATGTATGTATGACACATTTCCCCAACAACCATATTTTAATTCAAACCTAAAAATATATTGTTATATTTTCAATTTTTATTAAAAGAAATGTTATTTCTATGGGAAATTTTAAATGTTTATTGAGCTCAGGTATGTTTTAGGGACAGGTAAGTATAAGCGGTGTAATTACATTTTGCTATATTGTATGAGTCACAGAGAACGGGGAGGTTAGCTACCTGTGCTAGTTTTGTAAAAATTTTTCAAAACTTTTTTTTATAGAAATTAGATATCCATAATTGTCGAGTAAAACTAACGTAACTATTTATAACCAGACTTTCAATTGTGATTGACTATTGCATATGCATAGCGATAGATCTCATTATAATGCATTTTGTTGTTAATCTTATGCTTGGATAGGATTGGAAACAAATTTGGCAGTCATTCGAATTTCTTATGAATATTTAAAAATTAGTAACAGAATTCACAACTATATAAATGTTATGCGGGATAAACTAGTTTATTATTATTAAAAGTACTGTAAAATAATTGTAAATATTATAATTAAAAAATATGAAAAATTAATTAAGAAACATATTAGTGAAACTCTATATCATATTTTTTTATGAAATTATAATATTGTATTAATTCATTGAATTTTATCTGATAAATATTTTTAATATACTTATATAACTTTTATAAATAATTTACCAGATGAAATAAAATTTTAAAAATTAAAAATATTTTAGATGTATGATATATTTTAAAAAATTTATTCTTAAAGATAGTCTTTAATAAAATAAATTATTATTTTTAACAATTACTGTCTACTGTATAACAATAAATGTTGTTAACACTATAAAAATGGCTGTAATTAAAATTTAATTTTATATAAATTACCTATAATTTGTAATTGTATTTAATATAATGTTATATAAAAGTATAGTCTATTAGAAGATTAAAGTAAATGCAAAGTTAAATGAACCGCAAAAGCTTAAGAGTGAAAATAATTGTTAGCTATGATTACACATTGAATGCAACCAATGTATCACTAGTAATGTTATAAGTAATGTAATGTAATGTTAAATTTGATTAAATTGTAAGTTTCATATTTGCTAAAAAATGTTTGTAATTAATTAAGTTAATCGACTAAAAATTGTAAATATATTAAAGTATTTAAACTTATAATAAATTTAATATAATATAATTAGACTTTATTTTGTTCATAAATAACGTATTTATATCATACAGTACTCTACATGTATTGCATTAATAATAAACGTTAGAAGTGTTGGCAATATGTAGTAAACACAAGACAGACATACATTGACAGTGTGTTTGTTGTCTATTCAACACATAGTATGAGTTCAATGGATATATGCAGTCAATGGAGGACTAAATGCATTGAAAGTCAAGTCAAGTGTAGTTTAAAACAGTGTTTTGGCAATAGTTTTGGTCAATAAATACAGTGCTTATAGTGAGTCATCATAACTGACCCATAAGTGACCCGTCATTACATTTTGTGGACAATCAATACAATCAATGCAATCAATCATCACATTTGTTTGATCCATGCATTTGTCAAAAGTGGGACAATTAGTCGCTTTTCATATAAGTTATGTGTTTTTTTAGACTCATATATACTGTACAGTATATATATATATATTTATTATATGAGCTAATCGTGTGATTATAGCTTTCATTAATGTAAACTTGAGTTAACTTTTATGCAAATTAGTGCTTATTTTAGTGAAACAATTATTTTCAATGCAATTATTATTTATATCTTGTGGTCAAAACTAATTGATTTATCATATCGTTTATCAATCGGTAAGTTTTTTTTGTATTGATTAAATAATAACCACTTTTATAAAAATAAAAAGTATATGATATCATATATGATATAACAATGTATTTATAAAATATTGAAATATATAATAAATTGTATAATGCTTTGGTGTGTAAGCAATAAATGTATGCAATGTATGCATACTATGCAATGCAATGCATATACAATGCTATGCAATGTTACCAAAGCAGACACACTTGTAATGAAACGATACAACACTTCCTGATTATTATTATTATTATTATTATATTATTTACATTATATGAGCCAAACCTTTATGATTGTACTGTTATATTCATAATAGCAATCATAATATCTTTCCGTAACACTACTTATCAATTGTTTGTTTGCAAATTATTTTTTTATTATAATTTATATGTAGCTAATTATGTTAACAACAATTAATTGATTTGTTGTTAAATAACACGTTTTGAATATTTTATTATAAACTATTATAAAGTATATAATAATAAATGTCAAAATATATTTTTATTTTGTTTAATACAAGTATAATATATTTATATTAATTAAAAGTACATAACAAGTGATTTATAAATAATTTTTGGTTTTAGTTGTGCTTTTGCTTGAAAAAAAAGTTGATAACATAGTGTTAAAAACTAGTTAATAGTCTATAATTTTTGAATGATATAAGAGTTAAATCTAAAAATAATTTTTCGCTATGAGTTCAATAGATATTAATTTTTGTTGTTTGCGCTCAAAATTAAACGTTATCTTAATTAAGGTTAACAACACTTGTTAGACATATAGTATATGATATACTATACACAATATATTAGTTTTCACCTAAAAATAGTTTTGATTAAATTTTTGTAGTTTAATTTAAAACTGTCTTAATTTAAATTGTCATATATATATATATATATATATGTTGGCCACCAATTTTCATTAGGTTTATATTGTAACATATATTATATAAGTTTATATTTATTTAAAAACATTTATTAAATAAAAAGATACAATTGATTTGCTTAAATAAAATTTTAATGATCACCAAATTTATTATTCGTTAAAAATTAATTAAAAAATTAGATTTTTATAGTAAACTTGAAAAATTCATCCCAAAAACTTTAAATAAGTAAAATGCAAATTTTCCAATGTTTTAATATTGCTAAATATATTTTTCAAATTTAACTATACAATATATAAACTTTTTATTTGATTTTATTAATATTTAAAGTATTTTTAATGACTTTTTAAATAGTTGACTTGTATGGATCGTATAATAATAATTTTATTTACTGATATTTACTGCAATATTAATGAGTAGAATAAATGAATGTATGAATGACTGGTTTGTTTAATGTTTAGTAGCATTTAAGTTATCAATAAAATTAAATGAATTTTTAATTCATATAAAATGTAAACCATTATTAAAACACTCTCCAAATGAGTCAACGATTTTTAAAAAATAAATAAATAAAATTTTTTAATTGAATTCTAGTTTTTCTTGAAATACAACCAAAACTCAATGAAACAATTTTTTTTTGACTAAAAACAACTTTCAAAGAATTTTTAAGATGGACTCAAAACTATTTGTTTACATTAATTAATCTCAGGTTAAATAAAGTTGTGGTTTGTGTGAGAAAATGTAACATTTGTTGCCATAATTAGACTACTATAATATAGTACTCTATTAACTAAACTATATTGAAAAACAAATCATTTGTTTTTTTTAAATTTTTCTCATTTAAAATATTCACTTTTAGACTTATGAATCATGAAGTTATGATATGAATTCATAGTAATAATAAATGTTTGAATTTATTTATGGTTTTATGTATGCTATGTTAGTATGAAAATTGCATAATCAATATGATTTATAATGTAATATTTATAAATATTTTAATTATATTAAACCTAATATTTTACTTAAATATAAAATTACCAAGGGCAATATTGTTTTATTTGAATGTAAACAAACGTGTTATATATTGTTTTTATATTATTAAAAGCGACATTAATTGAGTTATATTTAATGTATAGTTATTTAGTGTTGACTTATTTAATAGCAAAAAAAATGGTCAAAAATTGAGGATATAATGAGTACACAACAGTTTATAATGACTGTTACGGCTCTTAAATAGCACTAAATGACAATGACTTCAGTGAATGAGGTCGTCATGTGTTGTGTTTAACATTTGATTACACTTTCAGACATCTTATCAAATGACGGCATAATTTTAAGTTAATATTGCTTTTAATACTTCAACTTAATTACTAATTATATTTAATTTATTTTTTTCTATTTTTACTCAAATTTTTTAAATTGTAAAATGTTTTTTTTTTTGTTAAAATGAAATATACATAAATATTTTATAATTATCATTAAAAGATATATAAGATTAATAATATATAAAAATATATAGTCTATAAATTCATATATTTATAAAACAGAAATACTCAAAATATTGCAGTTTTGTATAATATTTTACAATATCCTCATAATTGAAATTATTCGTTGATATAAATTAACACTAATTTTAAAATAACTTTAACCGGTTATTAACCGTTGCAAATAAAATATGTGATTTTTATTTTTTCCCATATAGTAAATAAAATAAAACAATCAAATTATTACTGTATTTGAAAATAATTTTTCATGTTTTGAACCATTCATTACAGAGATAATGTATAATATTTTGTGAACACTATTTTATTGGTTTTAATAATAATACTTATATAGGGCTTTGTTTAATATACTACATTATTGATGCATTTATATTAACTTATTGGATATATATGTAATATTTAGTAACTATTTATAAAATTAATAAATATTAGACACTTGAGTGTCTGTTTTTTTTTATAAATATAGTAACAGATTGTCTAACACATGCGTTATCTAGTGATTACATGAATTAAAATATGATCTTAAAAAATTGTTGCTTAGAAACTACAATTATTTTATATTAATTTATCTAAATAGGTATAGTTAAATATATTTTATTAAAATGCTTTTAATTTTGGAAAATGATTTAAAATTATAATTGATATAATGAATTTCATAATATTGTAATTTATTGGGTTTTAAAAAATTCAAATATAAGATTTTTTTAAATTGACTAATCAATAAATATTTATATGATTGTAATTAAAATGAAATTAATTATGCATAAGATGTAATTGAAATAATTTGTAATGAAAACTAATGTTTTACAACTATGTTTATACTATGAATTTTTGTTTAATAGATTTAATTGTAAATAATGGCTGTCTTTGAAATTTAAATTATTAGTGAAATAGTAGTGAAAAGTTATAGATTTTATTGATATAAACATATGAGATGAGACTGTTGAACGGTTTGAATTAATTTGAATCAATTGATGACAATTAGCTATATTTATTGATGATTGACAGTGACATTAGTTGTTAATTGATAAATACTTATAATACTTAGTGTATGAATGAATGATATGGTGTATAGTTGTGTTGGTAGGTATGGTCGGTGTTGGGCATGTCTATGGCTATGTCTATGGCTATGATATTGATTTACGTAGGCTTTGCGTACAAACATGTGAGTGGTGTTTGTGTTGTGATGTGAATGTAGGCGAATGTTAGACCAAATCGATAGATAATGTTTAAGTCGAGTACTCTATACTACTGTATATATAAATATATATACCATATATTAGTAGACAATATTGTTGTCAGACATATAGAGTTTTTAACAAATAGAGAATAGATTTGTTAAGCAACAGATTGACAGCTGTTTCACAATATTTTACTTTTTGTGGTTTAATTGCTATATTAATTGGTTAATAATAATTAGTTGAATCACTTAATGTGATGCCAGTTAACTAATACTGGGCTAACTTTAGTGTATTAACTAAGCAGATGGTAGTGTTGTGTCCGTACGGATGCGTCCAAACGGTGCCATTCGTAGCAATGATACACAACTACATCGACACCGATCACAACAATTCATACAAAACTTGTCCTCATGTCTATCACTGGCAATGTCTAACCGTTTGCCACCGCGTCGACCAAATATTTGGCCGTACAGTCCGGCCAATAGGTCGACATCACGAGTTTCGGCCGCAAATGAAGTGCGAACTCCATTACAATCATTGTCTCCTATATTGAATTCAAACGATACATATATTTGTTGTTCATATAGTCCCAGATGTTTCATCATTCAAAAGGTACTCAATTATTGGATTGATTTATCATTTTATTGGTTTTTAATATTCAATCATTTACTGTATTATTCTTAAATTTATTCATTATTACCTTTAATTATTTTTAAAGTATTAATTTTTAAGTACCTATTGATTGAGTGTTTTGTGGTCGAAAGGTTAAGGGTTATGACGCCCTCATAATGTGGGAGACATGTAGTGAAGTTTCGGCACATTTGATAACACATTTACTATGAAATCATAGATTTTTTGGTCCATTCTTAAGGAGCACGCGTTGATCAGTGCACAGGCATATCGATAAAACTATATATACATATATGATATGAGCAACACATTGATGACATATATAGTCTATCCGCCCCCGTATCCGTCCATCCACTACTACAGTGTATTTACTACAGTATAGTCTAAATTATTAGTCTTTCCTCTATTTTCAACATTTAATTAATTTTTTTATACCTTTGTATAGTTTCATACACTTGTTTAGTGTTTATTAAGAGGTATTTAAATAAATAATTAAATTGACGTTTTAAACATGATTTTATGTTGATATTTAAATATTATATTACGAAAATATTATCAAAATGAACATAAATTTAAATATACATATTATTTAAAGTAATTATAATAATAATTACATACTATTTTAAGCACAAATATAGTATTATAATTCTAAGCGGTTTTTATTTTAATTTGAGTAAACATTCTTATTATTTGTTTCCAATTGTTATCTATAAAATATTTTTATTTATTTAATAAAAGGTTGTAATAAAATATGAAAATGTATGTTTACTTTGTATATATTAATATTATTAAATAACTAATATTATGCTTAACTTAAAATAAGATAGAAAAATATTAGTTTTATATAATATTTATAAAATATATATTTTAAATTTTGCTACAATTAAAGTAGCAATTAATTATACTACTATTGTATAGTTTTCATAAATCATTTGTTTGATTATTTATTATGCAACTTAACAAATATTGAATTTATTTTAATTATAAAAAATATGCTTTAATATTATATAAATGTAATTTAAGTAACTTGAATAATTTTATTACATATATTGATTGGCTTAATTTCAACATGCAAACAATTATTATATAAATTTGAGTTTCAAGCTATTTTAATATCATTTTGATAAATATATAAAATGTAAACTGATATTTATATTATTATTTAATACATAAGTAAAATTGAAATTATTGAATTACCCGTACATAATATGAAATAAATCTGTATAAATTAAAATTAATTAATGTATTCATTAAAATACAGGTAAAACCATCAACACTACAGTCAACTTTATGCACAACCAGTGCTAACAGCTGTGAAACCACAAACAATTGTAAGTTTTACTAAATATAGTGTTAAATGATTTTAATAATTAATTTTTAAAATTATTTGATAGCAATTGCAACGACACAACTATTAACAAGAAAAAGGTGTTCAAATCATGACATAAAAAAGATAAATACAAACAATTTGGACAATAATTTTAATAAAGGTTTGAAAATTCAAAACAATTTTACAATTAAAAGTAAAAATTAATTAATATTTTTTATAATTATTTTGGTTTAACAATATCTTTGATATAAAATATATCGGTTCTTAAGATGAGTGACAGTCTTGTATGACATTTAAATGCATACATAGATTGTATCATTGATTTTGCAATATATTGTGATATATATATATATATACTGTATATGCAATAGATATGCGTCGACTCAGACACAACACTATTTTCAGATTGTTTTCAATATAATAATTGCCTTAAATATAATAAATCCCTTATATTCACACAATTGCCGACACAAAAGCAGACAAACATTATTGACAATATGATATAAAAATTAATTTTTAGTGAAATATTAATCTAATATCGATTTAACAGTTGTACACAATTTGTAAAATGAAATATTTCTTTAAAACAATTGCAATGTGTATACCATATGAGGTAAATATTAATATTATTTTACCATTGAATGTGAGCTAAATTTATTTCAAACTTAAGGTTATCTATGAATACTCAATCTTATATATTTTTTTATAACAATTAAAATAATTTGTGACTGATATTTTTATTTATATTGTTTGCATATTATAATTACCGGTAAATTGTGTACACAATAAATATATCATATATAAATCTATTAATTATTGATGCCTTAATAATTATGTCAATTGTGAGTAAGACATAATTAATTTTATAAATTATTAAATATATAATATTTTATGTGAATATTATTTTTTTATTATTAAATATTTATTTGTTTTAATACGTTATGATTTTAAAATAGTTTTAAATTATTATTTTTAAATATTTTTTTGATAACAGATTACAAAATAATTTTAAAATTTGCTTAATTTATTTATTTAGTTAGATTTTAGTATAGAATTTTTATGTATAATACTTATTATATAAATTGTCATTTATAGTATTTATATTTAATTTAATACAGAAATCAACACATAAATTAAGTTATTATTTAATATTAATTAATATTTTTTATGTAATTAATTCTATGATTAAATATAATATCCGGATATTAGATGGGCGTCGATGGCAACAGTAGTTTGCGTTGATATTATAAAATATGAGCAAATTATAGCATTTTTATAATTTTAAATTAATTGTTTTTAAAAAATAATATTAGTTTTGATAATTTATTTGAAAATATAATTATTAATAAATAATATTTTATGATTTGATATTACGTCATAAGTTGTTATTGTGTTTGTTATTGCATTGAATTATCATTTCATAGAAATTGATTGATTGTCACATAAAACATTTGATTTGATATTTGATTGCAATTGAGTTAACAACTGAATTGTTGTCTTTTATTTGTCAAACAGTAGATAATGTGTTGGAAAGTGAACTGAAGATCAGCAATAAAAAGGATAACATAAGCACTCATACTTCAGGCCAAAAATCGATGCCAATGTTAACCAATCGGTCGAATGAAGACAAGAATCCAGTGATGATCACAAACGTGACGAACAAAACCAATGAATGTTTGGCCAACAAGACTACCGATGAATCATCAGATAAGACCAAACCAGACAAATCTATTCGTAAGTTAATTAATGGTATAATCTTTTATATTCTGATATATTTTAATTATAGTAATTATTTTCTTTGTTCAAAGAAACTAATCCAATGTCGAAAAAATCTGAAGAAGACTTACGACGAGCACTTCAGCAGCAGTTGGAGTATTATTTTTCGCGAGAAAATCTTTCTCGAGACACATATTTGATATCACAGATGGATTCGGATCAATACGTCTCGATAGCAATTGTAGCCAACTTTGAACTAATCAAACGTTTGACTGATGACAAGCAATTAGTTGTCGATGTGTTAAGACAGTCGCCATCAGTACAAGTGGACGATTTGGGAGAGAAAGTGAGACCACTTCACAAAAGATGTGTACTTATTCTCAGGGAAATACCGGAGTTCACTGTAGCCAAAGATATCGAGAATTTATTTAATGGTGAGAATTGTCCGAAGTTTGTCTGCTGTGAGTTTGCACACAATCAGAGCTGGTATGTGACCTTCGAGAATGATGAAGACGCACAAAGAGCTTATCGATATATTCGTGAAGAAATTAAAGTATTTCCAAAGACAGGCAAACCAATTATGGCACGAATTAAAGCCAAACCCATAGTTCACTCGGTTTCAAATAACTTTAAACAGAATGGATTCCGCCCACCAATTGTCGGTCCAACTGTTAGTTCAGCAAATAATAGCATAAATAGCATATCAAATACAAATACAAATACCGAGACTTGTTTCACTCCAACCCCACAGCCAACTACCGGTATATCTCAGCCCAACTTTACTACTACTTATCAAAACGTGCCTACAGTCAGAGTATGTGTCCACTGAATTAATATACAATATATATAATTGTATTAATATTGTATTATTATTTAATTGAATAGCAGATATATCCCCCATTTTATCCACCATCAATGCTTCAGACATGGACTCCAAGTACACCATCTGCTTGTTATGATTTGAGTACAGTATTTGTGGCCAATGGTTTGGCTCCGCACACATACGGTCCCCACTCAACTGTCCATAACATTTACGCATCAAAGAACTCCATACGAAATAATCAAATCAAATCTCAAGCTAATAGTCGAAAGCATTTTCATATCAACACTAATAATAACAATAGTAATTCGGGTTTGACTAACATTACCGCTAATATCAATAGTATTATTAATAATATTAATAACAATAATCATTATGTGACAAATGGCAGTCCCGGTTCAGCTACAGCTGTAACCAATAGTTCAACCAAAGGATCAATTGTTGGCTCTGAAGTTATTGCAAATAATACACATTTTAATAATTACAAACACTACTATACAAAAACATTGCAACCAATGAGTTATAACGACAATTGCAACTCTTCAAGTGTTTCACCTAATGGTGCTGTCGATGGTATTGTGCTAACAAATACATTATCTCCAAAACATGAAGGATTAGCTCAAAATTGCAACTCTTGTTCTACAAAACCACAGATGAATTTAAATAATAATAATTATAATGAAAGTCGAGTTGACAATCGATGCAACTCACCGACGGTTAATAACTTGACGGCTCAGAAGAGTCGCGATAATAGAAATCGAGTGCGAAAAGTACGTAAAGAAGACAATGAAAATGCAAGTAATTCTAGTGATAGTTTAAGTGCTCCTAAACCTGATGTTACCACTAAAATAATGACCAATACTTCACACACCGAGCCTTTCGATCTAAAGGCCACTTCTTTTCCTCCTTTACCCAGTTCTGCAAATAACCGCTCAAACGATAATACTAATGACAATGAGGAGAGTGTAGGTAAGTGTTCCTCTTTGGCAGATGTGGTAAAGGGAACCATCAAACATAAGAGTGACAAAAATGACACGAATAACATCAAAATTGAGTCAAATGTGTCTAATAGCTCAATGAATGCAACAAATGCTGTAAATAATATAAGCAATGGATTGATTGGTCCAAAGTCACCAAAAGACATGAAAGCAAATAGTTGTGAATATGATGTTATTAGTAATGAAGACAACCTGAGCTGCAATAATGAAGAAGTGTCTCAAACCAGAAGAAATTCAAATTCGAGTCTTAATTCAAGTATATGTAGTAATGTGATCCAAACTAGTCATGACTTGGATCACAGCTATAGTAATATAATTCCTGCCAAAAGTCTAAATACTTGTACTTTAGAGTCGGATTTGGGATCTGATTTGATTTCATCTGAAGTGATTGAGGGGAATCAATCAAAAGATAAGTCATACCTTTCCTCTACGATGTCGACCCCAACTAAGTTCAACGGCACTAACGATTCGCTTTCCATAAACTCTGATTGTTTTGATGATAATAGAGTACATTCCAGTGCACAACACACTCAACCCAGTTCTCCAAATGGTTTCTCCAATAAGAGTTTGTGTGAAATAATTGAATGCAATGGAAATGATGATCAAATACATGACTACAACTCATTAAATGATAATAATAGCGATGATAACGGAGACTCACTTCATGTCTCTATTAAACGTCTCACTTATTCACAAATAGCTCAGCGCTCGGCAAAAGATAAACTCAATCAAAACGAAGAGCGAAATACATTATATGTTATTCCAAAGGATAAAGAATCGATTTCATCAATCAATTCATTGACTTCTTCGCGATCATCAATTCATATGACATCCAACTCAAGTCGCCCTAAACTCAGTTAGTTTTCATATATCTATATACTGTATAACTATTTATTTTATTGATATTTTAATTTATCCACATTTATATAGAGACTGGAATTGAATTAAAGGACAGCTTTCTAGAGAATGGCACCAATAGATTACTCCATCGAAACAAAGATATTCGTCACTCATTTGATGTCCACGAAAGAAATGACAGATCCATTGCTTCGAAAGTCAAATAAATGGTGTCTTTATTTGTTGAGTTGATTTGTCGACATTTGTTGAATTAGGTTTATTTTTATCTAAAACTTTTCATTATTAAAAGTATGAATTATTTGAAAAATTGACTGTTAAGGTCTGGTATTAAACTTTAAATTGAGCCAAACAAACATGTTTTCACTTAAATATACATATTATTGAACAAAATTATGGATTTGTTTGTGTTATTTTCACCCATAATTATAAACAAACATTCATTTAAATAAGTATAAGAGTCTAATAAACAACAAATTTACATATATTTAAATTAATGATCTAACTTATACTCTTAAAGTATTGTTTTTAATTATTTATTGGTTTTATTATTTATTTTATTTTTGGGGTGCAATTGGTTTTGAAACTTAGCTTTACTTAAATTTTTTTCTCTACAATTTAATATAATTATTATAATTAAAATGAAGTGTTAATAAACTAATAGATTTAGTGAATGTTTCAATCAATGCATTCGTGGCCTTTGAGTTTGCCTATGCCTAAAACCATTGTTATATTCGGTCTTTTTGGGTATAAATGATTGACATTTTGTGAAAAATACATCATATTATTAATTACTTTATCTGAAACTCATAAAACAAATATTTTCCAAACATTTAAATATTTATTATATATTATCTATATTCTCTAATATACAGAATTCTATATATATATATATATAAATATCATATATCATGATTATTAAGTTACTAAATTATGATATTATAAATTAATTAAAATTTAAGCAACAATTGTCTTTAAAATATCTTTTTGCTTGTTTTGACAATTATTTATAATTATTTTAAATATGCCATAAAATATTTTTTCTTTAATATTATTATTATGTAATTTATTTTTTAAAGAAATGTTAACATTTTTTGTTTGTTTAATTATAATAGTCTATTGACAAACACTGATATGGATAAGCCTTTAACATAAGTTAAATCCCAATAAAAACTTATGTTTTATTTTTAATTATTAAAAGATACATAAATAACACAAAAAAGTGAAATAATTTGTTTTTTACTAAAGGGTAACAAATTTTCCTAATTATAAATTCCTAAAAGGTTTATTTAATTGAAGTGTTTAATTGTTTGTAATATAGGCTAATATTTTTTAATTAATTGGTTTTCATATGATAATAGTGTTAATTTAGTAATCACTTCAACAACAATACATATATATATACTTTATTTATTGTTAAAAAAGTTGTTTAAAAATATATATTTAATTAAACTGAACTCTTGTTATCAGTTGTAAACATGAATTAACACTGAATTGTTATTTGGAAAATATTTTAATTTAAGATAATTTATATCTAAATATATAAATATCTATATCTCATGCATATATGAAACATCTATATATTATTATATAAGAGTGAATCATAATGTGATCAAAGATTATTACAATATATAAATATATAATTAAAGTATAAAATTTGTAAATTATGGTATAAATGGCAAACAAAGTTATTATTGTATTATTACTATTATTAAGATTATATTATGAAAATTAAACAAATGATTCAATATATTGTAATTTTTTTTATGTTTTACATGTATTGATTCGTTAACTACTGCTAAAGGAATATAAAACAAATATGTTATAATTTATAAATATTTATGATATAAAAGATAAAAATACAAAAATATTGTGATAAAAATAAATATTAAATGTGTTGTATTTTGAATGCGAAAAATTTTATGATTTAATTATAATTCAATTATAATTATATTCCATTCAATGATTGCATATATTCTTTATCGATATATTCACTAAAATACAAAAATTTATGGATATATGATATAAGAAAAATAAATAAATCATTTTTCAATCAAATTGTTGTCTTATTTTATTATTTATTTCAAACTATTGTACAAATAAAAAAATAGTATAAATCATTTTATTTACAATAAATACAAAATTCAATTGAATGTCAAAATGTTGCATACAATAGATGGATATACAGTATAATAATAATTAGATATTCATATATAAATCATATGTTCATTTAAATAATAAAAGTAATAAATGTATTAATGTATATAAGACTATCAATAATGTATGTAAAACAATGTAAACAATGTTAATGTCAACTAAATAACATTAATATCTAATAAGGACTGACCCTTAATGACGGATCAATTATAAGAATACAATCAATTCTTCCAATTTTATGAAGTGCTTTAAGTAATAAATTTATGGTTGAATTTTCACATTTACTCCACTCATTGAGGAAATACTGGACACAATTCATGCGTTGACGACCCATAGATTCAAACATTAATATACTTTCATCAGAATATCCTACAATAAAATTATATATTTGTATTAATTTTTGATATAATATTTATATAAATAATAGATATTTATATAAATACCTAATTGTTTGGCCAAACTCTTCCAACTCTGCGATTCTTTGTTGAGATTCTTTTCAAAAGCTCTTCTCGAAAATGTATTCAATTCATTATAACGTTTATCTGATAAAAACAATGTTTTTTTTGGTCATCAAAATACTGTCAGTGATAACAAATAAGTTAATTATAATACCTATAAGACATTTATTTGTTTTTTCATTTGAATATTTATTGTAATTACTAATTGTTTTATTTGTTTTGATTACTGGAATATAATTGTATTGTCTCTGTCTTTGAGAGTGAACTTCTTTATTATAATTGTTGTGATAATTGACCGGATATTTGAAGGTCTGTTGGCTATTAAAGTTTGACTCAGTCTTTACTATTGTTTTGAATCGCAATTGAAATATAATATATACGAATAAAACCAATACAATGGCAATCAAAAGTCCAAAATAAATATATAATGAATTTCCCGTATTTTCAATAAAGTCGTCATCTTTTATGGCATTCAATGAATATTTAAGTTTTCGTTTATCTGTTGAAAATTGGTATTTAATTTATTAATAATATTATTGTAAAAAATCGTTATAAAATTAATATTATAAACTATTATATTATAATTAGACATTTTAAGTATGTTTAAAATTAAATGCAATCTCAATTAGTAAATTTAATTTTATTAAGTTATGTAATAATATTTTTCTGATGAATAAACTACACATTATTATAATAAAGTTAAATAAATTAAAATTATTACAAGTTATAAATTTATCGCTTATAACTTTATAACTTTTAAAATTCAATTAATACTATAAAACTTAATTATAAACCCCTTAAGGATGAAAACCAAAAAGTTTTAAAAATATCGAAATAATTTAATCAAATGTTAAAACCAGAAATACTATAAAATTTATATATAATTTTAGTGATAATTAATAAATAAATTTACAATGATATTACTATGATGAACTTATAATTAAAAATTAAAAATATTCAAACTAATTAATTAATTAATTTTGTTAACTGAAAATACATTAAAACTAAATTTATAATTATAGTCTATTTAATTATGAAGTTTATATACTATATTGATTCAAGATAACCGTTTTATAATATAATCATATTTTATCTAAATAGGATATAAATATTTTTTAAACAATAATGTGTTACCTGGCTACTACTAGTAGTAGTACTGTATATACGGTATATAAGCAATATAAAACAATTTGTACAAATTATATATTATCTTCTCATTATTTATTATATTACTGTATTTATATATTTAATATTTTTAAACAATAAGCTAATTTAAAATGCTAATTAATAAAACAAAAATATAAAATAAATGTAGTTATATTAAAATTGAAATACAGTAAAACTTAATTAATTATAGATTAAGTATAAAAATATGAAATAATAAAAATGATTTTTTAGCCGAAATAGTGAATAGTGTTTTGAAAGTCGGCTTATTTTGCATTAATTGTCAGTAATAATAGTGTTTTTGGCTTAGAGTAAGAGTGAGGTTCAGTTGGATTACACCTATCATTATAATGAAAGCTTAAAATAAGTCTCYTCTCTCTCTCTCTCTCTCTCTCTCTCTCTCTCTCTCTCTCTCTCTCTTTCAATGTATTCCCACTCGACTCTGACAATGCATTCATACAATGTATTGAATGTATATTTCAATGTAAACCTGCTGTGAATTTAAGCATTTTTTAATTCAAGCATTTTCTCCGCCCGTTTCGCACCTCTCAGTCTATCTCTCACTGGATGGGCGTTAGGGATGAGTCGACCAAAAGAGCAAATCTATGACTTGTAACCCATAATTACAGGACTGACTTGACTTTATTCCACTATTTTTTTTATTTAATATACATTACTATTAGTGAGAAAAATAGAGGGAATACAGTGTTGAGGCAAACATTTTTTGAGATACACTCGACTCAGATCAGACTGAAACGCACCGGCAATGCATGCCTTACACTCTTATTATAAGTTATTCTAACACCTGAACTGCCGGTGCGATTGCAAGTGATTGCAAATTACAGTCTGTAATTTGGTGTCGGTTCTGACTTTGCCATTAACTCAATGCCCTGCAGGCGACTCATATACCGACCGGTGCTCAACGTGTATTCACTTCTATCATAATAAGCTCTCTCTCTCTCTCTCTCTCTCTCCAAATGTTTCCTTTTCTTACGGTTTAACTTCTATTCAATGCAATCATAACTTTTTATGACTAAAAATGTTTTCTTTCTTTTTTTAAATTTTAGTTTTTGTTTTTCCAAAAATCTATATAACAAAACATTTCTTGTTATAACAAAATAGTTGATATAGTATTTGGCATTTCATTGATTTTTTTGTTATTACAATATATTAATAATAAATATGTTTGCATTTGGATTTAATTTGGATTTAAAAAATAGCAAAATGCTGTATATTTATTGAGAATACAATTTAACACACTATATATACCGGTATACTGTATATATATAATACTGTATATATATAATACTGTATATATATAATACTGTATATATATACTATATAAATATATGGTATAAAAAATATAATCTAATATTTTTGAGAGAAGTACATGTATTGTAGTAAATGTATGTATATATGACTTACCGATACAAATAGAGTCGTGAACTCCCGAGCATTCTTCAAGCATTACTATTAATATTAAATATAAAAGCATTTAATTAAAGCATTCAATTGTAAACATGTTTTTGATATATTGAAAAACTTATGGCAATTAAGCTATACCTTCATCTGAATTACATTTCGTGCATAAAATACAGCCCAAAGTACCGGTTTGGACACCAGAAAAGGTGCCGGGAGGACACTTTCGGCACACCGTGTTTCGAGCACCCCTACAACTACGCCAAATACCTGTCCATTTAAAACATTAATTAAGAAAAAAGCAAAAAACATAAATTATTTTTACAGCAAATAAATATAAAATTTAGTTTCGCATCTTATTTAAAGACATAAATGTCTATTTGATAGACTAAACGACTATAAACTATCCGATTGTATTGCTATTAAATGAGACATTAATTATAAATTGTAATAATTATAACATAACGCTATATTAGTTGGTCATTAACACTGTTGATAATTAATTTTTGTGATTATTATTTCTTAAATATTCAATTTAACTAAATATTATATAACTTTGAACTTATTTTTTTATAGACAACAATATAAAGTTTATAAATAATATTATTCATACGGCATAATATAATACTATAGTAAAGAATTGTAATATACATTATTGTATGTAAAAATAATATATTATACAGTATTATGTCAATAATAATAATAAAATTCATTATATTTATAAAGAAAATAAATTGTTTAGCACTTGAATGTGATAGCGAGGGCTCAATAAATAGCAGGTGTAGTGTAGTGTTAGCTGAGATATAACATGTAAGCACTATTGCTATCAATAGACAGGCAGTGTGTGACAGGGGATACCTGTAATTAAAGGGAAGTCAGAGAGTGTCGGATGACTTAAACGTTTTATTATTTTGAAAAGATTTGTGCAAAAGTTTATGGTTTTCATTCACAGTGTTATGATATTAGAGGGTCACATGAATTCCTCGAATAGCACATTGAGAGCACTGTTAGGTTAGGGCAGTGCCTGACAGTGACCCTTTGGGACACACTTTCGTTTATTGGACACTAATTTCATATATAGTTGTTTTTATTGGACACCAATTAAACGATTGTCGTGTTTGTTATCACAAAACAAAAACGTTTCCGACAAACAATTAAATTATTAATTTTCACAATAAAACTCTTCAATAAATGACTTATTCGGCGCCAAAACAAATCTAAATATTTGTTTTCATAGCACTGCTAAAAGCTATTAAAAAGTTTGCAATTGCCATAAAATTTCTATATTTAACTATAGTTTAGCATTTCTTTACAACATTATAATTAATATACGGATCTAATTCAGTATTGTAGTATTAAATTTATATATATATTAAAATATTAAATCTCATATATATTTGCTGTAAATATATTATATTTACCCCATCCTGGATCACATGTTGAGCACTGTTTGCACGTGAAATCACTGGCCATAAAATATCCCGAATTACAAACACATTGAGTGTCATGAGTTTCGTTACATTTTTGATCAACTTTTGAGTTTACGGGACAGTTATGCGTGCAGTCAATACATTGATGTCGTCTAATATCCAAATATGACTGACCGAAAGTACAATTTCTTTCAAATGTCAAGTTTTTGGTTTCACTAATTGTTTGAATAAATATTTGACTGGCATTTGAAAAAAGTCTGTTTCGACTTATAATACATTTGAGATCATTGAATGAACAGTTGGTTTGCCGTAAATTTATATCAGAGTTGACATCAGAGTCAAGATTTGATGCGATATTGTCTTCAATACAAATAACACTTTTTATCTAAAAATAAATATATAAAATAATAAGATATTCTTATAATATATTAATATTGGACTTACCATAAAAATACTTAAATATAAATATATTGTTTTTACAAACATTTTAAAAATTAACTTTTATAAATTATTTTATAAATCAAAATTTTCAGTTAGAAATAAATATTTAATTTATATTAAAAATCATGACAAACACATAATACAATAAAAATAAACTTAGATCTCATAAATATAGTAATGAAGTGATCAAATAAATGACATTTTCTTAACTAAATTAGTTATCAAATGTTTTACAAAAATCCCAAATGATTTTATCAGAAAAAAAACTTTTTGCACTCATTTATCTTCAAAGTTATGCTAAAACTCTTAATAAGTAGTGGACTGATGTTTGGTTCAGATGTTTGCCGTTTGTTATTAGTTGTGAATCACAACCTCATATGAGTCTCTCAACTAATGAAAACTGGATTTTGAACCCAACTGTGCTCTCTCTCTCTCTCTTTTCTTTGGTGTAAATACCGGGCGGTAACCACCACTTGCAAAGTTATGCCTACTTTTTACAACTTAAGCTAAACTTTTTTGATGCACCGAAACAACACATGAAAGTGAATCTTATTTGTGATTCAAACGGCAAAAACATAAATGTAATGATAAACGACTGCTTTAAGCAATATTTTAATAGTCAGACAAATATAACACTTTATATCGAAAATATTTTTATGCCTTATCGCTAGTTATTGTTAATTTATTATTTTTATTATGATTTAGTTTATATGAAAGACAATTTTGCCGATATATTTTTACATATTTGTGAATTAACATTTTACCAATAGTTTAAATTAAATTATTAAAAATTGTAATTTTATCGATTGCAATAATACTAAAATTTAGTAGATTTAATAATTTTTAAGATATAATAAATAGATAGTAAGTTAGATTATTCTTGTAATATTGTTTTATTGTATATATACTGCAAAATTTTTTGAATATTTATTATAACATTATTAACATAATTTTTACATTTAAAATAATTAAAAACAATAGTAATTTATTGAATAGGCATATATTATTATTAACTATGTCATTGATGTTTATACTTTATAATGTATTATAAATTACTGTATTATATTAATAATATACTGAATTTCATATTAATTTCTCATTTCTCATTATACTGTACTGTAATATTGATACAGTATATAAAACTAGATACAAAACTATATTATTAACAAAATTAAAATATTATAAATTAATAAATAAAAATCATCTGAAATTTTTTGAAATTTACTTAATTACAAATTAGTAGTCTGATTACCGGTAATACTGTAATTATTATTGATTTTTAGCTAAATGTTTGTTAAAAATAAAGTCATTATAAACTATGATATACAACGGTATATACTGTACAGTAGTGTATTAAATGTTTATAAAATATTAATTTATTAAAATCAATTATGTATACCAGGGTACAAATGTTTGCTAATATCAATCATAAAAATGGGTAATTATTAATGCAAACATAAGTATGAGAATATTTTTTGTGAAATTTTTATTCTACAGTATAATAAAATTACTATAATAATTATACAATTATTGTAGTGAATTATAAAAATATTTTTTTAGTTAATAGTTTAGTTAGCTCTCAAAAAATAATAATCTTATCAACAAATTAAACATCAAATATATAAACAATTATTTATTATATAACACAATGTCTGATACATAGCTATTTATCATTGAAGTGTAAATTTATGATTAGTAATCATAGATTGGAATAATATTTTGAGTAAACAAATTATATTGCGATTAATTAATTATATTTATTGTAAAATTAATTATATTTATTGTAAAATTAATAATAATTATGAATAAATTGATTGAATTTATATTTTTAATAATTATTCTAAACTATTGTCAAAATGATAGCTCAACGATGAAGTATACGATAAGCAGATTATGGGATAACCGAACCATTGCTAGCAATGAGACAATTGATGTTAGTTTTGAATATGTGATCACAGATAACAATAAGCCGAAAGACTTGAAGATTACAATTGAAGCGCCCTTTTATGACAACCCGAAAATACCTGATAATACCTCTGTTGGCTCTATGGATAAGCTTTGGGAGTACGAAGTGGTCGAAGCATTTCTATTGGGATCCGATGATCACTATTTAGAGATCGAGTTTGGTCCGAGAGGACAGTATTTATTGCTTCAATTGCATGGATATCGAAATGTTACTAAATATCCGCTACCATTAAATCATTATTTGGCTACAATTGACGGCAATCAGTGGACAGGTGTCGGAATTATTCCTAACGATTATTTACCGCCCAATTTGTCCAAATTTAACGCCTATGCCATCCACGGAACAGATCCTAACCGCCAATATTTAGCATTATTTCCGACTCCTTTTGGCAAATATCAAGACCCAGACTTTCATCGATTAGAGTATTTCCAAAAGTTTGATCTCTAATAACAAGAATTTATAATTTTATTTAAATTAATTTCATTCAATAAATGTTTTTTTTAGAAAATGATATCAATTATAAATATCATTTGATAATACATTTATAAATAAAATTATTTGAATATAAAATTTCATATTTGTTTGAAATGATATTTATTTTCAAGAATAGAAAGCGTCGATTTGAGAGCACATCCATTGCGGATGATTTTGAAACAGTCTTTGACTGATAAGTCAACAATAGTTGAGCCCAACCTCATGGGGTCAGACTTGGCAAGAGTTCCGTCGTCGAAGATTAATGACAACTTTGGCCACAAATGCAAAAACTCTTTGACATTCAGACAACTCGGTTCTGAACTGAGGTTAGCACTCGTCAGACCCAATGGACCGCAAAGTCGACATAAATCACGAATGAACTTATGGTCGGGAATACGGATACCAATTAAGTCATGCATTGGGTTTAGAGTGGAATTGAGTTCTTTAGATCTCTTAAACAGAACAGTGACCGGACCGGGCAATAGATCGTCCAATACTTCTCTTTTAATGGTTAAATCACACCATTTGGCCATTTGGTCGATATCTGAAACACAGATGACTATGGCTTTTGTTATATCTCTTGCTTTCAATTCGTAGAGTTGTTTGATGGCCACGTCGTTAAATACCGAAATGGCCAAACCATAAATGGTATCCGTCGGTAAAGAAATAATTTGTCCCTTAAAGAGGGCATCCCTTGCCATCAATAAATTTGTGTCATTAGTCTTGCCATTCAATGAACTCAAACGAATCAGTTTAGACATAATAGCTTGCATTTGATGGTTTGATCCCTTTTTCAGTCACTTATAAAGTTATAAATCATATATATCTTCACATCACTTAAATATTGACCACATGTGCGGACATTACATCACTTGTCAAATGATTTAAATTCATCGTCAATAATGTTGTCCTCACTAGAGGTCAGTCATCACTTACAAGACATTTGACATTAGTTTTTGAATGATTTATTGTTTTAAATGTTATTAAATTAAATTGATTTATTTTACACCGAGTTTTGTTGCAATCGATATAATCACAACTAAATACCGATTGAGTGGTCAATCTGTCAGTAATGAAATGACAGTCTTTGTGGTCAATAGTGTCGCCACATATGAGTCGACAAAGAAATGATAGTCTGTTTGAGATAACAATCAACTCTTTATTGATGTCTTCGTTGAGTTTCAGCTGTTTTTCAGACAAAGTTGTTGACATCTGTCGCAACTCTTGAACCGTATTTGACTTATATTTGATACACATTTTGATAACTATAGGATATGTCGGATGTATTGGTGAAACAAATGAAGACAACAACCAATTGATGACAACTGTAATTACTGTCCAATAATTGTCATTATTTTGTCAATTAATTTGATAACCAATTGAATGCATATCTATTTCCATCAGTAAAGACAACTATCGAGTGAAGACTGAAACAATGGGTAAACAAATAGTTTAATGAATTAATTAAGTGATTAATTGAAGATTTGATTGAATTTGCAAATAGGTTACGACACGTCGCGATTTGATTGCTCTGTCGATGAAGAGCTCATTTGTCCCATTTGTTCGGGAGTTCTGGAGGACGCACTTCAGGTATCGATGACATAGTATTTATGATCACTAAATGATTTATAATTTTCTTTAGGCGCCGGTCTGTGAACACGCCTTCTGCAGCTCTTGTATTAAAGTGAGGATTAGTTAGGATATGATTGCAGTGAAAGATAATTAATAAATACATTTGATTTATTAATAATCAATAGGAATGGTTGAGCCGCCAAAACACGTGTCCCGTTGACAGACAACCGGTCACTTCATCTCAACTGAAGTGTGCGCCAAGAATTTTACGAAACCTATTGTCCAGACTTAACATAGAGTGCGATAATGCGGTCTACGGCTGCAAAATGATTGTTAAATTAGATTATCTTCAAAATCATTGCAATGAATGTGATTTTAATCCTAAGAAACCCGTTCCCTGTGATTCTGGTTGTGGTTTAATTGTACCCAAAGATGAGCTAAAGGTTTTACAAATATCTTATATAACGGTTAATACAGAAAAATTAATATAAATTATTAATCAATATTAGGATCACAATTGTGTCCGCGATTTGCGATCATATGTTGAGAAACAAAGCGAACAAATATCAAAACTACAGCAACACTACAACGATATGAAACGTGAGGTCAATATGTTGAAGGACTGCGTGCGTGCCATACGAGCGGCAAATCCTAATGGTATCCCAGCTATAGTCGAAAGCTTTGAACACGACGAAGTTGACAGATGGACAAACAGTCTTCAGAGGGCACGCGTTACGCGCTGGGGAGGAATGATTAGCACTCCTGATGTTTCATTACAGGAATCGGTGAGGAAAGCATTGATTGATTCATCGGCTCCTTTGCATATAATAACCGAATTAATGGAGAATTCTCACGAACGTCGGTGGCCGCCGGGGTTAAGCACTCTTGAAATAAGACAAATGAATAGAAGACTTTATGATAATTATGTCTGCAGAAGAATTCCTGGCAGACAAGCTGTTGTTGTTATGTCTTCTGATAATCAACACATGAATGAAGATATGCTTCTCGAGCCGGGACTCGTCATGATCTTTGCTCACGGAATTGAATGATATCTTACAGTATCACCAAAAAAACATCTCTTTATTTATATTTATTTTTGTCATAAGTACTATAAATTTAATTATTAAATAAAATTATTAATCTAATGTATTTAAATAATCTAATATTTATTTTTTAATCATTTAAATTAGCGGTTTAGAAAATTATTATTAAATGCTTAAAATTTATAATTGATCTCTAAGTTTAAGTTTTATTTTAAAAGACATTTTAAATTGTATAAATTTTATTATTAATTAATTATATTAATATTTCTTTAATTGAAGTGAAAAATAAATGGATAAGTATTTTTTAATATAAGATTTTATTTATCGATTTAACTATACTTTTATTAAAACTATCCAAATTTCAACAATCCTACTATTAGTTTGAAATAAAAATGAATTTACTATTGGCTAATGTAAAGCATTAGATATTATTTGATGCTATTTTTAGATGAGTTTGTCGATCGATAAACGGCACGAATATATAGTAGTAATAATAATATAGTATTTAATTTTCATTTAATAATGATTTATTTTTCGTCAATTTTTACTAAAAAAATAGTTTTTAATTAAGTTATTCAAACAAACTAATAGTTAATAATTATTAAATAATAGATGAAATTAGATAAATAAATAAATTATTATAGGAATAAAAAACTTAAATTAACAAAAGTATTATCAAAATGAATGTATTTTCCAAAACATTGCACTGTTTGTGGTTCTCTGAGTTTCAGTAAATCATTTCATATATTCTATATATTCTTATATATAGAAAATAAAACAAATATAGTGTTTGTTTTACAAAAAAATAAGTCTATTATGAATATGTGCTATAAATGAATGAAAATTATCGAAATATATATAATTAATATAAATAATTTTAAAAATTATCATTTTCTACACTTATTTTAACGATAATTAATCAAATAAAAAAATAATATAAAACGACTCTACAATACTACTATTTAAGTCTAGAAATCAATAAATAATTATTAATGCGATCAATACTTTAAATATACAGTACATAATAACTACAGTATTGTAGAGAATCATTGTTCACATATGAATACTACCCATAATTTAAATTATATAAAATACATACAAATATTATTAAAGTTGTTTATAATATCTAATTTAGTAATTATCTAATTTGGGTTAACTTAACATTTAGTCACAAACTTAGATCCTTTACATCATTATAAAAAGTCCATCGTTTTTGCAGTTATTCTCATAAATAGATCTCTCCCTACAGTATAATACCTGTAGTCTCAAAATATTATACTTTTTAGAGTTTGGTTAAACTTAAGACGGGAAGTTTCCACATGAATTCCCTACAATATATTATACAAGAAAACTATAAAATAATAAATTAATAAATTACACCATTTGGTTAATTGTGCATTCACAATTTAATTATATTTATCTAATTAATTTTTACGTAAAATTTATTGACAATACTTTAAATACAGTAAATCATTGATAAAATGAATTGTCAATAATTATGAGTTTTGCTAAAAAATAATATAATAAATCAGATTTGTTTGGGCAAATGTAGTCATAATTTTATTTATTAATTTATAACTTTTTATGTTTTTTTAAATATACTATTGATATACATTATAGTACTAATTAAAAACGAATATAAACTCAAAAAAATGTTATTTCGGTTAAATTTTTATATATTACTATTGTATTTCAATTGTTAATTGACAATCAAAATTATAATCTAACTTTACATTTAATATTAATATAATTAAAAGCTATTGAATATAATTTGTTGAAAATTTTATGATAGATATTTGATAGAAACATCGATATATATGATAGATGTATTTTAGCTAATTTTTTATATAACTTGATTGAATAGTTTAGAAGATATTAACGATTTAGTGTATATTTTTACAATAAAATGCAAAATTGATATTTTCTCATTCAATAACATTGCTGTAATATTCCGGGCAAACAAAAAAAAACTCTATATTAACCCTAAACGCTAACCTTTAAACTACTGTACTGTACTATCAGTCTATATTTAGAAGTTATAATTGCAATTAAATATAAAATTAATAGCATTTTAATAATAAATTTTAGAGCAATTAAAGTATACATGGACAATTTGTATTTTCGCAATGTTAATCATCAATATTTAAATATAATAATAATAGTATTTGTTTATGAAAACGTATTAACAAAATGTACAAAAATATGTATAATGTTTGTTATATAAATTATATAATAATATAATACATTTATAGTAAGCTAATTACTGAAATGATGAACAACTAAAAAAATATTTTTAAAAATTTTTTTAAATATGTTTTAAATTAATATAAAAAACTAATATATAAACAAAACAGTTATATATATATATATATATATATATATATATATATATATATATATATATATATATATATACATCTATCTATCTATCTGTAAAAATAATAAATACAGTAAATATAGTAAAGTTTTGTATAAACTTCATGTACACTATAGCATAGATTAGACGTGTTATATTGGGTCCCAATCTTGTAATACCATAAAGAATCACGATTTTAGTTATCTTATCTAAGTTATCTAATTATTATGAATATATAAAATTATATATAATTGTATTATATATATTTGTATATATCATACAATATATTTAATTGTAATCAAAATTTTATAAATAATTTCAAATTACTTAGCTATGCTAAATATAAATTTAGATATGTATTACTAAATATTACTATATTTTAAGTAATGATAATTATTAAATATTTTATTTTAGATATTTATATAATATATTTTTAATCAAATTATTAAGAATTGATTATAAATATATAGAAAAATGGTTTTTAATTATTATAATGAATATAATGTTAAATTATAAATATTTTAGACATAATTTATATAGAAAAACATAGTAATGATAAAAATGTTGAAAGTCTAGTATAAATCTATAGTATTGCAAACATATATAATACTAATACTTGGTTTGTATGAATGTGAGTGTATATGCTATATGTCTGTACTGTATAGCTATTGCTTGTATTAATGAGTCTATAGTACAGTATATGTTGTGTACTGTAGTGTTGGCCAAAGTGTTCGTCACTTTTCTCTCCAAAAAAGCGCTTTCAATATGGAGTCACATATTGTGTGACAATATTAGTGAATGTATTGAATGACTGTTTATGTTATGTTATGTTATGTTATGTTGTTATATAAGTTGTGATGAATTTCAAGTGAATATAAATAATTATATTTTGATTTCAATTACAAACTTATCGTTTAATTAAACATCATTTAAATGATAACCAGATTTGTTGATTGAGTGGACACGAGTGACAAACCATACAATTGTCTCAACAATTAATAAATGATTTGAAGGTAAGTAACAAATGTTTACAATGACTGTCATCGATGTGTGCCTTATATATAGGTTAACATTAATTAGTTATTAATTAGTTTATAATTACATTTAATTTAAGTCTGTTTTTATTAATTAAATTATATAAAAGTAAAATCGTTTATATAATTGTCAGACAAAGAGATTAAAAGAAATATAATTATTATTATAAGATATAAAAATGATTTTAACAGTTACTTAATGGCAGACATAACAGTAATATTCAACTATTAATTGATTTTAAGTGTTATTATATTGAATGACATTTTAATATATTATTTAATTGAATTGAATTGAATATAAAAGTATTGAAATAATTAGCAAAAGACGTGATAATTAAATGAATGCTTTTTTGTGTAACGACTGAATCAGATGTCTAAACGCAAATGGGATGAGTTGTGTGAATCAAATGAAAATTTAAGACCCGATTCTAGTGATACCAGAGATAATGAGAGACAAGTGAACAACAATGAGGTTATTGATGACAATTATGAAACATATGAACAAAATGATGTCAACGAAGACATCGATTCAAGTGATGAACCGATACATAAAATGGCGCGAAATGAGTGTGACGTTCAACAGATACAAGAGTGCAGTCATTCAGATGATGTCTGCCATTCAATGCCTACTATTGATAACAATCTACAGTATAATAATGTCAACGATGTTATCGATTCAAACAACAGTGAGATTAGTAGTTCTGGAATCAGTAGTTCCAGTAATGTTGATGTCATGGCATCGACTAATCATTTGGATGACACTTGTTGTGAGGTAGTGGTGGCCACCACTGTTGCTGATGTCTCCACTTCTATTGATGAAGATTTGGGCTTAGATTCGGACAATAATGTGATTGAAAGTGATTGCAATGATAGTGCCGACAATAAAGTGAGCTGTAGTTCAGAGACTACTGCCAATGGACAACCATTTTGTCAGTTAGAAGATATAAACAGAAGTGAAGTATATGTTGAACTACCCATTAGTGACAATGAAGTTTACGAACCACAACAATCACAACTTGTCGACGAAAGCCAACAACAAATTGTGGCCGAAGAGGTTGTAATCAGTAACAGCACTAATGATGATATAAACTATGAGTTGAATAATAGTCCCGTTTATGGCGATGAAAATGAATGTCCTATTAGTGTTCCCGAAGAAAATGAGCACTCGTTAAGTGATAATTCAAATTCTGATTATAACTACGAAGCTGTTCATCAAAACGAAGAAATAGTTACTCAAGAAAGTGAGTGTCAGACTATTGAAATTGAGACCAACGAGTGTTCCAATGAGATAAGTGTTGGAACTGATCCAATTGTAGAAGTTGGAGATAATGTAACGATTGAGTCTACTTATGATGGCAGCAACTCAAGTGTTGGCGCAAGTTTTGTAAGCAATGGAAGTGCTGACGCTCCGACTACTTCTTCATCAATAGGCGGACAATCAAGTGTTGATTCATCAGAAGTTGATATTGAATATAAGTCACTTCTCAAGACTCCGGGAAAGTCTAAAACGAAGAAAACAGTTATCTTCGATGGTGTAACTGTTTACTACTTTCCGCGCTCTCAGGGCTTTACATGTGTGCCATCACAGGGCGGGTCTACTCTTGGAATGGATATACAACACATAGATTTTAAGACATTTTCAATGGAAGGACACGCAGAAGAACGTAAAAGAGTCCACAGAGAGATATTGATGAGACAAAGAAGGTTCGCAAAAATGCAGGAAAAACGATACGTAAATCTGACCTCATCTTCAGAGTCTGAAGAGGAATTATACGACGATTTAAGCGACATATCGGACTCGGAATTGGAAACTGACAGTTGCTATTTCCTTCAACCGGTTCCCATACGACAGCGCAGAGCTTTGTTGAGGGCTTCCGGTGTTAGAAAGATTGAAACACAAGAAAAGGAAGAATGTCGAGACATTAGAGTCTCCAGAGAATACTGCGGCTGTGAATGTCGTATATATTGTGATCCCGAGACATGTAGCTGCAGTTTAGCCGGCATTAAATGTCAAGTGGACAGGTATCATATGCTTTGTTTTACTATATTTTATTGACGTGACTTCAATTAAATGATTTATCATATCCTATTATAGGATAAGCTTTCCGTGCGGTTGTACTCGAGATGGCTGTGCCAACACTAATGGTAGGATAGAGTTTAACCCGTTGCGAGTGAGGACTCATTTTATCCATACATTGATGCGCATCGAACTCGAGAAGAAACAGGTTTGCCAATCATATGAACCAACCGTTTCTAACACTTCCTCTCTAACCACTCAAATCTTTTTGATTGTTTTTATTTTTATTTATTATAACATTTATTTATTTGTTTGATTTCTGTATTTGTTTTTTTAAATGTTTTTTTATCATTATTAATATTTTATTAATCTTATAATAATTTTATTACTTTTTATTATGTCTATTGTTATGTCTATTTTTTAATAAATATAGTGTTGAGTAATGTATTTATATATTTACTAATATTTTTTATATATATGTATTTATTAGTCACGAGACCAGGAGTTGAATGGACGGCCACAGCAATGCCAATCAGCTGACAATTATGTCAGTTCCAGTAGTTATTCAAATAATCATCAAATGATACCAACAATGAGTTGTGCCAATTCTCAGAGTATTAATAATAATTTTATGCCATCAGTCAGTCATAACTCAAATGCAACCATTAATATGAGTCCAGAGCCAACCACTAATTCAAATTCATTGGATGTATATAATAGTTCCCCCTTTAGTCCCGATGATAGCTCTTATTCAGAGAACTCAGATTATACCAGTGATGATTATGATTCAGATACTCCCAATAACAACAATTACAATAAGTTTACCACACAATCACTACAACCTATGGAAAGCAGTTCAGCACCAACTGCTTCTACAAGTGCTATAACATCATCAACCGCTTCATTGCCTCCATTTCCAACAATAAGTGCGACCACAGCTATCAACGCTGTTAATAGTCATAGCAATTCATTTATAGCATTTGCTCAAAATGGACAGTTCGCTGCAAATCAGTTGTCCTCTCATACCATTAATGCACAATCTTTTGCCCCCCAATATGTAATTCATCCGCAAATTTATAATTACTCTGATTTATATCAACGACATTACGTATTAACAAATGCAAGCGCATCAAACATCAACGCTCAACAATGTCCAACAAATACCACTTCACAACTCTTGATTGAAAACAACAACAATTTGCAAACAAATAATAACAATCACAACAACAATAATAATAATTGTGAAGTTATTCCCGTAATCAACTCTAATGAAGACGTACAACAATATACAGACCTTAGTCTATCAATTGCTTCTTCATCAGCTCACGAAAGCCTCAATGGCCTGTTGTCTGCGGCCACAGCCAGTAGTTGTAAAGATAATCGTTTAACTCCTGTCCTTCTAAATGATACACTCAATGGTGAGTCATTGACTGAAGATGAGACCAATGACTTGTCATTGAGTAAAGAAAATAGTGAGTCACAAGAGTCCTCTTCATTTATATCGTCTGATTGTTCTGAAGGTGACAATAATCTCGACAATAATGAAATTCTATTGAAAACAGATGAAGTCTGTAACGATAATTGCGATAATTTTGGCGAAATAATTAAGAAGACAATTGTCGAAACTGTGAGCGCATGATATTAATCATTGTTTTAGTTGTCACCAATTGCTCACATTTATCGGTGCTTTAATTAATAATAATAATAATAGTTTGGTATTATTTTTATTGTTATATCACTACATAAATATGGTTACAAATCAACTTACCATCAATATTATCTCCAATCCATTTGATTTTGTGTAAATGTGACAAAAATTGTCTTTAATATACAATTTATGCCAATATCTTGTATTAAATGACATTTGATTTAAATTTTATCTAAATCCGACTAAACTGTCAAACGGATTAATTAAATTAATTATTGAACCTCATATAAAGTATATAGTTATTAAATTAACTATAATTAACTTATAAATGTTAATATTAGGTGTCGGTTCCTTTTGTTTAAATTTTAATTTACATATGTTTTAAATTTTTATTAATATTTAATGTTATCAGTGTTGACCTTTTTTTTTAATTTATAGTATAATATAATCAATTAATTGTAATATACTTGAAATTACTACCAAAACTCATTTCATCAAAGCAGATGTCATTAATTTAATGATATTCATAATACCGGTATATATATATATATATATATACAGTATATAAATAAATATATATATATACACTTTATAATCCACATATATTTAAAATATAGTCGAAATATATATTCATTTAACAAATAATAACATATGAAAATATATATAGATTTGTAAGTTTTACAAACAATTGAATTTAATATTATTATTAAATAATATAAACAATTAGATTATTGTTTTGTGACAATAATTGTTATAAATTTTTAGATCTTAATTGCAATTAAATAAAAAATACTTGTATTAAAATCACAATTTTATGTATTTTAAAAATATTGTGCAAATTTTGTTTCATTTATATAATCATTTGTATAATTTTGCTTAAAAATTAACAAATTTATTAGATTTATAAAATCAATTTATTTAAATAAAAATTACAATTGTTTTTCTATTTATTTATTTAATATACAATATATTTCTATACTTTATATTATTAATACATACAATATATCTGTGATGTCTATTGCAAACTATAAGAACAGTAATACAGATAATGCCAATTAAAAGTTTAAATTTGAGTTATATAGTGTACAGTTAACTTTACGCTAAGCAAGGTAACTTGATATACAGTTAACTAATATTAGGTAAGTTATATAAAGTACCCTGGCTAAAGTATTATATAATATTACTATTATTAGTATTAAGATTTTTATTTTTAGATATGTTTTGCTTTCTATAAATATATTCCCATATTTTTGTATATTCCCGGGAACTATAAGTATATTTACAATAGACACATATTACAGTATTATTATTAATTGATACATATTGTGTATTACCTATAGGTCATAGAACATATAGTTTATAAATTATAATACTGTATAATAACATGATTTATAAATGACTAACATTTAAATATTGCAAAAATAATTTAATTAAACTCTGATTATAGGATTGTTTCTAACAATCAAATTGAATGAAATAGAAATACAATAATATTTTTGCTATTTTTCTCAAACAATAATTTTTAATCAATTTTCTGTACTCATAGTACAGTAATTAGATTACCGAACTCTAGCGGTTTGGTTCGGTTCCTGTTTACCAAATCTTATGATCTATTGGTCTAAATTGCATATAAATTTAAAAACATTACTTTTAACGAATAAATTATTAATTATAAATAAATAAAACAATTAAATGACATTTATTAAGCCAATGTTCACTACAACGGTGTAGTCTTGTATTTCTCACATTTATTGATTTATTAATAAACTACTGTACTGTAAATACTGTATATTAATATAACATACAGTTTAGTATCGCTATATTGTAACAGTGAATACAGTTATGCCTCATAATAGTGAACATAGTATCAGCACATGTAATGTATTGCAGTATATATTCATTATGTGTTTGAATGGCTTTTGTGTTGCAAATGGCGTTCAATAGCAGTGAGTGAGTCCTCACAGGAGTTGATGTGTTTGTCACTCATTGTGGACAACAATCACATGACAAGAGTGGACATCAATACATGATTTGTGACCAAATTGTCTATACATTACATTATGTTAACCATCACTACAGACATCACCACAGAAGTGACGACAAACAATGATGACAACAAAGTGATGAACAATGGCGTCAACTACACGATCGGCATTATTGCCAATAATGAAGAAAATGATAGACCATTGATGACAGAGACAACAACCACAACATCATTGACCGCTATATCACTTCCCGATGCTCTTCAGGCCAGTTGTTGTATATCACAAGTGACCAACATATCGGTAATGACAATAATATGATATAATGTGTGATATGTGTTGTAAATGATGCTTAAATTGCCATTTGATTTGATGACAGAGTTCACCGACGACGGAAGTGGCCACTAATGAAACGGTTAAAAAAGAAAAAAGTAGTTCTCAATCGTCAACACCCACTCATAATGATGATGAAGACGATGGAAACAGTCGAAGAAGAAGTAGTCGTTTGAAGACATTAGAAGCCCGTAAAGAACAAGAAAGGACTTTATTTTCTAAACATAAAGATAGCGATGAAAACAGTGGTGACTCTTGTATTGCCAGCAATGAAATCATTGAATCAAAACACACTTTGATTGAATCTCCAAATAATATTAGTGGTAAACAAAAGAAAAAAAAGGCAAAAAAAGAGAAAAATAAAAGTAAAGACAAAAATAAAGACAAAGATCGTGACAGCGAAGGAAAGAAGAAACGAAAGAAAAAACATTCAAACGATAAAATTAATTCATATAGTGATCAAAATTATGATAAATTTAAGACACAAGACATGCATAAAAACTCAAATCCGGAGTGCTTTACAGCTCCACTTCCGCCATCACATTACGCTAACATTAAAAATAATCATTCATTAACTTCACCATCAAATAAATGTACGGATAGTGACGAGTCATCGCCGAGACCTGAGAAAGTCAAGACCAGATGGAGACGAAACAGTGAACTCGAGTTTACTCGAGAACACGGAGTCATTGTCGACCACAAACAAAATGCACAAATGCTTCCCATTTCTATAACTAAAGAAACAGAAATCCCACCGGAATTTGATGTGATTGATGAAAATATTTACTTATTTGAAAGGTTTTTAACATTTTATTAAATTGTATTAATTTTAATAAAAATATTTTCTTTTTTAAATTAGACGAAAATCTAAGAGTAAGAAAGAGACGCGAAGAATGGTTTGCGACTGTATTTTAACAAAAGAAGAGAGAATGAAGGGTTTAATTGGTTGTGGAGACGATTGTCTTAATAGGATGCTTATGATTGAATGGTATTATTATTATAATTATTATTTTTAATTTTGTTATCAATGTTTTCAATTGATTTTATTTTAATTAAGTGGTTCGCGATGTGCTTTGGGAGATCATTGTGCAAATAAACGGTTTCAAAAAGTATTTAAAATTATTATTTTTTTTAACGAATTATAGTTAATTTATTTTATTTTTGTTGCTATTTGTCTACATTAGAGACAATGTGCGAAAGTTGAACCCTTTAGGACCGCTAATAAAGGGTGGGGTTTAAGGGCTTTGGAACCGTTGCAATCGTAAGAAGCGATATTATACTAATAGTAATCTTATATTATAATTACAATAATTGATTATTATCTTAGAAATTCATTTATTATGGAATACATCGGCGAAGTGATAGATCCGCTGGATTTTCACAACAGAACTCAAAAGTATTCAAAAGAGAAGAGAGAGCACCACTTCTTTATGGCACTTAAAAGCGATGAAATAATTGACGCCACTGTTAAAGGCAATATCACCCGATTTATTAACCATAGCTGTGATCCAAATAGCGAAACTCAAAAAGTGAGTTTAAATTACATTATGTTTGATTTTATTTTGTTGTTATTGACTCTAATTTGTTTAAATAACTACTTATAGTGGACTATAAATGGAGAGCTTAGGATCGGGTTTTTTACTCAGAGATGTGTTCAGGCGGGAGAAGAGATCACTTTTGATTATCAGTTTCAGCGCTACGGGTATTCAATATTTTAATTGTATTTTTATATATATTTATTTTACACAATTTTAATTTAATTTCTGTTAAATAGAAAAGAGGCTCAAAAATGTTTTTGCGAGTCATTCAACTGTAGGGGTTATATCGGGGCCACAGAAGGTGCAAATATTCTGACTGATGGCTCAAGAATTACAAATAAACAAAAAGAAGAATTGGATGAATCAGTAGATGACGAGGAATTTCTCGAGGATCTCGCTGTAAGTATTTTTCGTATTATTTATTAATATTATGAAAAAAATATTTAGCAAAAAAAGCAGTCGTTTGTCTCAAAATTAGTCTTTAAAATTCCAAATAATTTTTTTCACAGTTGACTTCTGTCTTGTTTTTAAATAAACGATTTTTGGATATTATTATCTCTTTTGGAAACTATTACAAGAAATTAAATGCAAATAAAAGATTTGAAGGAATTTCAGCATTAATTACATAATTATTATATATATTTATACAGTACTATATTTTATATACATTACCGTCTATTGTTTAACGACTGCTTTGCTGCTAAATTGGTTTTTTAAAATTAAATTAAAATAAATATTTTGTAATAAATTGTTTGACAGCTTGAAGAAGAAATTGCCAAACTTTCTGAAGGAGAAGGTCTTAGAAATAGACAACAAGTACTTACAATGGCTCGGCTTATGGTTAGAGCTGAAGACACGGCCTCTCGAATAAAGCTAATCGATATAATAAAAGGAACGATAGAAATGACTTATCTAAGACTTTTGTTAGATTATCACGGCTTGCAATTACTGTGGAGTTGGATGGTTGAAGTAGAAGATAATGAACTTAAATCATCAATATTAGAACTTCTTGAAATTCTACCGATTCCTAACAAAACTATGTTAACTGATAGTAAAGTATACGCAGTGGTTGAGCGATGGGCTCAACAAACGGATGAGCCATTCGTTAAGAGCGATACTATTCCATCTCAATCTGAATTGCCAACCGAATGCGCTAATACAACTCAAGAGGATGTATTAGATTCTAAAGATAATATGGAGGTCGATGTAACTGAACAACTAAAGGAGGGTGTAGTCTGTGACAGCAGTGAAAACTCTGTTAACTCTGACGCCAACACTGTAAGTACTGAACAGTCAAAATCTGAAGAAACTACTGAACTATCAAAACCTGAAGAAAGTACTGAACTGTCAAAATCTGAAGAAAGTACTGAACTGTCAAAATCTGAAGAAAGTACCGAACTGTCAAAACCTGAAGAAAGTACTAAACTGTCAAAACTTGAAGAGTCAACAATAGAAGAAAATGAAACAATTGCTGAGACTTTAAATACAGAAATATGTTCGACAACACCACAAGAAATTGTAGAGGAATTAAAAGAAGAAGAAAAATCTCAAAACGAAATAGAGATGTCCTCTACTAATACAAAATCTAGTCCTCGTATAGAATTCAAAAGTTCTTCATTTACTTTAGTAATCAAACCGCGGTCTCAGCTAATTGTTGACAAATCAGATGTTTCTCAATCTCAGACTATAATTAAATCGAAGCCAAGCATAGCAGCAATGGCTCAAAAACTTTTACTTAATTGGAAAGACCTTAAAGAAGTGTTTAGAATTCCACGACTTGAAAGACAAAAACGACACGAAGACGAGAAAGAGGCGGACAGGAAGACATTAGAAGTCGAAGAGAGACGAGCGAAAGGTTTACCACTTAATTTCGATAAAAGAAATGTTGACGACAGAGACTATACTATTGCTGGCATTCTTGGCACTAAACGGAAGGGAATTAAAAGACTTTTCGAAATGAAAGATTTGTCAAACAAACGGACAGCAAATGTTTTGACACCGAATCAGATGTTAGCCTCAAATTGGAATAAAGTGAGTAAAGAAGAGCACCGGAAGATGTTTGAGATGGAAGTGGCGCAGAAGGACTATCAGGAAGCGCTGAAAAGGTATCACCAACAACTTGCTTATTATAACGCTGTTTATGGACAACATATTCAGGCACAACAACAACAACAATACTATCTACAGGAACAGTATGTTAGCACTTATGGACCCTATGATCAACAATATTATCCAAACGACCAAAACCTTTATCAACAATCTGCAGAACTTTCTGCTACTTCCGAAAGTTATGACTATAATAATGTAGAAAATGAATCAATGAATGAATTTAATCAACAGATTGCTAATTATGATGACAACAACGATGACTATTCCTTATTAAGTATTGAGACGACACCTACTTTAATACCTTTAGCTAACTTTGATAGCGAAACATATTTTGAAAGTGAGTCAACTCTAGCAATTGATAACCTGCCACACAATTGGATCACTTATAATGATATTAGTAAACCAGATAATGATAAGAAGTCATCAATTTTTGATCCCATATATCCACCTCCAGGTGTTTTTTATGAGACTATTGAAGGCAAAAAGTATTTCACTCCATTACCTATTGATAGACACAATAAAGCAGTTAATATGGTATTTGATAACAATATAACTATTCCTTTTGCGCACAATTGGACCAAATTATTAAATGATAATTTAGCTAAAAATTGGAAACACAAACTCAACCAAAATGGAGATATTTATTATTACAATAAAACTAAACACAAAAGTCAATGGATTGCACCCAAAGGTGACGAAACTGATACCGATATTTCAAATCATGAAATTTCTACTTTAGATAATGACACTAAATTCAGTGATAATGAAGACTTAGTTTTAGCATCTGATTTGACAACTGATAAAATATCACCCAAATTGAACTCAAACTTAGAACAAACAATATTTAAGTCTTTGTCAATAGAAGCCGACAGTGCAGATCCTGTTCCCGATAATGATAATGCAGTTAATTCTACTCATAGTTCACCTAATTTATTACAATCCATACTTGCATTAGAAGCTGATCCACGAAAACGACGACAAATGCTTAATTCTGTAATGCCGTCAACAACAACAGCTGCTGCAGACACCTCCTCTTCATCTAAGCCGAAGAAGTATTTATCGACGCGTCAAATCCAAGAAAACTTTCGCAACAAAATGTCTGAATATGTGGTCCATTGTCTTAATCAATACAGAAGAACTGATTGTAAAAAAGGAAGGATTGTTAATAATAATGATTTTAAATACTTGGCTCGAAAAGTATTAATTTATTTATTTTTAAAAAATGTTTTATTTTTAAATTTAAAAATTTTATTTTAATTACAGTTAACGCATACAATAATGGGTAAAGAGATTAAACAATGCAAATCATTGGAGCACTTGTCGTGTAGCGATGCCGTCAAACATAAAACTAAAGATTACGTCAAGAAATATATGGCACGATTTGGTCCATACTATAAGACAGACAATAGTAATATCGATAAAACAATGGTTAACTCACCTAAAGATGTTTTGTCACAAACAAATGATTGATTAAATTAATTGAAATATTTAGTTATTTTCAAATTGATTTGCTTGTAAATATCATAATAATTTCATTGAATTTTTATATAAATTATTTTATGTTATATATATATATATGAAATATACACACAAATAATTGTAATAATAATTATTATAAATAAGACCCTCAAAGACATGACATAAACATCACATAAAGCATGAATTAAAATTAATGTAAATTATTTTAATCAATATTTTCTCATTTCTTTATTGAATTAGATTTATGAAAATATTTTTAGCATATACTGTATAATTGTTTTATATAATAAAAGATAATTTTGTCATTAAATTAATAAATTGAAGTATATTTTAAAGTTAGCGCCGATTGACTTAAGGTTTATATTGTATTTCAATGAATGCAATGAAATGTAATGTTTTGGGCGTTTTGTTATTAATAGTCAATGTATTGAATGTGTGATACGTTTACAAGTGATGTCTAACTTGAAGTTGAATTCAATGAAAGCAATATATGTTTGAATCGATTGTCACTTGAATTGTGATCAACAATGAACTCATCCGACAAAATGACACTCAAAGACAACTCAGAGATCACCAGTTTCTTTGTCACCAAACACTCGTGGAAAGGAAAGTATGACTCAATTTGTTGTCAAAACACAACCAATAGATTTGACTGACATATCGTTGTCTTAAGGTATAAGAGAGTGCTGACCATCGGGTCTTCTGGTATATCGACGCATAATATATCATCGATGGAGTGCACCAATTCATGGCCATATCAAGAAGTGGTTAATGTGACGCCAATTATTCCCAAGACTCAGCTGTCACCGTCTGGCGCCGGTCCCACTCTGGTCACGGGTGGTAACGAATTGTTTCAATTGACTTTCAAAAAGGGCCGAAAAGTTGATTCAATGAAATTTTCGTCTGAATACAGAAGTGATATCATAACGGCTGCCCTTCATTATCGCCACAAGTTCTCTGATCCTAATTATCCCATCACTGGTTCAAACAATGAGCCGATGAAATACAGCTGTTATAAACATCACTGGTCTGATCGTAAAATTCCTGTCTTTTTAGAGATCGGAGTCTCCGGTATCAACCAATTAGATGCCATTAAACAAACTATTATTACAAGTTATCATTACAAAGATATCGATAATTTAATTATTGTATCCGATTTGTTGGGAGGTTTTGTTATATCTTATGGTGGATTCAATAGATATCATTTATTCAATTGTGATCAAAGAGATGATCTCTTAAAGAGAATATGTGAGAGTGCCTGGAATAATGTGGGAGTTGTCGTTAGGATTAAAAAAGAGACGATTACTTCGGAACACTTCCAGAGTAATCGATTTGGAAGATATAGTGATGACGATTCTGTGACTTCTTTGTTTGAGTTTAATGTCCACAAAATTAGTGCCCGACATAATTCAGAACCAATTAAAAGGATATTGTGTTTGACAGACACTTGTCTTGTCGAAAGAGATCCAAATTCCTATTTAATTGCAACATTAAGACCACTAAGTGATGTCTTTGCATTAATTAGACACACAAACAATCAGCAAATGTTTTCAATTGAGTACATTAGGGGTGAGATTAGGAGCTATACGTCCACTGATAGGGACGCCTTCTTAGCGTCGATAATGGATGGCGTCCGGGCTTCCGGTAATATTGATGTACACGTGAAGATGAGTCACAGTCAAAGAGCTCATCGTATGGCACCATACTATGCTCGAGTAGATGAAGAAGTCGAGAGCCAACATTTGAAGTTTTTACAGACACCACCAAACAATTGGACCTTCAATGACGCCATTAGAAGATTTAACGCTAACTGTGCCTACAGTGGACTCGAACATAGTGTCACTCAAGACGGACTGTTCGCTGAAAATAAAGAGAAAATGATTTTTAGTTCTTTGGCCTCATTTGCAGACAGAGATGGCGATCATATTGAGACATCAGATGAACATTTAGAACAACACTTTCAAGCCCTCAGAAGACTTGTGGCTTCTAAGGCAGGCTTTTCTTCATTTACAGCTAACCCAAGATTTAGAGAGTCTTTAGGTCTTAAAGTTGTCAGAAGTCTTAAACGAAACAACGATAATGTGATTCACTCGGCTATCGATATGTTGTGCGCTTTGATGCAGGTTTGCACTCATTTTCATCTCAAACTTATAATTAATATTCAATATTACCGCTACTTATTTTGACTGTTATTTTATAAATATTTCAAATATTTCGCATTGCATTATAAATAAATGACTTAAATATTATTGATTTTAAAAAATACATTTCTCATATAACGCTTAATATGTTTATTCTAATTATCAATTTTAGTGCATTTATTATAATAGATTTAATTAATTTTTTAAAAATTAATTACAGAATAATGATAGTAAAGTAAAAATGTCAATAAATGAAATTCAAGGGGCGTTTTGTTATTTATTTAATTAAATATTATATTTACTTTAGGAAATCTGAACTTTATTTTTGCTATATTTTAAAAATAAACAATCAGTTAAATGTCAATCTTTGCATTAAATGACTGCTTAAATAAAGTTTTTTGTTAAAAGCAGAATAAAAACTATATAATGATTTTAATATTATATTATATTACGACTGCAAATCTTATTTATCTTTATTTATTAAATTAATGAATTAAGTAATTGATTTTATGATGTTTTCAAAGTATATAATTTTTTATTTAAAAATTACAATTAAAGATCTTTTTTTAAGAGGAAATGTATATTCTGTCTCTAACTCTGGCCATTATTAACGCTAGTCTTATACATATTTACAGACAGTAACAGTAATATAAGTTTTTAGTTTTATTTAAAACATTTGATGGATGAGAGAGAGAGACTCATATTATATTACAATTAAAAATAGAGTATATTATAAATTATGAATTTATATTCAACAAACTTTGAAAATCTGTTACTCAACAATATATGTCTGTCTAATAGACAGTGTCTATTCATCTATGAATTGTATTTGTTTTTTTTATGAATAATATAAATAATTCATAGAAAACAATTAAATTTACATATACTAATATATACAGTATATATATATAAGTTAATTTTGGCAATGCTATCTAATATTTTAGCTCGTTTATAATATTTAAATTAATTTTTATATCTGAGATAATATAAATTTAAAACAAAACAATTATATTTTGTATGAATGTATTGTTTAAATATAATTTTAGCAAAATTTAATTAATTCTCCACAACTATATATATTGGCGTTTATATTGTTCTCAGATTGAGATCGAAAACACTGTCTTTAACTATAGATTTTTAAATGAATGTTATTTTAGACGATTTAATTTATAAGAGATCACATTRAATGTGTGACTAAAATAAATATTAGTTTTAGTTTATATAAACAATAGTAAAATATACAAAATAGAAATAATGAATTATTAACGACTAATCTAATTGACAGCCAATGCATGACGACTATGACCTCCGACAGGAACAGCTAAATAAAAGTTCATTGCTCTCTTCAAAAGCATTCCTCGAGAGTTTGTTGGATGTGTTGAAACTTCATGTTGACAGAGGCACCGGCGCTCTTGTGGTTTCATCAATGCTCGACTTTTTGACATTTTCATTGTGTGCTCCCTATAGTGAGACCACAGATGGTGGACACTTCGATACATTGTTGGAAATGGTGGCTACATATGGTCGACCAATATTCCGACTCTTTCAACATCCATCACTAGCTATCGTTAAGGGTGCAGGTCTTGTAATGAAAGCCATTATAGAAGAAGGAACACCTGATATATCGTCAAAAATGCAAGAATTAGCTCTGGCAGAGGGGGCTTTGCTCAGACATATACACATCGCTTTATTCTCATTTTCATCTGATGGAAGGTTCCTTCCCGTACAGCACTTGTCCCGACAATTGGTCAGTTTGTGGACCACTGATAATGGAATTGCCTCTACTTTACTCAAAAGGATTATTCCAATCGGTCTTTTAAATTACTTGGATTCCGATGAAAAGCCGCCTAAAGAGGCGATTCATAGTTTGTTAGTTAGAGATAACTTAAAGTTAGCACAAAATCATTCGCTAAAAAATACGAGTCGTTTGGATATTATTCGTGATATCCATCCATCGGTTCGCGTCATTGAAAGACATTTGGATAATGTTTTTCAACATTGGAGACAAAGAATTGGAATTCAGAAAAAAGACGATCCAAAGCTTATGCAGAGACCGGTTGTCTTAAGAAAGAGAAGGGAAAGAGTAAAATCTACTGATAATTGGAATCTATTATATTACCAATTCTGGAGGGATCACTCAAAACCTGATCTTATCTGGAATTTTAAGACAAGAGAAGAATTGCGGGACGCGTTAGTCAATGAAATGAGAATTTTTTTGTCTGACAAAGAGTTGTGTGGAAATCAAATAATTAGTTGGAATCACACAGAGTTTGAAGTGCAATACCAATCACTTAATGAAGAAATTAAAATTGGATTTTATTATTTGAGACTTCTTTTAGAAGAAGACACGGCCGGTGAATCAAATCTTACGGATAGACTTCTTATAAAAGATCCCAAAGAATTTTTTAATGATCTCTACCACCGATTTTTGTTGAATTCCAAGTCACCAATGAAGGCATCTTGTCTTCAGGCGATGTCTATTGTTTATAGTGTTTATCACGAAGATATTGGTGCCTTCAATGACACTAAGTTTATAGTATCGATGTTAGAGAGGACTTCAGATAAAACAGAAAGAGATCGACTTATTATTTTTATATCAAAACTTATTGTCAATAAACACAACGCTAAAGAGTTTATTGACTCGGGAGGTGTCCGAGTTTTAGTTGATTTAATAACATTAGCACATCTTCATGTAAATAGAGCTACTGTTCCCACACAAACTAATGTAATAGAAGCTTCTCCAGAGATAATGGCTATGGGATCTTCAGAAAAGGAATGGTATATCGGAGACGCAGAGAAGGAAAGGAAGGGTCCCTTCAGTTTTGCTGAGATCAAAGAGTTTTGGTCAAAGAATACTTTAAGTCCGAAAACAAAATGCTGGGCTCAGGGACTTGAAAGTTGGAAACCATTGATTCATGTGCCACAACTTAAATGGACTTTAATTGCTTCAAATAATCCACTTTTAAATGAAAGTGAACTTTCAGTTCTAATTTTGAATATATTGATAAAAATATCTGAATTATATCCAAACCGTGACTCTGATAACGCTATTATTAGACCACTACCTAAAGTTAAGCGCATTCTATCCGATTCATTAGTTTTACCGCATATCGTCCAACTGTTACTGACATTTGATCCAACAATTGTCGAGAGAGTGGCCACTCTGTTAGCTCTTGTAATGCAAGACAATCCAGGATTACCACGACTTTATCAAACCGGTCTCTTTTATTTTATATTAATGTATACCGGATCTAATTTATTACCAATTGGACGACTTCTTTCTATTAGTCACGGAAATCAAGCGTTTAGATCTGAAGATAATTCAAATTTATCGATTCTTCAAAGAAGTGTTTTGGGACAGTTATTACCAGAAGCTATGATATGTTATTTGGAAAACTATGGACCGGAAAAGTTTGCGCAAACATTTTTGGGTGAATTTGATACTCCAGAAGCCATTTGGAGTACTGAAATGAGACGACTAATGATTGAAAAGATTGCTTCACATATCGCAGACTTTAGTCCACGACTTCGCTCTAATACCAGAGCATTATATCAATACTGTCCGATACCTCCCATACAATATCCTCAGTTAGAATTTGAATTGTTTGGTAATATTTATTATTTAAAGAATTTATGTGATATTAACCGATTCCCTGATTGGGAAATCAAAGATCCGGTTCAGTTCTTGCGTGATCTTCTCGAACTATGGAAAGTGGAAATCGAAAAGAAGCCAAACTCCATGTCCATCGAAGATGCCTACAATGTATTAGGTTTAGGGAGAGATTTTAGTGAAGGCCGAGAATTAGATGAAAATAAAGTACGAAAAGCATACTTCAAATTCGCTCAACAGTTCCATCCGGACAAGAATCCAGAGGGAAGAGATCGCTTTGAAGAAGTGAACAAAGCGTATGAATTTTTGTGTTCAAAGAATGTCCGAAATAAGTGCAACGGACCCGACCCGCAAAATATAACTCTTATACTTCGGGCTCAAAGTATACTCTTTAACCGCTATTCAGAACCATTACATCCATACAAATATTCCGGATATCCGATGCTTATAAAGACATTACAATTAGAGACAGACGACGACCAGCTGTTCTCTAAACCTTATCCTTTGTTACCGTCTGCTTGTGAAACGGCATTTTATACCGTCAAGTGCTCTGCTCTTAACGCTGAAGAATTGCGTCGCGAAGGAGGACTTGAGATATTATGCAAGGCTTTCAACCGATGTGTGTCTGTATTGTCTGCTTCTTCTAAAGTGACCGATGTTTCTGTTGAAGTCTGTACTCATATTGTCCGGTGTTTTACAGTTAGTGCTTCTTTCACCGCTTGTCGACATAAAATCTCTGAAATGACATCAATATCTCGAGATATTTGTCGAGTTTTATATTTCAAACATTTGCCTAAATTATGTATAGTAGCCGTTGAATGTGTGGCTGCTTTTGCAGCCGATCCTAATCTACAACTTCAACTTTTCAAATCCGGTGCACTTTTTAGTTTATTATTGTTTTTATTCAAATATGATTACACTCTCGAGGAAGGAGGCGTTGAATCAAGCGAAGAATCTAATCAACAACAAGTGGCCAATCAATTGGCAAAGTCAAGTCTCATAGCTGTGGCCCGAATCGCCCAAAACTTATCTTCTAAATCGGATACACTTGACTCTCAATTTTATCCATTGATACGTCAATCAACAATAGCATTATTGACACCATATTTGGCCAAACAGTTAGAAACGACCAGTACTTCAGATATATTAAAAACATTAAATAGTAATATAGAGAATCCATACCTTATTTGGGATAACTCTACTAGAGCTGAGCTCACAGATTATTTAGAGACTCAACAGAGAGAAAATATGAGAAGTGGTGAGTGTCCGGACACAACATATGGCTCGACATTTGAATTTTCGAGCCATAAGGAAGAACTTATTGTCGGCGACATATTTGTTCGCATATATAACGATCAACCAATGTTTCCTTTAGAAACCCCCAAGAGATTTACTATAGATTTACTTGACTACTTGGGATCACAGGCACAGTATCTGCAATCGGCACTCAATTTAGTCTCGACATCAACCGGTAGTTTAAATACAAATCGATTAAATAACATAAAAGTGTGTTTAAACGCTTTAAATTGTGTTATAATTCATAATAATGGAGTCGAGATGCAATGTATCGGTCATTTCAAACTACTATTCAGTTTACTTCGTTTGGACCAAATGTCAGATTTACAGACATTGGCGGTCAATGTGATCGCTAGTGTTTCGGGCAATAAAGACTGTGTACAAGATATTGCTTCATCTGAAGTATTGGTTTACTTATTAATGGTTTTACATCCAACTAAACAAACAGATGACTATACAAAACAATTGGTTGTTTTGACAGCTCTGACACCACTCATGTTTAACACAAAGTTAATCAAAGAAGCCTTAACTAAGGGTGCGATTCTTTATTTGCTCACTCTTTACGCCAAATCCAATAATTTTGAAGTTCGCGAAAAAGCGGCCGAACTGTTGTCCAAAATGACGAGCGATAAGCTGAATGGTCCGCGAATTAAGTTAATTTTGCATAAGTTTGTGCCGTCACTCTTCATTGACGCCATGAAAGATTCGCCACAAACTGCTGTCCACTTGTTTGACGGAACACAAGAAAATCCCGAACTTATTTGGAATGAATCGGCGAGACGTTGTGTTTGCGATACACTAATAAAAATGTGTGAAGAGTTATATACCGAACAAATGAATAACCCGTCGAGTGTTTGGAAATTAGACAATGACTTTGAAATTAAATTACCCGTTGGTTTTGGCGAGTTTGTCATCGCCGGTGTTTACCTCCGGCTATACGTACAGAACCCGAGTTGGGTCGTTAGGAAACCTAAAGAATTTCTTACAGAATTACTCGACACCGCAAAGTTGTTGATGGAGAAAGAAGAGGCCACTCAGGTCTGCCATTGAATTACATTTAATATTAATTTTTCTTCGGGTCTTAATTAGTGAATTGTCTTTTAGGTCGAGAAACTAGAATTAGTGACTAACGCCTTGACATGCCTTTTACAAACACAGTCGGCACTCTTGGATTCAGTTCCAGCCATGGGTCACATCCAAGCATTTGTTAATAATTTATCGAACAGAAGGCATGAATCAATTCCCAAGAGTTGTCTACAAATATTGCGTCAAATGAGCGAAAACAAGACGTGTATTGAGTCAATGATTAGTTGTAAATATTTATTGACACAAATATATTTTGTTATTAAAACGTACGAAACATTAACGTGTATATCATGTGAGACGTTAAGTAAACTCTTTGAAATCGATTCAATCGATGAGTTGGTTAGTCAGGCCATCAAAATTGAATTAATTCATTATTTACTTAAACTCTTGGATACGAAACAATCGCAACACAATAGCTCAACCAAAGCACAAATCGTCCAAATTTTGAAATCTATGCTTAAAAGTAATGCTTTCGGACAACAAGTCAATGATTTATTAGACAAATCAGTCGTTTGGTCCGAATATAGGGATCAAAAGCACGACTTATTTATTACAAACACACAAATCTCTGGTTATTTAACCGGTAAACAAACAATTAATTAATTAAATATCTAATATTTCGCAATTATTTTATCAAATTTTATTATAACATTATTTTATAATTATAGGATCGACTGTACAAACAGCCGGTTATCTAACTCAGGGCACTTCAGTTAACTCAATGCCATCATCTCCTCCACCCCTTTGAATCCTTATTGAGAACGCAATACTATTTATAAAAATATATATTTTTATCTTCAATGAAGACTATAAGCATTGTATTTTATCCTTAAATTTATATATAAAAAATTGTATCAAATGTTATTACGAGAAAATTGATTTATACTTTAATATATTTATAAATTTGTTATAAATTAAAATTTTTGATGCTATTCTCTGAATCATATTTTCTTATTTATATTGCTGTGATTTAGAGCTCTTTATTTAGTTTTTATGTAAAATAAAAAATATCTTTGCTCTAAAAAATATGTCAATTCATTGATACTATAGTATATACGATATGTCATTATAATACATTATATATATATATATAAATATAGATTTTTATTTACAGAGCTCTTGTGGTACAAAATCGATGCCATTTACAGGAATCTGATAATTATTTATCTCGAGATTGCATCACATAATAGATTACAAAAGTGGTTAAAGTATTGAATTCATGCGTAAAGGTTTTCAATTTGTATCATTTAATTGCAACAAACGATTATTTAATGATTGCATTTATCGGACGATAAATAACGAAATATACCGTAACTTATAAACTCTTTGATCTGAATTCAGTTTTAAAGAGTTAACTAAATGTCTAATGTCTTGTGTCCACACAAATCAAATTATATATAATATAATAAATTAAAAGCTATACCGCTATACGATATGCTGTTTATATGATATACTGTATATAATATTATATATACTGTAGTACTGTAAATGCGAATCAATGGTTAGGCGCACACTATTAAGCAGACTCTGTATGAACTGTAGGCATAACTTTCACCAAAACTATGGAATCGTTTTCTATATAAAACAACCAAAAGTTGTCCTAAAATTGATGATCACTGTCTGGACAAACAATTTTTATTTTATAAAACTTTGTTTACAACATATATGATATATAAATATGTAGACATAGAGTACATAAAATATAACTTATATTACAAATTTGATATAATGTGCTAAAACTTAGTCGAGCCATGAATTATAGCGGAACCACATCTTCTTGTGAACCGAAGACTTCAAAACTAAAGAAAAAAGATTTAAATTATCTCAAAGACGACCCATTCCTGGTATGTCTTACTTTTATCTGACATTTATGTTAATCTTAAAACGTTTCATAAAATATAATCTATTGAAATAATATATTAATAAAGTATTATATAATCACATATTGTATTATTAATATTAACTCTAAATATCATTTATCATAAGTTATGTGATTTATAAAAATTTACATTAAATACTGTATATTATAAATGGTGTTATGTATAATGTAAATCACAATTTAAATTAATCTTTTAGTAGATTATTTTTTTATAGTTATTTAATTATAATATTAATAAATATAATTTGCATTATTTATTGCAATAACATACAGTATATACAGTATTTTAATTGATGAGAGATATCGAAAGTAGAATAAATACATTAAAGATTATTTTACAAAATTATTAAAATATTGTTACATACGGTATATATGTATTAATATATAATTTAAATTATATCAAAAATTTTTAGTCTAATTCTAAGTCCAACTTTAATATTCTTATAAAAGATTGTATTCGTCATAATCTTATATAATTAAACTAATAATTAAAAATTTATTTAATAATTTTGATAAAAAAGATAACTCAAATTGTTCATAACTTTGTAATAAATAATAATATCATTAATTGGTTATATTTGATAAAGTATTTATATAATTAAAAATTATATTTTGGAATTTTATGTTTAAATATAAAAAATATATTTTCTAACATTTAATTTTCCTAAATAACCATGGTAGCTTATTATTACATTATATCTTTTCATATAAAATGTTATCGAATGACAATTACTGTATTTTATGGTATTTTTTATTTCATTGCAAACGTGATTTGAAAATAGGGTGCATTTATTTTATGGGAAATATTTTGTTATTTATAATCAACTAAATAATCAAATAATAGATGATATATTATAGCTTTGTTTCAACTAATGTTTATATTATATAAAATTTATTGTAAGTTATATGCAATAAATAGAAAATATATTTATAAAAAGTAACGTATTTTAGTATGATTTTTAATGTGATTATTTAATGAAATAAATTTACAAAAGCTAAAAACATTTTAAATTTTCAAAAATATAATTAGTGTCTATACATAAATTTATAGATAGTCTATTTTGTATATACTGTATAATATAATAATTATTGTAATATTTTTTTATATGTTATTTTCTTAATTTACTTATAAATAGTAGTTTAAATATTGTATATATTTATTTATATTATTTATAATCTTTAATAAATTTATCATATTAAATAAGTATTTAAAATAATAGATTTATAAATTATTTAAATGTATTATTAAAGTGATAAAGTTAATGTCCAAAATTTATATTTACTGTATATGTAATACAGTATATAGTATATGAATTGATGACATAACTTTATATATACTATTGATAAAGTATAAAATTGATACTGTATTTTATGATATAATGTATAATAATATTATTTATAATGTGATATAATATATTATAATACGTTTTTGCTACAAATCAATAATGTAATATGTTTTTGAATTATTAACAAACTTATTAAAAAAACTTTTAACAAATCAAGATATAGTGTAATAGAGTTGTGAACTCGTGTATCAAAATCAACAAATATTTATTGAACGAAACTATTGAATAGAAATTATATATTAAATATTTATGTTATAAATTTTTATCAATTACTAATCAAACGTTTGTTTTAGACCTTTAGATATTACATGTATAAAACAATTAATCATTTTTAATTTTTAATATTCTTTAAACTTTTATTCTCTAATAAAATTAATAATATTATATCTTTATTATTATTTAATTCAAAAATATTTAACACATTTCATTGTTTTAATAACATGAGAGCATCAATATTAAACTTCAGGTTTAATATAAATGAGAATTTTGTTTACAACTTAATTATGTCATTGACTTAAACTTCTTTATTATGAATTAACTTTTGTTTATTAATTCTAAATAATTTTTTTTCTAAAATTAAATTTATTTATTAAACTTTATATATTGTATCTATTATTAAAGTTTAGCATTTTTAACAATTAATCAATTAAATGCTTGTCGTTAGACATCAAATACTGTACATATTATATTATATACTAATATATTACACATTCAAAAGTCTGCAGTATATATTTGTTGTTAATAACTTAATATTGTTAATATATGTTTTATAAATTTTATTAAATATCATTTAACTTATTTCAATATTATCAAATTTTGTATCGATATGATAACATTAGACATTTGATATGTAGACATAAAAATTAATTTAAATTATCTGTAGATACAAATTTTAGTTTAGTTGTTTATTTGAAATAACATTGACAAATGAGTTTTTTAAATAGCAAATTTTTCAAATATTTTTACATTTTATTTAAATCATAAATAGATATATATTATATTGTATATATTACCGTAATACATTTTTAATTTTTTAAAAATTTACATAAAAAATATTTTGTAAAATCGAAGAAATTGTCTATTAATTAAGTGATTAGAAAATTATAACAATTATTTGATAAAATTAGCATTAAATATACAATAATAACATATTTGCAACATTATAGATTTGTTGTATAGATGTTTGATTATTGTAGATTTTAATTAAATTTTAATTTTTAGTTGATTTTTTACATTTGAAAATGAAATTTTAAAAATTAATTGCATTACAAATGCATTGTTATCCTTAAACAAGTTTTAAATATATCAGTCAAACAAATATATAGTTTATAATAATGTATACGAGGTTTAATAGTGCATATGGTATTGATTTTTTACACTTTTTACTATTTTTAGTAATATAAGTTAAGCTATATTTTAATGTAAGTATATTTACTTTTCAATAATTTAAATAAACACTATAATATTATAATTTATATTGTTTTTAACACATTTTTAAAACTTTCAATTGTTGTGTAGTAGTGTGACAAACAGTACACTTAAATTTGTAATAAGTATAGAAATTAGAAATTGATAAATTTAAATATAAATCAAATATTATATATTTAAATTTGAATAAAATAGCTAAATTAGTTTATATAATATACTGTAATTTAATTATTGTACTATTATTTACGTTATGTATACTTATACAAAAAAAACTCTTTGATTATTACTTGAATACAACTATTTGGTAAATGAAATTATATTGAAATGATAAATTACTATTAATAATTATACAGAATATTACCAAAAATGATAAATAATTAAAACGTATGATTTATTAAATAGTAATGAATAATAGTCAACAAGACTTTAGGTGGCAAATCAAATCGTTATACAAAATCAAAACTACAGTATATTTAGTCGAAAACAAACTTAATGTAAATGTATATAAAGTCCTAAAATTCAAAGGCTTATCGATTGATAGCCGACTCACATATAAAATGATTTTTATTTTCAATTCAATTCATATGTTTAATACAACTTTGCTTTGAGTTTATCAAAATTACCCATCGCTTTGATATTTATCTGTAATGTATCAAAACTATAAAATATTTTGTTGTTTTTTGACATACATTTAATATTTTAGTATAAACATTCTGCACAACAATTGTATATATTATTATAAAACATTAATAAAAAATAATTACTTTTTCTATAAACTAAGTTAATTATATTTAAAAGTCTAATAACATTTAGTATATAATTGCAACTATTTTTTCATATGTTTGATGTGTTTCATATATAATATTACAAATCATCTTACATTAGATGCTATAAATTCTCTATTGGTTTCAAATCATTCATCATTTTTATTGAAATTATTGTTTTTTATATTAAATATTTTTAGTTTTGAAATTACATTCACAGAATATTTATAAATTATAAAAATGTATTAATGTATTGATATTATATACAGTAGATTACCAATGTATGTAAATAATTTACGAATATTGCATTTTATAAATTTAATAACTTAGTATTTAATGTATTATACAGTATTAATTTGTCATTAATTTTTTTACTTCATTATATTATTTGATTTATATATATATTTGAAGTGTCTGTTTTTATATAATAAAAATATAGATGATTTTTATTTAGTTTAAAATATTGAATATTATATTGTCTCAAATAAATATTATTATTAACATATGTAAATTATTTATAAATATATATATCATATATATTATATTTATTACGATTATGAGTGTACTATAAAATATAATTTGTGTAATTTGTTTAATGATAGTAATAATCTCAATATTATAATTCTCATTTGCTATTAAAGCACCAATTTGTTAATTAAATTTTTGTTTAATATAATAATTATAGTAATATTAATAAAACAGTTGCAGTTATTTATAGACTAAAATCATAACATTTACTGTATGTAATAATCACTTGACATAATTATTCATTTGATTTTATACATTAATTTTAATAATTTTTACAAAATTTTTTTTGCTATATTAAATAATAATTAAATATATATATATATATATATATACTACATAGTGAAACATTTAACATAATTTTAATATATATTATTATGTTTCTAAAAGATATATTTTTAAATAAAAGTATTAGATATAATTTGCCCGAACCCTAAATATAAGATATATATATATATATAAACAAAATATTAAGTTAAGGTTTGTACTGTAAGTCTAAACTTGTCATAAATGTATAAATAATAAAAAGCATAATATTTTTACTTATATTAATGTTATGTCCTTCAAGATTATAACTGATTCGTGACTAAAACATAATGGTTGGCTAAAATCTATTTTATTATCTACAAACCAAAATTACCAATCATTATATTTTTGTTGTTGAATTGTAAACTTTTTTTGCTAGTCTTTATAACAAAAATTTATATGAAATCATTAATCAATAAAAATATAATATATTCTTATAAAAGTTCACATTTAAAAAATTATTTCAAACTCTTTAAATTTAATAAATATTTTTGAAATTTTGTATTTAAGATAATATTATTAAAGTAAATATTACTATTTATTTAACTTCAATATAATGCCATACAATGATACAAACATATATAAGAAAATTTTCAATACATAAATTAATTAAGCACAAGAATGAAAATTATAATTTGTATTTTTATATTAATCAATAGGCTGTTTAGCGTTAATTATTAATTAATAAAAATTATAATTTTATGTTTTATTCAAAGGTCAGTAAATAAAAATTATTAAAAAATTTATGATAATTTAAATATATTTTCTACTAAGAATTTTTTTAACTATTTTATTAGAAATTAATAATTTTGATTAGAAATTTATGATATAAACATTTTTAAATATTTGAAAATAAATAATATTGGATAAGCACTTCAATGAAGTCTTTATTTTTAAATAAATTAACGTTTGAATGAAACGAAATATTTACAAAAATTATTTGTTTACTTTAGTTTCAATTAATTTATATTTTTTATATAATATTTGTACATTTAGTATTGTAATTGTTTTGTTGTAAATATGCATTGATTATATTTTAAACTTTTTTTTATATAAAATAACATTTTATAAATACAATAAAATTTAGTTTTTCATTTAGTTCATATAGTATTGTAGTTTTATATTTACATAATTATAAAATATTGCAATTAACAAACATTTTTATATTTTATTTATAGTTTTAATAAAATACGAAATAGCAAGTTTAGTTATTTCAAATTATTTTAATATGAAAATTATAGTAATTATATCAATTGATAAATATTTGCTAATTATATTGGCAATAATTACTTTTAATTATGCAAAACTACTAGATTTATGATAAATTAAAATTAAAAATTCTTTATATTATATTAAACATCAATTAGATTAATTGATGTTAGATTTTTAGCAATTTGTTTTCATATATAAATTAGTAAAAACAATGATTGTATAATACAGTATTATATACAATGTATATAATCAATAAAAATGATTACATGTCTTATGCAGATCACGAATGTTAGGCAATTAAACTCTAATAGCAACACAATGTCAACTCATTTTGTATTAATTTTCAAAGTTTATAATTATTACTCAAAACAAATATGTAGTGTATATCAGATACAATAAGTGATACATTATTTTATTAAACTATAAATTGCTTTCTATTATATAATGCAAATTCTTGTATAGCATTGAAAACATTTTTTATTGCATTCATTATATTACATTACATTTTTATGATACATATATAGTATATTATGAGATACCATATCTTAGATCTTATATACGTTTTTCAGCGGTTAAGTTATTTGTTGGAAAGCATACTACTGTATAAAAAACAACAAAATCTTACATTTTCTATATTTAATATATAATTACATACAAACAAAATGTTGATTTTTTGAGTTATAAATAAAGTGTAGCTTATTAATTATTAAACAATAAGTTAAGTAAATTAAAATTTTACACATAATTAATTTTTATGAAAATAAATTTGCAAACATTTCTGTTTTGTTATATTATACTATATATATATATATATATAATATTACGATTTCAATTAAATTACATGAAATACAACGAAATACAATATATTTTATTTATTGTTTATTTGAATTTAAATTATTTTTATATCTTTATTTAATTTAAATTATATAAGTAAAAATATATGATATGATTATTATATATATAAATTTCCATTAATTTTAAATTGTATTTTTATTTTATTGTATAGATATAATAAGATTTTAAAATATTTATCAGTCTTACAAAATTATAACATCTATTATATATTTTTATTTTTAAGTTGAAATATTTATATTAGAGAAGAAATTGTTATGAAGAAACTAAAATACTAAATGTTATATAAATAGTATATTATTCAATAGATATTAGTTTAAAATTTTGTGAATAAATAGTAGAACTTAAAAGACTATTTCAGAATAAATATTAACTTAATTTAATTGAACAATAAATACATGACTTATTTAAAAAAATAAAATTATTTTTATAATTTTTCTAATGTTAGAATAATAAAGTTCTTCTTTCGATTTGTAAAAAATGATTAAAATAAATGTCATTTAATTAATAATTTATATCTACATATGTGATCCAAATTGCAGATCAATCGGATTTAAAACAAAAAAGTTATTCAATTAAATCAAATTTACTTATAATGTGATGTATAGAGAAAAATGCTAACTTTGATCTCCGAAAAACTCGTCCCTGCAATCAATTGTCACCAAATTTTTTGGTGATATTATATTTAGATGTTTTTGACAAAATATGAAAATGTTAATAAAAAAACTTAAATTTATAAAATAATATTAATCATATAAAAGTTATTTTTAATATACAAATAAATTTAAATTTAAATTTTAAGTATTTGTTTAATTGTATATAAATGTGATTTATTTGTTGTTAATTTTAGATAAGTAATACTAAAAATTAATTTTATATACAGTATTATATAAAAATATAATATAATATTTTGATTAAACTTTATAAACACAAAAGCATTAAATTATTTTTATAGAAGTTTTCATTATTTTTGAAAATACAATGAAATTCATTAATCATTAGTTAGTTTTGATTGCAATGCAAACACAAAAATGTTTTTTWAGAATATATTAATATAGACTGTAATCAAGTCTTAGAATACTTTAAATTCTATATAAACGACAAAAACTAAGAATTGGATTATTTATTAACCATTCCTTACAATAGATGTCACTATAAGTGCCGTTCATTTCAATACATTTAAAACATTTGTATGAATGAAGTGAATGTTGTGTTTGAATCTAATAATAATATAATAATAATAATAATAATAATAATAATAATAATAATAATAATAATAACGATATAAATGAATGAATAAATAAAACAATATTTGTATTGAATTTGAAAACACAATACAAACAGAGTGTCAGTTAATCTATGGATCAATTCAAGTGATCGTACAGTGAAAGTGATGGACAAACTGACACTCATATCGTGGACTCTATTTTTGGCGGCCGATCTGTTGGCCATTATATCGTTAATACTTCCCGATTGGATTGTGTCGGACGTCGGCGGAGAGACCCGATTGGGACTCTTGAGGTCATGCGTTGCTATATATGGCCGAAACACGTATTGCTTTCCGCCGCGACTGCAGACAGAATGGACTCTGACATTGATATCAATAATCGGTGGATGTGTTTGTGTGACGACAACTGTAATACTCTTCATAGTCTCCAATTGGAACCATTCGGTGATATCGTCTGCCCGTTGGTTCGGCTTTGCAGCGATGGTTCAGTTCTGTTTGGCCGCAGTTATCTTTCCCATGGGTTTCACTGTTGAGTCGATCGGTGGTCAACCCTATCAATTGCCGAGTTCTCATCAGGTCTGACCGTATCATCATTTGATGTATACATCAAATTAAAAGTTGATTTGTTTTGTCACCAATAGGTCGGCATTTCTTACATATTCTTTGTACTTTCGCTTTGGATTACGTGAGTCCCGACACATGTTTGTCCACTAAATAATTTAATGCAAAATCTGTTTTTATGAAAATTTTTATAGAGTTATATCTGAATTATTTGCCGGCAAAGTCTGTATGCCTCACCTCTAACATCGGTTACAACAAGTGATTGACATTTATGTTAAATCACTATATTATGGAAATATCATTAATACTAATACTTTTAATTGAACACAAAGTTGTGTCATATATTGCATTGATTTGTCTCCAAACAACTCATCTTAATTGGGTTTACAATTGTTTTGTAGATTTATTAATCAATTTAAATGATAATTCATAGATTTGTTGCCACACTTTAAGTATACTCTATAATTGAAAAAATAAATGGTTTAATATAATACCTTAATTGATAATTAAATTAGTAAATTATATAATTATTGATAATAACAATAATATTTATAATTATTTTTGTAAATAAAAATGTAAATATGCAATAAAAATATTTTATTTGTGATTAAGGATGTGACAAATTAATGATTTTGTAAATAAAATATTTAAAATTAGACAGTTATATTAAAACAATTAAATATTTCAATTTATTAAAATTCTCAATTTTTTTTGTTACATAACTTCAAGTTACATGAAATTATTTTTATTATTAAATAATATATTAATAATTCGAGGTATTGTTTATTTTATAAACATGGCTAATAAAATTTACATTTTAAATTATCTCAAAAATATATTGTAGACACATATTATTTTGTATAAAAATCAATATAAAATTTTTTAAATCTATGGATCGTATTGTCTCACGTTTTAATGAGTAAATTATATTTTCACATATTTATAACAAAATTAAAATATTTAATCTTAGAAAAATTGATTTAATAAGTTTTGATTTTCAGATATAATAGATAAATATAAATATATATAATGTTAATGATATAGCGGTATAATTAATACGTTAATATAATATATATATATATWTATGTTTATTTAAAAATGGTGTCAATTTTATTAATTTCAATAACATTTATACAGAATTATATTTTGATACTATTTTTTATACATTTGACAACTAAGTTATTGAGTTAAATGTGATTTTAGATTTTAAAATTGCAGTTTAATATATATATATATATTGAATTCTCTGTAGATTTTATATTTTGGTTTTAAAACACAAGTCATACAATATTTTGATTTTTTCATCTTTTTTTATCAATTCATTCATTTAATGTCAATAACTATACACATCGATAGCTTTGAAATCGTAAAATATAACTACGTTTTTATATATTAAAAATGTTTGCATAATACTGTATGATATTATTGATATAAAACAGTATAAAGTATTAAATAAATTTAAAGTCAAACTTGTATTAAACAAAATTTGAAAAAATGATTTCTTTAATATGTTATATAAGTGAATAATGCAAATACTGTATAATAAACATATTAATAGATTTATAATAAATAGCAGTTAGTTATAATGTGGTTAATAATATTAAATTATAGTTAAACATGTTATACACATTATTATTGTGTTTGATGTTTTAGGTCTTTAACTGTCTTTAATGCTATGATTCAAAAATTATCAAAATTATTTTTTTACCCAATTATATTAATTAATTAATTATTGACTATATATTCTTTTACATTTAATTGTGAAAATTTTCTTTCGTTACCAAAATTAAGATTAAATTTATATACAGTTTATACCATTACTGTGTACTGAAAATAAATTGACAATATATCTGTATGTTTACAGTAAATTGATTTAAATTGAAAAGATTAAAAATTTTTTAATTAATTTATTATTAATTTTTGTTTTTATAATATGAATAAAAAGATTTGTCATAAAAATGTAATTTTATATGTTATAAAATTTATTGTTTCTTAGAGTAATTCAAAATAAAAACTTTAAAAAAATTATATAAGAATTTTCTTTCTGGGATTCTTATAATAAATGTTTTATTTATTTGTTAATTTATAATATAATGCAAAATGATAATTAATAATAATAATTATTATTTATTTTTAAGGATATAAATAATTTTTATTACAAAATTATTTTTTGAATTTAAATTGGGATTTAATAGTATAATAATAATAATAAAAATTTTATAGAAAATTATTTCTAAGAAAAATGTTGTGAAGAAATGATAAATTGATTAAAAATACAATTCGTATATAAATTTAAATAAATTGTGATCACAGGTGTCATACACAGACACACTATAACTATATTTAACTGTTTTCTTATCCCATCATTACTTACTTACTCACTCACAGTCTTATCATTATTTTAATTTAATATAATTTTTGATAATAAATATAGTTATTAATTGATTTGATTGTGTAGTTGATTGTCTCTATTAATCTAACTTTGATTACAAAATAAATAACTTTTTGTATTCATAAGTTTGATAAAATTCTTTTATTATGTCAAGTCTTACTATTAATTAATTAATGATTATATAAAATATTAAATAATATTCTAATGTTAAACGTATAAATAATTAATAAAAATTTGTATTAACATGTTTTTATATAATTAGTATTAAACTAACTTTTTTCAATTATAAAAGTTTTTTATATTATATTACTATCGAATATATCAAATGTAATAATTATAAGAAAAGTTCATTACTTATTGGTTTTATGTAAATTTATATAAATTTTAACAAATTAAAAAAACTTATTATTAATTGTATATAAATTAATACTACAAATAAACAATAAATATAATAGAGATTTAAAAAATTTTATCATTCAAAAATTAAGTTATTTTGATTTTAATTATTTAGGAAACTAAAATTAATGAATCAATTATATAATATACAGTATTGATTTAACGTTACTACTATTGACCATGTACAATTGAAAACTTATTTGTATAATAATATTAAATTTGTATTTTTTATTCTTTTAATCAAATTATCAAAATATTATAGTTATTTTAAATACAATGTGTTTTCTTATTAATTATTAATAATCAAATAACGCAATGTTTTGCATGTGATAAGAGATTTTTATAAAAACATTTATTTATTCGTTAATAAATTTACAAATTGTCCATGGTACTTTAACATTGTATAGTAATATTAATTGATAGATTACTATTAAAATTACTATCAAATTATGAATGAATTAATGTTTAGGTGAATGAATTATTGTAAATAATTAGATTTATTTATGAGCCGTTTGTTTATATATATATATATATATATATATTTATTTATTTATATTAAAAGTGAAAAGTTAAAAAAAGATGACTTAAAACGTGAAATTATAAATATTAGAAAAACTATTTAAAAATATTAATAACTAATATTTAAAAGAAGTTCAGCGCATTAGGAGTAGGAATATCCCTATTATAGGTTAAAATAAAATGTAACTTTTGCTTAATATATAATATTGAAAATCGTCATTTAGTTAGTTTTATAATTAAAGTACAACTTTATTTGTTAACAATTGATGATAACAACAAATAATTATTTTTACTATTAGTATTTCATAAATATTTACATAAATTGAACAAAATTAAAATAGTGATTTTTATTAATAAAAATAAAAGTTAAAATTTTGTCTAATTGTATGTAAAAATTATTTTTAGCCCAATAGAGGTTAACACATCCGCATTCGCACACAGTATATACTCAGTTATTATTTAAACATTTAAAAATCTGTTAAATAAAGGTATTGTTTGTTTTTATTGTGTTTAGTTTATGTGTTAAATTTCTATTCAAACCTTCAATGGGAACATTCATATACCTTAAAGCAATGGATTTCTTTATTTAAAATATTTTTAAAGTAATCTCATCTGAGTTGGCAATCGTACTAATGACCAGAGGGTTGTGAGTTCGATTCAGCCTTAGGATAGAATTTATTGGTTCATTAAAATTAAATGTTATATTTATCTAGAATACAAACAATCCATTTATTGTTAAAATAACTTATGTTAAAATACTGTTAAAATTTAATATATATATTAAAATCGAATTAAATTAGTTTAGTTTATTAATACAGTAAATGTGAATGTTTTGTATACCCCTTAACTAAAACTATAATTAATTATTTTTAGTATATATTTGTTTCACAAAATTCATTCAAAATTAGCTATAATTTACTAAATTAATAATTTTTATATTTTAATTGCTAACATTTTTACTATCAATTTTATTTTTTATGAATTCATGATTTATAGTATATTGTATAATTTTTTAAGATGTTAATTATTTGTTTATTTAATTTAATTGTTTTTATTGTATAAAAACATAACACAATTATACAAATTTAATAATATATTACACACAAGWAGTGATGTAATGATTACAAAATGCGCAATTGCATTGCTCGGAAATTGCGTGAAATTGTAAAAAGCTTGCAATTGTAACATAATTTATAATTTTTTAAAAACTAACAAAAATTTAAATGGTAAAGCAATATAAATAAAAACATAAATTAATTATATAAAATTTAATTATTTTATCATAAAATGTTGCCATCTAATAACTATGTAAAAATAATAATAAATTAGCAAATTTTCTTAATCTATAGTAAACCAAATTTTTAACGTTGTAAAAGTTAATTTTTATACATTCCCTCATGCGCGCAATTTCACGCAATTGCGGCAATTGAAAATTGAATTGCTCAAAATTACCAACACTACACACAAGTATTAGAAAAGAGTTTCTAATTTTGATATATTATATAAATTTAAAATAATAGTATATCTACAGTAGTTAAAGTATTTTTTAGAATTTTTAATAATCAAAAAATATATTAACTTTATATGAAATATATTAAGAAAATACTTAATTCATGAATACATCAGTATTTTAAAATATAAAAGAAAATTTAGTTTTATATTTTAAATAAATACATAATTTAAAATTTTATAAAAATTTAATTAATTTTTGACACTTTAATAAGCAAAATACAATCTAAGTAATGATTATTTATGACATAATTTTTTCAAAAAAATGAATTTTTAATTTCTATGTATAGTTTAGAATAAATAGAAACTCAATTTCTATAGAAAACAATTCATTTTATTTATAAATTTTATACAAAAAAGACACAAAAATATAAAGATTTTTTTCTACAATTTTTATGAATGAATGCACTTTTGTATTAAAAACCATTTGATTTGTAGTATATAATAGATTATACAAAACCACAGTATAGGCAAACATTAATAAATTTTTATTATAAATTAATAAATAGACATAATATTATTTATAAATTAAATAATATATAATAATTTAAACATATCATATAATTGAATGCTAGAATACAAATGATTGAGTGAACATTATTTAAGTAAAAGTTAATGTTTTTATATGTAATTCACTTCAGTATAATTTTTTTCCATACGTTGAATAAAAAATAAAGAGAATTGTAATGCATTTGAGAGAAACTTATAATTTAATAAATGATGGATTTCTTTGAGAAAAATATATGTTATTACGTGAGAAAAAAGAGGCAAAACTTAATGCTATTTTCAATTCACTGTTTATGTCTGTATTTTAGTATAATATTTATGGTTTAAAAAGTGTTTCTATTCGTTGCATAAAATACTAGTGAAATAGGAGAGTATATAATGGGCTAAATGTTGATCGATATTTTGGGTCATTTTTTCCATTATTCATGTCTTCAAAACACTAATAAAACCTAAATTTGGTTTACATTTGATTTTTATTTACAATTGTTATATACACTGAACAAGGAGTTTATGAACTGAGAACTACTATTTAATTGGCTATCAATCGATTGACCGAAACTCTAGACGAGTAAAGACATCGAAAAACATGCGAACCCTTTGATGGTTGTGTTGAGCGCACAGACAGCCCATGGATGTGATGTTCACAACACTTACAGCACCGGAACATTGGATACTCAATGTATTGATGTCTCAGTCTATCTGTTATGAGCGCAACTCTAAGCGCACATCAGTTTTGTGTGTTTCTCTCAAACAGTGAGCCCTTAGAGCACAGACCTACACATCCACTACACATACCAGTGATCGCAACAATTCAAACATTTTTTTAATACCATTTCTATGTTTCTCTAAAACTAATACACTTTACTTCAATTGTCTCTTAAGTCACTATTTCTTTTGTAATGTCTTAACTCATCCTTAATTTACGTGATTTCTCTTCATTATTGATAAGTTTTTAAAAATTTAAATTAACACAACTTTTTGATTATTTTTGTTTCTGATTTATGCATTAATATTTTTTCGTTATTTTAAATGCCATAATTTATAATTAAAAACACATGTCATACTGTATTTAATGCAAAATGTTTATTAGAAAAATATTTGATAACTACAGTATAGACGTATAATGTTATTGATATTCAAAAGTAAAGTCAAGAAACATATGAGTTTGTGTAAAGAAATAGCAATTAATGTTAATTTGAATTAATAAAAACATGTATCAAATATTGTGTCCACACTTACAATAGATTTCTCTTTATATTATTATATATTTACTATAAATTCATTGAATCGCAAATAAAAGCATAGCTTTGGTGTAATCATTGATGTCATTCAAAGTAGAGAGAAAACTGAAAGAAATTGTTACCATTTATTTGGTGATCATTTTGAGTGCAATTTATAACATAAACTAATAAATTGGTTTCAAAGTCATGACAGCAGATACTAAACAGTCCGTTGCCAACAATCCTCAAGAGTTTGTCGATGAAGTAAGTGTTGACTCATATAGTTTTAATTAACTACTATTTCACATCCCTTTACAATATAACAAAATAACATTTCATGCCTTTTATGTGATATTTAGACATCAATTAAATATATTTACTTTTTTGGCATCTTATAATATATATTTGTATTTTAATTAATCAGATAATTAAATTGTAAATTGTCATTTTGTATATTTTTAATGTATATTAACTTTAAAAAATTAAATTAATGGTTTCAATTATTATTTAAAATTTAAATATTTTTGCATTATATTCAGACTTATTTTAGTAAATGCATTATTTACTTAAATTATTATAAGCAAAAAATTATTTAAAATTATTGTGTAAAACTGTGTGTTATTTATAGTAATAATCTTTTAGAAAAAAATATTTTCATGCAATACAAACATTAAGTGCAATGAAGTGTATTATCAAACAACTATTGTTTTTGGCTTTTGATTACAGATTTAAACTAATCTATAAATTATGGTTTTTGTTATCAAATATTTTACAGATATTTTAACACATGCTAAACATAATCACTCTTTTTTAGTTAACTTTCCCATTAAATGACTTTTATTATGACAATGAATACTAACATTAATGAATTTGTAATATGAAATTGACTTATGTTTAGACACATAAAAATTGAGTGCTTTAAAGACAAAATAAAGACTACATATAGTTATTGATTTGTTTGCGAGACTAAGGATATCAACCAAAATGTTAGTGTCTGTTGTTATCTGAAAAATATTGTTTGAATCTAAAAATAAGAGTTTAGTGTTCGTTACTATCAAACCATTTATCATATATTTCTATAGAAATTGAGAAAAATGAGCGAAAGAGTGAGTGAGTGAGTGAGTGAGTGAGTGAGTGAGTGAGTGAGWGAGAGAGAGAGAGAGAGAGAGAGAGAGAGAGAGAGAGAGAGAGAGAGAGAGAGAGAGAGAGAGAGAGAGAGAGAGAGAGAGATTATTGTTTTATGAGAGTGCATAGATAGTAATTACATCAATTATTGAGATGATAATGTTTTTTTATTAATGTAAGATTAATATAAATCAAAATTAATAGAAATATTTTTTTTAATTCTAAATAATTCCAATGAATTCAGTAAATTATTTTTAATAACATATATTCGATTAATTAAAATAATGAAAATACAAAATATACTTTAAAAAATAAATATTTTAATACTTTAAAAATAATTCACGTATATAATATGTATTTAATTAATAAAATTTTTATCACTACCAAATCCTATGATATAACAAAATTGATTAAACGTATACTTGTATACACTATAGAGGGGACACTAACTGTAATTTTTAATATCTTTGCACTGATAGTCATTAAGATGACAATCAGCTATAATACTAATGAATACTTGGTATTTGAGTCAAACAAATGATTTGATATTATAATAAACATTTATATGAGATATAAGTGATTTTTTATAAACTTTTAAATATACGAGTTTTAGATTTTATTTATAATTTATAATAGTATGGATAAAAATCTTACATTTTTCACAATAATCATAAACTGCATATATGTTAATATTTATTTTGTTTATTTGTATTTAAAATAAATTATACTATGATTTAAAATAGAAATTAAGCCAAAATTGTCTCATTTTTAACACAAATTTGAATTACATGACATTCTCAAATTGTTTTAATATTAATTATTAATAATATTATTTAATAAAGAAATAAAATATTTACATTTTTATGTTAAAACCATTTGTATGTGTTTTTGACAAAAATGTTAATAGAATTCAAAGAATTTATTTAATTAAAGACATAAAAGAAGACAATGAAAGCAATGATTGTGTCCAAAGAAATGGGATCTCATTGAGTGATATCGACTTTCCTCATCATCTCATTTGTGCTAATATTATGTTATTGTTTAATATATAGTTTGTTATTTCAATCGATTTTCATTAATAACATAAAGCATATTATAATTTATATTATAGTTTATTAGTTATGACTTTATAATCTATTGGTTAATGAATTTGATTTATTACTCAAATAAATATTAGACATCATATGTATAATATATTAAATTATTTTTTAAACAAATAATAAACTATTTGTGTTTTACTTATACTTAAGAGTAGTAAATAAAAGACAAATATTGTTATTTTTTATTATCAACGTCTTTATATAAATATTATATTTAATTATTAAATATATTTTATGCTCTAATAAGCATAACAAAGGTTTTATTTATGTATTAATTTAAATTAATTATGTAAAGAATATATTATAATAGTTTATGCTTTTAAACAATAATTACATGCATTAAATTTTATACTAATCAATAATTTTCATAAATCAATTGTGACTTAATCTAAGTTTGAATGAGTTTCACAAATTGTTTCAAATATATTGTAAATTTATACAGTATTGTAATATCATATACACTATATGTCTAAAAATAATAATTATAATTGATCATTTTTAATCTATGTATAGTATTAATCTTTTTAAAAATAATAATTTAATAACTAAAATAACGAAAAAATGTTCTAAAAATAACAAAATAAAATTTTAAAAAATAATATACAGTTTTTTTTATTTGCGTTTAAATTTACTATTTTACTATTGTTATTATTTTGATTTAATTTTTGATAAACAATTTTTTAACGGTTGGTTTATTTTTAAACGTTTTTATACATTTATTGATTATTGTAGAAAAAACCATTAAAACATTATATTTATTTAACAAAATGATTAATATAGCAAAATATATTATATCAATTCCTACTAATTAGAAGTTTTATAATATTTTTATTAAAGAATTGCATTTTTACAAAGTCAATAAAAGAGACACAATTTATTATTTTAATGTGTTTTTATAAATTTATATTTTAATTTAATATAATTATTAACAGAATATTCTTGATTTTTATAGGACATTGTCGCGTCTAATGAGGAAGAAAAGAATTATAAGGGAATATGTATTGCTATTTGTGTTATCGCTTGTATTTGCTCTTTGATTATCACTTCAATCATACTATTAACACCCGGTTTGTATTTATTTATAAATATTTTTTGTAATACAAATAAAAATTTACATATTTTCCATTTAAATATTTATTGATAATTAGACATAATATAGCATTTTAAGATACATAAACATTTATTTATCATTATAAGATTAAATCATGTATGTTATCATTATAAATGAATATTTAAAAAATATTTTTAAAATAAAAATAATAAATGAAATTGAAAAATACAAATGTTTATTAATTTTGTAAATTATACTTATTACACAGAATTATAATATATATATAGTTATCTTAAAACATGTGATGCATTTAATATGATTTAAGGATTAAGTACATGTTATGTAAATGTTAAAAATATATCTAAATTTTTAAAGTAAATCTATATTCAAATCTAATTATCAACTTTAATAGTGTATATACTGTAGTATTAATGTTTTTGAATGTATCTGAATAATACTATATATGAAAAATTATAGAACTATTTGATAAAAGTATATATAATATTAAAATATATTATAATTTAGTAAATCAAAATTTTAGTTAAATTAAGTTTAATGCTAATAAATTTAATTTTAATAAAAACAAATCAAAGAATATATGTTTATAAAATTTTAATAATTATTAAACAATAAACTCTAATGTCTAATACATATGTTTTTAATCATACAACAGAAGCATTTGAATAATTATGAATGAATGAGTTAAAGTTGAAATCAAATAAAATAATATATTAAATAATAGCTGTTAAGCCGAAATAAACCCACAAACTTTATATTAAATTAWATTATTAAATAAAAATTTGTATTATTATATTTGTATAATATAATTTATTAATAAACTTATTTATTATTTTTAACTTATTTATGATATTATTTTTTATTATATATTATCATTATTTTTTAATGGTCTCATTATCTAAAGCGATAAAATAGTTGCCTCACAATATTATTATCAACATTAAAATGCTTCTGTTGTATGTTTTTAATAATACTTTGTTTTCTGTACAATAGTATATGACTGTACAGTAAATTGCAAATAATATATTATATAAGGCAAAAAATGTTTGATATCTACATAAGTATATGCTTATAGATTTTTAATTTCACATTTGATTACAATTATTTGCAACAAAAATTTGCTTTAAAATAGATATTTATATTTTTGAGAAAATTTCTAATGTATAGTAACCAGGGTTTTAAAAATGGCAGGCATAAAYAATAAATATCAATTTTGCCAAATGTTTTGAAAATATTTTCAGGTGGTGACACCTATTATTTTAATTTTATATTATTAATTAATTTATAATATATTTGCGTATTTTTGTTTTGTATACTTTTAATTAAAAGGTAATATCATTATAAATAAGTAAATTAATTGTAAATTTAATTATCACGCTAAAACACTAAATTACATTATTTTTATAAATACAGTTGCTTTTTAGCAATTAAATTGGCAAATAAAATAGATGCCCAAAGTGCCAGTCATTTATGGCATTTATTTTCTTAAAACTCTGATAGTAACTCAACATTTTTGTTATTTGATCGCATTGTTAAATGATTCATTGCTAAAAATAATGTCTTCAAATAATATTACATAATGTATATTGTGATATAAATTAAAGCATAAAAGGATTTATTTAGGTWTATCTAAACTTTTATTTTAGATAATAAATTGAAAGTTACGATATAGTTATATATATTTATTTTTTGAATTGTTTCCACTTTATGGTTATTTTTGTGTCAATTGATTGATTTGTTGTAAAACTAAGACTATTTGTAAAATATTGATTTTTGTTGTAATGAAAGTTTAATAACTTTTTTTAGACGATGATCTCAAACGTGTTAAATATCCGCGACTTAAGATCGAGGAAATTGTTGCAAATGTTTTTCAACCAAAAGATTTTGATGGCATTTGGATATCTGGTGATACTATTTAATGATTGAATTATTAATGATTTTTATATTTTTAGTTTTTATACTAAATAATATGTTAATATAAAATTTTAGAWATTTTATATTTTAAGTTTTTATTTAAACCATAATTTGTTGTGACATTGTTTATAAAGTTAAATATTGATTTTATATTAAGTGAATTGCAAATAAGAGAATTTGTTGAATAATTTGAAAAAATTGATAAAATTAAATTTTGTAAAAATTTAAACTTATATTTTATATTAGATTTAAATTCAATTTTAAATTTTTTGCGTAAATTCAATAATTGCAAAACAATTCAACTTAAAATACAATTGTTTTATAATTGTATTATAAAAATTTTATTTAAATCTCTTTTTTATTTTTATATATTATTTTGCAAAATTATCATCAAATTTAGTAATACTTGTTTTTTGTTATATTTAAAACTAATTTACATTAATTAGTAAAGCGTTTCAGACAATTATATTAAATTATTTGTATAAATTTATTTATATCTATAAAATTTTTAATATTATTATATATAATTATGTGAATATACCGGTAATATTTTTACAAATTTACATAAAATTTAAATTTAAATTTTTCAGTTAATATTATAGTCAATTATAAGATAATTTTTGTATTATTTATTGTATTTAAAAATATTATATAATAAATATTTATAAAATATTTTTTATTGTTTATTTTAATAATTTAAAGTTTTAGTTTTTAACTATAAATTTATAAAATATAATTTTATTAATTTTTGTTAATTTTTAATATAAGAGATTTGTTTTTGAAAATTCTAAAATAAAAATATATAGGAAATATAAAATAGATGAAATGCATGAGCTTGCTTAATTATATTTTTATTAAAAATTTACAACTAATTTATTATACTAAGTAAAAGATAATTAAACACGTGTTTTAACGTTGCTTATAAAAATACTTAGTTTTATCTAAAATGAATTCATTAAAATATTGGACATACAGTACACTGTTTTGATATTATAATATAATTATAAATTATTTAAAAAAACAAATTTTATTTATGATAATATTTAATTTTGATACTCTGGATAACTAATATTAGATGAACTTTAAATTGAAGTAAAAGTTGTATTGAAATAATAATAAATCAAAACCTCTTTAAATAAATCAAACAATAATAAAGAAAATCATTAGTTTGTGTTAAATAAATAATGCAATCCTTGAGAGTAATCGTTGCTTTTAAAAAACTACTTATGTTTTGAGGATTTTATTTAATAATAATATTAAACTTTGATTTCTAATCGACTAAAAGCTATTTAGTGAACACTTTTCATAATTTTTTGGTATTTTGATTTAAACAACACAAATGTCTAAATTATTGGTTTGTTATTTACAGATAACGAGTTTGTATATACTGATGAAAATTCAATAGTATTATATAATTTAGCTAATAATTCGTCAAATATATTTGTACCAAATAATATAATTGTAAGTTATATTTATTTTTTTAATACTGTTTTATATGCATTCATATAATTGTTTACTTAAATCATATATTAATATATTTATTTTAATTAAATTAGAGACAATTTAATGTTAAAAAGTTTTCCGTATCAGCCGATAAACAATTTGTTTTATTGACTCATGACATTCAAAAAGTTAGTATTAGTTTTTAATTATATTTATTTATTTTTATTAATTAATATTCTTTATTTTTATTATTTAGACAACTTATTATTCATATAAAGCAAAATTTAAAATATATAATATTAGTAATGAGCACATAATAACCTTAAAAAGTTTAGGGGGTAATCTTGATCTCGATTTTGTAAGTTTACTTTTATTATGTTTTCTGTTAATTTAATTAAATAAATTATAATTTAACTGATTTTTTATTTTCACTAAATTTAAGGCTGAGTTCGGCCCAAAAGGCAACCAAATAGTAAGTGAAGGCTTATATAGGGTTAGATGTGAAGCTTATATGTGTTGTTATATATTAGGTTTATATTTATCAAAACAATATATATTATAAACGTTCAGTTAGTGATAATGGGAACGCCATCATAAAAACTGGTCAGCCGGGGATTGTATATAATGGAGTACCCGATTGGTTGTATGGCGAGCGCATCTGGAAAAGCAATCGCGCCCTTTGGTGGAACCCATTGGGCACCGGATTATCCTTCGCTTCATTTGATGACAGTCTCGTCGATTCAATTACTTATCTTAAATATGGTTCATATGAAAGCAATAATAATCTGATGCCTGAGATTACAAGTCTTAAGTATCCAAAGCCGGGAACAATCAATCCTTCTGTTTCCTTATGGACTGTCGACTTAACAACACTGTCGTCACCTCAAAGACTAATGCAAACAGATATGATTGGGTTTGTCTAACAATTTTAATTAAAATCCTTTTAAAACTGATTATTGATGACATCTATCAACTAATAATAATTTAGTGATCATTATCTGACATCTGTTTCGTGGATCGACAACAATGTTTTGGCCACAGTTTGGATGAACAGACAACAGAACTGTTCGCTAATCAATATTTGCAGTCAAACTCCAAACTGGATGTGCCGTAAGGTTTGATAACATTTTATTTTTATATTCACAATACTAGTGATGTACTGTATATATAATATGCTATTACTATAATGTATATAACTATCATTTTTATACCATCACATTATCCTTAATGTATAACCAATGTTACGAAAACTATTATGGTTTGTCTATATTTTCCTTCAAATAAATTTTTCACTTTTTTCACAGATATCAACATTTTATGCATCAAATGATAACAATTCTTAATATTATATTATATATTAAATAGTTAAAAGTTATAACATTACTGTAAGATAACTGTATTCATATACTTTCTATAATTATTTGTGATATTCAAATATTTAATTTGTTATAAATAATAACTTTAAAAATATATTAACAAATATTAAAACAAATTAAAATAAAAGTTTGGTTTTTGTGTAAATATAAGTTCATGTTTATGCAATAAATAAATATGTACTTTAATTTTTTATATTAAAGGAAAATATGGGAATAAATTTTGTTTTCTATAAATATCTAAACTCTAGTATATATTTAATGTAATAGCGTATTGCAATGTAGTGTATAATTTAAGTTTTCAAACATTAAACAAATGTTTAATAAATAAATGTTAAAATTTACAGAATTTTGAACAATGTATTGGAGAGAGATCTAAGACATGGAGTGAACTTTTTGATAAGCCTTTGGTAACATCCGATAAAAAAAATTATTTGATTGGTTTGCCCGTAAAAAATATTAAATCACACAAAACAAGACAAATATCCTTAATATCAATAGCGGTTAGTTATATTGTCTTAATCATTATTTATTGGCTAATTTGTGAACACATTAATTCAATAATTTTTCTACATATTATAGACAGGGATTCAAAAGTCAATTACTATTGAAGATAATGATGTGACACAAGTATTAGCTTATAGTGAGACAAATCAAACAGTTTTTTATGAGGCATCGCTTGCAAGAAATCCCTCACAAAAGCATATATTTAGTAAATCAAGAATTTTTGCTAACGAAGCAAAAAATGCCATTTGTTTGACATGCGATCAAATAGATCGCAACTGCACTTATCAAACGGCTATTTTCAGTCCAAATACTAAGTATTTTATGTTAATATGTCTGGGAATGGGTAAGTCGTTTCATATTTACTAAACATTTACATATTATCTCAAAAAATTAATTTTATTGCACAGGTATTCCGTGGGTTGAAATTAGATCAGTAGCAGAAAATAAGATATGTAAGCAATTAAATTACCTAAATATCATACGACTATTTATATTGATATATCAAACTATAATATAATAATAGTATAGGTGTTAAAAGTAAATGTTTGTTTAATCAAATTGTTTGATAGTATTAAATTTGGGATCAGAGGAGAAGCTCAGGAATTTAACGGAATTCCGTGCGTTTCCACAGTTAAGGGTTTTTCAGGCATCGGTCGACAACTTGCGTAAGCAATCACTTGTGTTTCAATAGATTTTTTGTGAAAAATTTGCTTAAAATTAAACAAATGTTTTATTAGTCGCAAACATTAAATTAATACTTCCTCCCGGTCTTCGAGAAAATGAAGAAATCAAATTTCCATTAGTCGTCCAAATGTGAGTCAATTTTGTTATCATTATATTATATGTCTATTTTATTATACACTTTTTTAATCGATAGATAACTTATATTATTAATACAGTATTTGTATTCTTAGGATTTTTTAAATAAATACATTAACTAAAGAGTTTATGCTATAAAGTCATATAAAGTTATACATTAAGATAAATATGTATAAAATATATTAAAAGACTTTTTAAGAATTAACTTATATTGTGATGAATTAAAAATATAAATACGATATATTTGATTATTTGTCGAAATCATAACTAAATTTATTATAAATGATTATATAAAAAATTATTGATATAAAAATTTCCACTTTATTATCTCAATCATCATTAAGAACTACATAAAAATCATATATAATATTATATAAAAATAAATAACAATTAACTAAATTATAAACAATCTGATAATAAAACCTAAATTTTTTATTTAATTTGTAATATTAATTAGTGTTACAGTAAAAATGCATAAAAACATATTAATCATATGTTTACAACATGAATATCAATATTTATTCATTAGCTTTGAGTAACTAAATGTTTTTTTTAATAATTATTATTTTTATTAGTCTCTATTTTTTACATAAGTTAAAATATAAAATAATAAAATGACAAAATAATAATTAACTTTAAAATCAAATGTGCGAACTTCAATATTTTACATTAATATAGTACTGTCTAATCAGTCTAATAGTATAGTATAATAAATCTATCAATAAGTCTAAAAGTTGACAAATTTTTACATATAAGATGATTATATTATCCAATTTTGTAATTTTCTGATTCAATACAATATAATATTTAACACAAATGAATGCTATTTTATATTAGTAAAGGTTTTATGACTAATGTCTGCAAACATACCTTAAGTTATGATTGCTTAAAATTTTCATAAATATGTTTAAGAATCAATAGATTATATTATATGATAATTTTAAACATAAATAAAACAGTCTTATGAATTGTGATTATTTTAAAATTTACTATAAATCATATCATAGGCTCAAGTTTTACGGAAATCCGTATATTTTGGTTATTTTAAACGCACTGAAAATAAATTTTCTTTGTGTTTTACTGCTATAATATTATATATAAAATATGTTTTATATTTTATCTAAATGGAAGTCTATATATTGAATTATATCTAAAATAACTGTATATTAATAGTGATTCTCTAGAATATATAACATTTTAATAGACATTTTATAAAAAATATTAATATAAAATAAAAATTAGATAACATTCTTAAAATGAAACTATCTTAAGAATTTGCAATTAACTAAACATTTTGTATTTTTTAATTAGCATAATCTATAATATATATTTCTGTAATGTATTTTAAATCTAACTTAAGGTAAATAAACTATAATTTTTTCATATAAACACAAATATTAAATTACAATATATTAAACATTTATTAAATATATAAATTTTGTGATAAACATAATATTTTAATAATGTCAATTTATATTCAACTTTTATATTCAATATACAGTATTTTTATTTTATTTTAAAATAGCTAAAAGTTTCCGAAGAGTAAGATATTAGTCAAAATCAGACAAAATTGTTTTGACATAAAATTATTATAAAATTTAAATTATTATAATATTTTTATGCATTGCTGTCGAGTTATATAAAAAGTTATATTGAGAATAATTTTATAGTATTTTATTATTAATTTTTAAAACTTCCAGTATTAATAAATGAATTGTTTTTGTAATTTAACAAACAAAATAAAACAAAAAAATAAGTTTTAATTTTTTTTAATTTAAAAAATATATAAATATCTTAAAAAAGTTATAAACACACACACATAACATATATATACTGTATATATATTAATTTTTAAGTATTTTTATGCAAATCTAAAAAATGTTTTTTTTGTTTTTATAAAAATGATATAATAAATAAATTCAAATTTTTATCATATTATTTTTGTTAATATTAATTATAAATTTTTTTATTGACATATGTTTAATGATAAATGTTTATATGTTTAATAAACGTTTATGAGTCTAACATAGATTTTTTTGGTATTTAAATTATAATTATATATATATACTGCATAAACATAGATTCATAAATTTGCTAAAATTTTATTTTATCTAAAACTCATTTTTGTGTAGTTGTCAATTATTTTTTAAATAAATAATTATATACTTATAACTTATATATTTTAATAATGTAATATTTATCTCTAAATTTAATATGATATACTTTTTTGTTTTATAATTTGTTTTAAACAAATATTTCAGTTGTAAACATTTTTTTAGACAGAAACAATTTTGTTTTTGAAAATATATTATCATTCAAATGCAATAATTTAAAACATATGACACTATAATCTTTAGATATATATATTTGTTTTAAAATATCATAAAAAGAAAAATTTTATGAAAACTCATTTTTATCTTAAGACTATCGTTATATGACTGGAATAATATTTTTTTAAATATTAACTTTAAAGTATAAAAATTAATATAAAGTTTATATATTCATGAAATAGTAAGGCATATAAAAACTACTTATTGGGATATAAATAAAGATGATTCATAATTATTATATTTAATTAAAACCTATTTAGTTGTATACGACATTACATGTAAACTATATTATATAAATTATAAATAAAATTAATTATTTAAGAAAAGTAATACTTTAATATCAATAGCAATAACAATGTTTTTAATATATATTATTATATTTATTTTATAAGTAAATATCAATGAATGAACAGTAAGAGATAAACAGACAGACAGACAGACAGACAGACAGACAGAAAGAGTAATACATTGTTTAAATAGAGTTTATCATAAAAATAATATTCTTAAAAAAATCTAAGTTTAAGTCTTTAATTCTGTTAAAATCCAAAATGTTATATATATTCCCAGATTATTATTATTGCAATTCATAATAAATAAAATTGTATAATTTTGTGAATGTGTAATATTTTTAAATTAACTGTAAATATTATTTTTTTTTATCTTTTTAAATATTTATTATCTCTTTTTTTGATAATATAATTTACAATAAAAAATATATTTGATTAATTAAGTTTATAAAGTGTATAATAGATTTATTACATTTATGCATAATATGATTTTGTTTATTATATTTTATTATTACTTCAATTCTAATACAATTTTATTATTCATAAACTAAATTATGAGACACTTGTGACTAGAAATGGGCAAATAGAAAGTTTCTAATAAATTTCCCTGAGAATATAGAAATTTCTATAGAAATTTAACTTTATTGTTATACTATGGGATCCCCATATCTATAGCTATTGTAATAATATATAAATAATGAGACACTACTACTCATATAACATTATACTATACACTACTATAAAAATGGGATACCTATATGTAAAATAATTATAATTATTTAATAATAATCAGTTTTTTAAAATTTTAATAATCATTTTATTATATATATAAGAATTTAAGATAATTAAATAAATTAATTGTTACTTTAATTAATAATTAATATATTAATACTAAAATTTAATTATTACTTGTAAAAACAATGTATTGTTACATAATAACATATATCGAGAAAAACAAAATTAACATGGGGATATCATAGATAGAAATTTCTTTTAGAAACTTTCTAGAAATTTCTCTATTATTTTATAAATTTCTCTTTTTTGCCAACACTACTTGTGACTAGGGTTAGATCAGATTCCCTCCCTCGTCTTATTTTCCATAAGTTCCTTATATTCCCTGTTCCCTGGGAATTCCCTGGGAAGACATTTCCTTGTGGTACCACCTATCGTACCCTAACTCACTTTACATAATGTTTAATTAAAAACACGTTTGTATAGTAAATGTCTACAAAATGTATTTAATGTTTTTACTAAATGTTTAATATTATTTGAATCACAATTTGATTGTGTTATTACTAACATAATAATCCTAATTGAAACACATAGTCATTGAGATTAGGTACTTTTTAATGTATGACAAATTATATTTTCCCTTTCTAACGATCAAGGGAGGGAATATAATATATTTTCCATATTTTCCGGGAAAATTGGAGGGATTTTATTTGGGAACTTCCCTCCCTGGGAATCTCAATCTAACCCTACTTGTGACATAAAATATAATTTTTTATTGATTATGTTTTCATAAGTTTCGACATTTTTATGACTATTGTATGTTAGGATTTAATCTTATATTAATGTATTATACTATAAATGAATATAATATATTTATGTTTTAACTTTTTTTATATAACTTATATACTTTATGATATATCTAACACATTTTTTTTAACATTTGTCAATAGTATAATTCATAAAATTAAAGCAATGAATGCTTATAATTATATAAAAATTAAAGTATTATCTCTATATCAGTGTTTGTGAAATTCAATTAATTTTTGGGACAAATCTAAATAAAAACTGATTGGAATTAAACAAAATTCTATTGGTTTTAATGTATTAATCCATCAATTTTTGCTGTCAACACATTATATATAACTTTTTTACACAAAATGTTAATTATTATTATCATATTAATAATATTAACGTATAATAGAAAATATGATACTGTATTTTCTACAGTATTATTATGTAGATATAATTTAGGATATTATTTAATATATAAATATTTATATTAAATTAATACCAGAGGTTCAGAGCCTGAAGATCAGGACGTAAAGCATAACTTTCACGTTGATTGGGGAACTTATTTGGTTTGATTATTATTATTATTATTATTATTATTATTATTATTATTATTATTATTATTATTATTATTAACAAAATTTAATTATAATTTTAAAGGCGAGTTCACGTGATTTCATATACGCTTATATTGATGTCAGAGTCAGAGATCGAGGAATCGGTAGGTTTGATAAAAATGATTTGTTTTGAACAATGAATTTATTATTTGTGTCTTAAAATGCATTTATTACTAAATAAGGCGATACCTTATTACACGATACGTGGCATCGCATTGGAGATATTGAAGTCAATGATTACATGAAAATCATTGAATATCTGAAGCTTAGCTACAAATACATCGATCCCTCACGTATTGCTGTAATGTCTATACATATTAATTATATTATTTCTTTATAAATTTAATTTATTACTGAAAATTTATTATTTAAGAAATAATAAACTTTTAAAGTTTATCAAAAGCATTTATAAGTGTAACGAAAATAATAATTATTATTAACAGTAGACTTACAATAAACGTATAATAATTCATAGCATATAAGAGTACATTAGGATTTTGCAGTTAATTAAAATGTGAAATTGTAATTATATTTGATATTATATTATGTTATTTGAATAAATCTATATTAATGTATGCAATAATTTATTGAAACAGATCTGGGGCTGGGCTTATGGGGGATATATAGCAGCTATGAGTCTAATTGAAGCAAATCAGCAAACATTCAATTGTAGTTTAGCGGTGGCACCGATCACTAACTGGCTTTATTGGGGTTTGTATTTGATTAACATTTGACTGATGACAACATTTATTAATACAATAATTAACTATAATTTTTAGATTCATTTACATCTGAGCGCTATTTTGGTTCACCAGACATACATAGAGTTAGCTATGAGAGAGCAAATCTCATACAAAAAGCCGACAAATTTAAACAAAAAAGATTTTTTATACTTCACGGCACTGCCGATGGTTTGATTAATTAAATTAAATTAAATTATATACTTATATATCATATAATAATAATAATAATAATATATTGAATACATTAATTGTATGTATATATAGATGCCGTTCATTTGGAACATTCTTTCAAATTAATGAAAGCTCTAAACAGAGCCGGAGTTCTCTATAGATCTCAAGTATTCAAACTTTAATGACTTTTATTTTTGTTTAATTTATATTTAATATTATGTAAAGACATAGATTAATGTTATTTATTTTAAAATAATATATTTTTATTAATATTGATTTTACTATAATTAGATTAAATTTGAATTAAATAAATTAAAATTTTGCAGAAATTATTTTATAAAACATAAATCTAAATAATTTTGTTGCAATAATGATAATAGATTATCTCTTTATATTTATAATTAAAAAAACATTTCATAAAAATGTTTATTAAGAAATAAAAAGGAGTTAATATATATATATATAACACATAATGGAGTTAATACTTAAACCGAAAAAATTGGTAACATTTGTCAGTTACAGGCCTTTGTCTACAATGTATATGAGTATTACAATATAGACGATCGATATTTAGACCACATTTTCACATAATATTCAAGTCATACACATTTGTACTGCTTTTTTATTTCAATAATATATTACCCGAAATACACGAATATATATTTTCTAGTTTTTCAAGTTTTACATAATGTTAATATAATTTTTATAATATGTTAAATAAGCAAAAAATTGATTTGATTTGTTGTAAAAATACAGATATATCCGGACTCTAATCATTATTTAGAAGACGTCAGACTTCATGTCTACCGATCACTTGAAACCTATTTAGACGAATGCTTTGGACTCGAAGACAGACTCATTGAGGAATCGCATCACAAAAAGAAATCCGAAGAGAAATCCTAATCAAGTGGTTATCATATTCTGGTGCTCTATATATATATATATATATATATATATATATATATATATATATACATAAAATATAAATTTATAACAATATACAGTATTGTATAGTATATACAATATACAGCATATAAACAGTATATCTATACAGAATATACAGTATATATGCAGTTTATAAAAAAAATATATCGATGACATCCATTACAGACAAAGCTAATATCATTTGTAGTCATTTATTTATTATCTACAAAATCGATATATCTAATGAAAGTTAATCAATTTAATTAATTATCTAATAATTATATTGTTATTTTGTTATTTATTATTTGTTGTTTGGGAATATCTTATATATAATTTATTATAATAGAATCAAATAATATTAATAATTTCTAATTATATATAAGTACAAAAAACAATACAAATAATTAAATATATATTATTAAAATTGTTATAATTGTTATAAGAATGATACAAATATTACAAAAAACAGATAATTTCAAAGCAATCAAAACATTGCACTCATTAAACACTGCAATTACATTGATATCAATCAATCACTCTTTACTATGCATTTATCATATTTCTGGCAAACAATTCTATGATATATATATATATATAACAAATTGTTTTGCAATCAATTATTAGCCTTTAATTGATTATCTGATTAAACGCCTCTTCAATTAACACACAATATGTAGTGTTTATATTTCATATTTCATATAACTTATAACATATTGATATATTAAGATTATTATTATATCAATTAATATAATAAATAGAATTAATTTTAATAAATCAATAATACTAAATGCAAATTGTTTTAAATAAATAATTAACTAAATAATTGACTTTAATATAATTATTAACATATATTTAATAAATATAAAATTATTCTAATATTACATAAAAAGTAATTTATAAAATGTTAAATATAATATAAATAGAATTTCTATTATTTATAAATAATGTAATATTTGCACTAAAATTATAATCAATATTATTAAGTTATAATTAATAATTATATTGTCTTCCATTTAAATATTAAAATTAAATAAATTCATTTTATTTAAAAATTTTAATCTAAATTTGTTATTTTGTTGTTACAATTAATTTGAATGAAATATAATAAATAAAAATTATGAATCAATATTTTTATATTATTACTTTCATTTATTTGTGTTATATATAATACACGGCTTATGATCTACCGAAAACTCGGGCCCTTTTTATGTATATTACATATGTTTTTTGTGTAACTATATCTCTATTAAATAATTATATAATTACATAAATGATGTCGCATTTTTTTAAACAACTCATGACAATATGGTATCTTTTATAATTACCAAATGTAGCACAAAAAACATAAGTAACATAAATAAAAAAGTACCGAGTTTGTTCTGAAAATGTTTAGTGTATATTTAAATTTATTTCAAATAACATTATTCTGATGTATAGAATATACAATAATAATTGTTTTCAATTATAAATAGAAATAAATAGTTTATAAATATATGTGAAAAATAATAATTTTATTGTTTTTTAAAAATTATTAATTAATTTTATTTAATAAAAACAATAAAATTGTTTGAATAGACAAATATTTATTTGACATAAATGTTGTGTATATTAATGTGAGTTAACAGGGATTCACAAATGTATTGATTTGTATGGAAAGCATTGTTCACATGTCGTGACAAACATTCAAAACAAATGTAAACATAAAGTAATGTTATTTAACACGAGTTAAGACATGTTATGATAATATTGATCACCAAATGGCATATCTATTGACACAAATGATGAATATTACTACAAAAGTAAACAATTGTCTCATTTATAAGTCATTGACAAGACATACAAAATGTCAAATAAGATGTTTAACGGGTATGTCTTGATTTTGCCACTGAAAGTGACTTTAGTTTGGATTTTGTTTATTAATATTTTATTATTTAACCAAATGATAGGTTTGAATGAAAAAAAGAGATTTTACAAGAATGTAACCATCACTCAAAATGATAACAAATTTGGTATTAATTTGGATGGAAAGCAACTAAAGACACCAATTGGTAATGTCTTTTACACTCATAGCCATTGTTTGGCATTAATGATAGCAAATGAATGGTTATCACAGCAAAAGACAATAAGACTGTCATCAATGCATTTGACACAACTGTGTAACACTGCTATCGATAATCCGACAAACGATTTCAATGAAACCATTGCCCAAAAGATAATGGATTTTATCGATTCTGACACTCTTTGCTTTCACGTTAATCAACCAAAAGAGTTATCTGATTTACAGAAAAAATCGTGGAATCCAATCATTGAATGGTTCCAAAAGACTTATAATTGTCAAATACCTATCACTCAAACTGTTTATTTAAATCCAATCAGTGAGACGTCCAGAAACTTAATTTATCGACACTTGTGTTCATATAATATGTGGTCACTAATAGGTCTTAAGTTTGCCACAGAAAATCTAAAATCATTAATACTATCGCTAGCGTTGACCCAAAAGGTAATATCTGTCGATAAATGTGTTGATTTGTCGCGTCTTGAGGAGGACTTCGAGATTGAAAAATGGGGTCGAATTGAATGGTCTCATGACCTCGAGTTACATGCATTGAGGGCCAGAGTGTCAGCCGCTCTACTCTTTTATTTAACTAATTGTGAAACCGGACAGTTGTCACAAACAGGGCATACTTATGCCCGAAGTATTGAATACAATATTTAAGCGTTAAGTTATTAGTTTAATATTTTCAATAAAATTTATTAAAATTCTTGATTCTTATTTATATATAATGTAAAACTTTAGAGTATATAATAATTAATTGAAAGAATGGTAATTATATTTAAATTCTATAATCAAGTGTGAAATGAGCTCAAAAACGATGCTTTGTTTAATGTATTGACCAAAATATTTGATCATAAAGTGACTTAAATCACGATAAAATGGCAGCACTTTTACGTGTTAGTGGTATACTGTCCAGACTCGACCACTTCTTGAAACCGTTTCGATTGATTTCACTTAATTTCTCATCACATAAACGAGACATTGCCTGCAATAACATATAAATAATGTAATTAATATTACGGTAAGCGTTATGTTGTTAATTGATATCTACCTCAAGACGTTGTGCTCTGTCTTCATTCAGCGGTTCCATTGGGAATGTGATATCATTTTGATCGGCGAGTGTTCGCAAATCAAAGTAATACTTGGCGTAAACACTTGACGGGACATTGATGTTGAACTGCAACAACTCGAGAAAACGTCGCTCCAATTCATTCCTATTATTTAATTATTAATTTATGACAATTTAAAGTACAATTTGAAACAATCTTTTAATAAAATTTGGATAATTGTTGAAATAATGTCTTACATGTCCTCAACAGAAATGTCTCTAAGTATTTGGCAATAGTCGACATTCCAGACCGCCTGATCGTCCCATACTTTAGAAGCCAATAGAATGGCTCCCAAAACAATCCGTTTCCAAGTCTGGGGAACGATATCTAACTCGGCATAAGTCAGAAGTCGCTCCAAATATACAAGAGTTATGATCGCACACTCGGGTGATAATTGGGCGGCACTGAACAATGTCCTCATAAATCGGTATATTGTTCGGTGATCGGGATCTCGAATCTCATTTGGCACTCCTTCCTTCTGTAGTGGTATTTGTTATAATTAGTAAATGAATTTAAGTTTGACATTAAAAATGAATACAATATTACAGATAAAGGATGTAGTCTTTCATCGAAAATATCAAGAATACGATCTGAATGTCGGTTTCTGATGTGATAATAGATCCCTAGTGTAACACATTTTATGGTATTCTTCAGATTGGGATGACTAACGGTGCTGTCATCCAAATAGATGGTCGAACAGGAACTGTGCTTCTTGAGCGGTCGCGTCTCTAATAACTATTATAATAATTATTAATTAAAACATTAATTTAAATTATTTGTCAAAATGCTTACATTAATTTGACTTTTTCTGTGGCCTATCAATTATAATAAAATTAATCATTAATTAAATCATTGTAAGAATCATATCATTGATTATGTCATACATCTGATATCACTTCGAGATCTTTGCATAAAAAGAGGTCCAGCGGTCGGATGAGAGGATGGGTCGGTCTCGTTGTCGTCGGGTTCGCGTTCACTGATGTGTTGCAGATTAGGTCCGATTCTATCGTTGATGTGGTCGTCAATAATCTCGTGGATCTCGGGTTTCTTGCGATGTCTTTGAGGAGTATTTGCTTTACAACACGAGATCTTATTTCCCATAATTAAAGTAATTGTTATTTCAATACTAATATTCACATCAATTAATGCCTTAATAAATGCTATCAAATGATTGCTAATTATATTAAATGTGATTTTAAACACTTCTCTCGCAATTAAAATAATTTCTGTATCAAAACTATTAAATCGTTTAATACCTTTAGAAAACATAAGCTAACAATTTAATTGTCATTTATTTTATAAAAATTATTTTTAATTAATTAATTAAAAAAAAAACAAAATTGACGACAAAAATGGCATAAAATAGATTTAAAACTCAGATAATAACTAAACGACTAATTAATAATAAATCATATAATATATTGAATTGTTTGGAACCAATTGGTGACACTTTTTGACGTGTCCTCACCGGCGACTCTCAAATCAATAAAAACAATATTAAAAATAACTGAAAATTTATAAAAATAAAACTCAATTCAAAATCAATAGTTAATTAAATGTCAATAAAACACACATTTTTCACATAAAACAGTTGTCAACACTTGTGAGTCATATTATGGTTCAAATGTTTACACAGTTATTGTCAAATCATATCAAGACATTCAAGACATTGATGACTATTGTTTAACCAATTAATTAATTACTTGTTATACATATAATTAGTGATAATTAATATAATATAATATAATAATAATAATAATAACGAGTCAACTGATGCACTGATTAATCAAATGAATTGTATTTTTCAACAGTTATTCACATATTATTTGCAATATTTGTCTACAAATGCATAACAAACACAAAACCGGTATTTATTTGAGAAAACGTTTCCTTCATTCAGACCTCTAATATGTATTGACTTTATTATACAATGCCTTCAAATAACATATGATTTTCAATTCAAAACAAACTATTTTTTTTAAATTATTAACAAATTATTGAAATATTATTAAATTTAATGATTGATAACATGTTTAGACATTCAATTAATTCATTTATTTATAGATCACTTTTAACACCTAATTGTTGTTATTTTAGTTCACAAATCGCCAAAACAAATGTTAATTTAGTTAAAAGTGATTTTAAACAACAACAACAACAAGAATTATCAGTGAAGACAGAGACCAATGAGTTGACCACAACTCAAGAAACCAATGTTTTGTCTGAAGAAGACAAACGGGCGCTCGCGATGGTTATCAAAAGTCCGGTAGATTTGGACACATATTGGGAAATGGCTTTAAAAGAGAAGAAGTTTGTTAAGAAACAGACGATTCTCGACAAAAAGGGTGGTATTTCTACCGATTTATTGAAATTTCTTCACCACAAATATGATATATCGATTCCCGGTATTAAACGAAGACTTCGTTATTATATTGAGTTCAGAGAGATATATAATCAAAGATATATTAATAGAAGACATACTATTATTGGTTCGTGTGATTAAAAAAATGTATTACCGGTAATAATCGGATATTTTATTTTTATGATAATTAGGTCCCGAATTAGCGACGGCACACCTTGTGGTATACCGAGGAGGAAGAGTTCAATTCAGACGTAAGACCAAACTATACTTTTTATAGTAAATTATATTTATATTGTTTTTCAGACGCACCCAATGTTTGGTACACTAAATGCAAACAATTTCCAAACATTTATGACGAAAGATATCGATTGACAGTTGTGGACGCCTCGAGTTAGTCAAAGAAATATTATTATTATTTTTTAATTACTATTTTTTTATAAAAAATACTATTACCGTAATTACAAATTTAGATATAAAGTTAAGATACGAAGCGTTGGATAACTTTATTTTACTAAATTCACTACAAGAACTAAATCTATCGAAAAACAAACATTTGGATGACTTTGCGTGCGATAAAATTGCGCGACTCTTCAGAAATTCAAAGAATTTAACAACTCTTGACTTATCTGACAACCCATTGATAACAAGTCGTGGTATCGAAACATTGCATAGAATTAGATCATTAAAAAAGTTGATAATATCGAGAACTAAAGCTGCAAACTATCCATTCATTGATTTATTGATTATTTTATTCACTGATGTGAATCCAAATTGTGAAATAATTATTAAATGATTTTTAATAAAAATATACTTTAACTAAATTAAAATTACAAATACTAATATAAGATTTAACTAAGAGTTGGTAAATGTTGATATAGGAACCAACTGAGACCAAACAGCAGACCAGCCGGTCTCGACATCATTGCCTCCGAGTCCCCACAATAGAGCAACTTCTTTGCCTCGTCTATGGTTAGTCTAAATTAAAAAGTTAAATTTGTATACCAAAGATATTTAACAAATATTATACAAATATAACAAAATACTCACTCAAGCACTTCGATCTGTTCCCCGTCTACTCCCCCTCCCTTTCCTTTAGGTGTTTCACATCTACAGTAGTAATAATTAATAAAAAATAGCTGACATATCATTAAATTATATAATTTATAATTACGTGACTTCACAGTAATACAAGTGCTGTAAAGATCCAGATATTCCAACTCCACTTCGGAATGAAGAAATAAATTGCAAACAACTTAATAAACAATACAATTATTGTAATCAATTAAACTTTTTTTTTGATAAATAATTTTAAAAATAAAGTCATACTTAGTGTCGACCAAATATCCGGTTTCTTCTTCGACTTCTTCTTTCGCAATTTCTTTAATAGTTTTTCCTAATAAATAGATTTTTTTTGTTAATATTAAACTTAATATTAAAATAATAATCATTTGGTAACTCTATATATATATACATATACTGTATTAATAAATTAGAAAACCTTGTTTATCAACAATACCGGCACAAAGTTCAATAGTAAAACCAAGATTTTTGTTTTTCACCAACAATTCATTAAATTGATTGATATTGTCTTTGGAAAACATATTCAAATCTATTGAATCAACACTTTTGCAGACAAAGGCAAAGAAGACCGCCGGACGAAATTGACGGACAAATATTAGCCGATTTGTCGACCGGTTATACAAAACTATTGATACGCTGTTATATATAAATGTTTTAATATTTAATTATATATTGATTGATAGCAAACAATCTCACCTGTCGTGTACTTTCATCAGATCCCATATCAATGGTCTGCCATTCTGTTTATAATTCAATTAATTAATCCATAATTATTGACAATTTATTAACAGATATGATATATAGATATTTACGAGTTTGTAGTGAAGTCGATGTGGTTTAAGATATTGTGATTGATTTGCTTCAAGTACTTCAATGCTTTCCAATTCAATCACATCCTTGTTATCGTTAGTTGCCATCAGTGGTCATCAAATGGTTACTTAATAATCATATAATCATCACTTGAGTGATCACTCATTGATCGCAAAATTATTTGTTTATAAAAAGTATTGAAAACACAAATCATATGTTTATGTGATTCATATATAACGTAATGAATGAATGAATGAATGAAATTCAAGTTATCGTACATTAAGTGTATATTAAGAGTAATATTAGTTGTATTAGACGTCAGTGTAATTTGAGGTACAAATCATAGCACACGTGGACTTGAATTGTATTGATTAAGTGATTGTCATCAGTAAAGACATCAACTAATAGATCCACAAAATGAGATTCGCTATCAATATTTGCATAGTTGTTATTTGGTGTCATTTGAATGTCATCAGTGGTGATGAAGCACTTCCTGAACTCAAAATGCAAGTATTGTCCAAACCGGAGGAATGCAGTCGCAAATCAGCCAAAGGAGATATGCTTACAATGCATTACAAGGGAACTCTTGAAGACGGATCAGAGTTTGACTCGAGGTTTGTATTATTTGATGATTAATACAAAGAAAACATATTTAAATCAAAATTGTCTTTTCATGAATTTAGTTACACCCGTAACGAACCGTTTAAGTTTCAATTAGGTATCGGACAAGTGATCAAAGGTTGGGATCAGGGATTGCTTGATATGTGTCCGACAGAGAAGAGAAAGCTTACGATTCCGTCACACTTGGGTTACGGCGATAGCGGTGCCGGCGATCGCATTCCTCCCAAAGCGACACTTATTTTTGAAGTCGAGTGCATTGCTGTCGGTGATGGACCAACTCCTGTCAATGTGTTTAAAGAAATTGATGCCAACGATGATAATCTTCTTTCACGAGAAGAGGTTTACTATATTTTTATATAATTTATAAGACTTACCGATAAATCTAATACTCTTACCGTAGGTGAGCTCATATCTGAAGAAACAAATGCCCGAAGCGGCCAAAGCAGGTATTAAGGATTTGCCCGAACAGGACAAACTCGTCGAAGAAATTTTTCAACACGAAGACCAAGACAAGAATGGATTCATTTCACATGAAGAGTTCAGTGGACCAAAACATGACGAGTTATAATTGAATGGATTTAGTTTTATGTAGATTTAGTTATAAAATATTTGTGATATTCAATAATTAATGGGATGTGAAGTGCCTTTAATACGACTGTCTTTTTAAAAAGCATTTGTTAGTAATTTATATTTTGTTTATTGGTCTCAGTTTCAAAAATAACAATTTTGGGTTTTTTCTTACCTGTAGATATTTATATGTGTGTCGATATTTTAGCAGCATTACCTTGATAATTTATATTTCATCAAAATTTTAACTTAATTTGTGTAATTATTATAATTTGATTAAATCAGATTACGGTAATAGTTAAATATAATATTTTATTATTAATTAATTAAACTACCGGTAATATAATTTATTTAAATATTTTTGAAAACATCTTTATCTACATAATAATAATAATAATAATAATATTTATTATCGTTAATCTTTTATTAAACTTTTATACGGCAATCATTAAAATTAATTGTACTGTTAATAATAAAAAACTTAAAATTGAAATATTAAAATATCAGTGTTAATCATTTTTACTAATATAAATGGTGAAACAGTATACAAGTTACATTTTGTTTTTATAATTAGTTTATACTGTGTATACGATATATGAAAAATGTATTTTATTATATGTTTGAAATAATTTGTAAATTACAGTATTTATTTAAATCAACATTTACTATAATAATCATAATATAACAAAAAATATCTTATTCAAAAAAATATAACTAATGGTATAATTAAATTTAAATAAATTGAATAATAAATGTTTTGTATTTATCTGTTGTTATAATAAATGATTCAATTTTCTTGTCTTTCATTTAATTATCCAAAAGTTCGCAATTTTCTCCTTAAGAGAGAATCTATTTCTAAGTTCTATCGACTATTGAATTCTAAAAATATATATTAATAACAAAATTTATATTAAACTATATTTAGTGGTATTGTTAAATAGTATGACTAAATTTTATTCAATTCAAATTTATTTTTATATATATATCAATAAATCTTTATGTAAAATAATTTAGTTTTTATAATATTTATTATAATAATATAAAATATTTTTTCCTTTTTTAACGATGAAGGGATGGATAATAACATATGTCCCTATTATCCGAAAAAATTTTGAAAAAATTGATAAACACGTCAACTTAAAATAAATCTATAATTTTCTATCAAATTCTGGGAAATTTTTAATTTTTATAAATCACAATACATTTTACAATTACTACTATAAAACTTTAAAGTTTATCTAAATTAAAAAATATTAATATAAGTAAAAATGCCTGATTTGAAGAAAAAATTGAATATGTTATTCAACCACAAAATTAATGTAATTATTTGCAAATATTTAAAAATAAATAAATAAAAACTATATGAAAATAACTACTCGGCTTTATTTAGTAACTACTGTATTATAACAACTATTTAATATTTTAAATAATTATTAAATATGTCAATAATTTATATATTACTATGTAATACTCGACATACAAACAAATGTAAAATAAATATTAATATATTTTGATAAATATTTTATATACAGTACAATAAAAATACTTTCATTTATAAATTATAATCATTTTAAAAAATAACGAATTTGTATTAAAATAATTATTTTGTTTGTTTACCAAACATATGATGAAATGACAATTTAGATGCTGTCACTGTTGTCATTGAAATAATAAATACATTATGATATTTCAAATATCTATATATCTTTAAATTATAAATCAATTAATTAATTTTAATTAATTTTTTAGTAAAATTGCTGAAAAATTGATAGTTTCTATCAATAAAACATATTTGTATTTCTGTATAAAAAGTTCAACTTTTCACAATATTCTCTTATTTTCATTGTATAGTTATTTATTGATTACATGTTTTTAAAAATACAGTGTAAACACAATTTACTAACAATTTATAGAAAAATATATACTGTATATTAAAATAAAATACAACTTTAATTAAATTTTATAAATATAATAAATTAATATTTGTTGTTGTTGTTGATGTAAACGAATATTGAAATAAATATAAATGTATTTTTAAACCAACAATAAGTAAAATGACTATATCTTTATTTTATAAGTTTATATGAGATTTTTTTTATTATTTAAAATTACACATAATTCAATTCATACAGTAATTTACAGTACATTAGGATTTTTCGCATTAAATTATTTGATAAGCCATAAAAATGACCAAAAAATTATAATTATATCACTTTTTATTTTAGAAACAAAAAAATGGTGCAAAAACTAAAACTTTGAACTTTAAAAATAATTATTATGTTATTTATGCGATTATAACTACTAGAGGGTTGACCTTAAATAATGGCTAAAAATTGTCGCTAAACTTTTTTTTATATCTAATGATAATTTATATATAAATATGTAAATATATATATATATATATATATATATATTAATATAAAAATGTCTTGACGTATATATGAAATGATGGTTTATCGACAATATATAACTTTAAAAGTTATGAATGAATGAGTGTTTATAGATTTAAAAACAAAATCAATTAAAAATTGTTTCATTTAAAATGAAAATATTTATCTATTATTTATAAATTATGTCTATTTATAACTTTAAGTCCTCCAGAGCTCCTAAATTCGCAATCGTTTTCTTGATTCTGAGCGCAGTTAGTCTTGCGGCCGCATTATGATACCAACATTCCTTCATTATTTTGGACATTATTCGCAATGCCTTTAATAATAATAATAATAATATTATATAATGACTAAAATGAAGGACAACACGACATACTTCACAAGATTGCCATCTATTCGGTATCTGAGGTCTTTGTCTGTCAGTACAGACAACTTTACGCATTTCTTCAATGGTTGGATCAGATGGGACCATATCATAGTATGGTAATTGATATTCTTCGTGAATACCTAAGAAAAGAAGACAATTTGTTAACAATTATTGTATTATTTATTAAATGTGAAAAATAAATCGTTGAATACCTCCAACATTACATCGTCGAGCAATTTCCCAAATGCATAAACCAAATGAATAAATGTCAGCTCTTTTGAATGAATCGAAATGAATTAAATTAATTGTTTCGTCTAAGACTTCTGGTGCTAAATATCGTTTTGTTCCAACTCTGGGATTGGGAGGAATGTCCACAGAGTTAGTCGATGAGTCATAACGAACAGCTAGTCCAAGATCAGCTATAGCACAGGTGCCGTTAGACTTGACCAGAATATTTTTTGACTTTAAATCTCTGTGAGCTATTGCAGGCTTTCCCTGTGTACCACATATCTCCATATGCAAGTGTGCCAACCCATTGGCTATGGATGCGGCCATTTTACACATACCTGCAGTATCAACAGTCATTTTGCTCAAGTAGTCAAAAAGAGACCCGTTTTCATGAAAATCAGTAATTAACCAAAGCTGAGTCCACGTGCCGTTATCTGATGTCAATAGTAGTGTTAACAAATCATATGTAATTTTTTTTATCAATTTTATCAAACCTTTATTGTCTGCAGCAATAAATCCAAGAATATTCTCATTTCTTAACATAACTGTTTGATAAATCTCCACTTCCCTAAACCAGGACCGCTCATCACGAGATGAAAATATTTTAACGGCTACCGATTCCCCCCTCCACCTGCCTTTCCATACTTCACCAAAACGTCCTTTTCCTATGATCTCAATTAATTGTATTTGACGGGCAATACTCCTTTGAACCAGAAGTGGTAGACCTAATGGTAAAATATAATAATCAATAATAATAATTTTAACGTAATTCACTTTAAAGTCATCAAACCTGATCCCGATCCTGAAGTTGTGTTATCTAAAAGATCTTTAAGTGTTTGTCCGGCTAAATGTGGCGGTAATAACGGATCTCTACTGGTGACACTTCCTTCAACATCAATAGGAAATGGTTGCCTAAGTTGTCTTCTTTGCCAAATAGTAAATCCAATTAATATTATTAAACATAAGAGACATACAGGCGTTGCAATCATAAGTGCCTTTTCTATTGCACTCCTGTCGCGGTCAGACTCGACTAAACAAATAAATTATTATTTTTTTATTACTTCATTATACAACATCGTTAAGCTTAATGTTATTGAAATAAACTAATAACTATAAAATTATTATTATTGTTTTCAAACTATTGATTAAATGATATGATATGAAATGAATTAATTATTAACAAAATACAGTACTAAGATATAAACAATTATTTTATGTTTAAATTAAAGCATATGATTTATCGATAATATATTCAACAAAAAAGCACATAAAATGATATGAATTAAAAAATTTATGAAAAGAGCAACAATTAAGATGATGTCAGTCAAGAAACTCATATAAAATGATGCGATACCTGAACTCCAACAACACATCAGACCCTCCGATATCCCCTTTTGGCGAAATTCATTCAAATCTTCACTTTCAACACATAAACTTCAATTTGTTATTTCAAAAAACTAATGATACTATCATTTTTTTATTGTATTTATATTACAAACATTGCCTTCAATTGTTTCAGTTTCAATAAATACTATGTAATTGTAGTTTTTGAGAGTTGCGTGTTATTAATAGCTGTTATTAAAACTTATATATATTTAGTAATCATTCAAAAGCAATGACTTCTAATCTAATAATAAAATTATATATTTTGTTGTGGTGTGGTATTGTTTAGTTCCAGAGGAATGTCTATTTAGACAATTGATGTCCAAATAGACCGGTCGTACTTAGCGTGGGTCGGTATGAGACCTGTACTTCCGTCTAATCAATACCAAACACTAGTAGATATGTGTCGGTATGAGACAGATATCCACTATAAGATCACCAGTAAGTCGTTGTGAGACCAACAGGTGATATGAGATCCGATCTGCAGTTGTGGTCCAAAGGCTAGGCTTAGGAGTGATCCTAATCTCCGATGTCTTCTCCTACAGTGAGTGGTTGGCCAGCGAACGGTATGTCTGTAGATATCAGTGGACTGAATGGTCAGACCGATCACTGATATGTATGAATGATATGAAGACACGATTGATAACAAATAACAAGTTTATTGTAAAACAATGGATCAAATGGTGATACAAATGGTAAGTATTTAAGAGGACACGTGGAGTGTATGTGTGAGACAGGTATAGGTGCTGAGGCTTGGCTCAGGTATTAGTAGCAGTAATGACTGGCAGCGATGTGCACAGTAAGGGAGTATGAGAAGCACTGACTGAGAGGCAGTAAAACACTGGAGTGTATGTACAGTGGATAGGGTTTATATAGAGAGGTATGTATGGCGGGAGATACAGGTATTGGTTGGTTTGTATAGTAGATAATCCCTTACCAGGATACTGACCGGTCATTGAGGAGCCACTGGATGTGGTCAATGACAGGCAGTTCCAGGAAAGGTAGGTATTGAAAGGTCAATGATAATGATATGTGTAAATATAAGACAATAAAATGTACTAAAAATAAGATACAGTATAAAATAAATAACAAAAAGATTATAAAATTAAAGATAATAGACATTGATGTCTATGTGTGCAACATTCCCCGGCGCTTTAAGACTGGTCGCGGAGGATAGATGTGGCCACAGATGTCCGACGCGGACCAGGAGATCGGGTTCGACGGTGCGATGATTGCGTCGATCGGTCCGGTATTGAATTAGGCGGCTGTTTGTTGAACATCTGTTTGTAGGTACGGTTGGAGTGGTTGTCCGGAGTAGAGTTGACGGTAGGTTGTCGTGTGGTAGGTCTGGATTTGCGGATATTATCGAACATCTCTTTGAAAGTTGAAGAAGGCTTTAGACGGGTGACAGCTGGAGGAGTAGGGATCGGTCCAGAGTCCGATGGTTGAGATGTTTGGATGGCTGGAGGTTCACATAGGAATTGGTCGGCGGTAGTCATACGACAAGCGGCATTTGTATCGGCTTTAGAGTTTACCAAAGTTACCGGTACAGCGGTAGTACTCACGCTTACCTGTGTGAGAGCACTGGGCGTCTCAATAACTCGGCTGGCTTGTGGCGCCTGTTGATGTGACTGACGATACTGACGGTGTCGTGTTGGCTGATTGGCGGCCAATCCTATGCGGGGCGAAGTAGTAGAAATGGTGGACTGTTGATTATTTTGATTCAATGGGCTGACCGGTCGCCGGTTTGGATGAATAGGTAGGCGACTGCTAATGGCTTGGCATTGCTGACCGGTCAGCGGTTGTGATGATCTGAATATTGCTTTAGTATTTTTGGTGTCGATAAGGATGTCGTAGAGTCCAAGAGAGCGGAGGGATAGGAGTAGAGTGTACTGAAAGCCAGGCAGTACTTGTGCTGTTACGGTGCGCGGCATCCTATTCATGGTGAGCGTAAAGGTAACCTCACCTAAAGTGTGGACAGATCCACGGGCCAATGAGATGGTCATCGACTTGCATGTGTCGATGCGGAGACGGAGGTGCTTTGCTACATGTAGTGGCATCAAGTCGACGGTGGAACCGGGATCTGCGAGAGCGGATAATTCGAAGCGTCCGATGCGCCCAGGAATCAGTATCATGTCTTGCGCTACGACATGAGTAGCCATTGCTTGCGGACGGATGAAATGGTTTGTAGGACCGGTCACTTCGGAGGTGTGACCGTTGTTGTCATTGTTGGGCTGTCTGTCATATGAAGAGTCGGATGATTTGTGTGGACAGTCTTTGTGATAATGCCATGAAGTAAGTCCTTTGTCGCGGCATATACGACATGAATATGGCGGACGTTTGTCTGAGCGGTTGTTGTTGTCCTGATTTGGTTTGCTATGCTTTTTGTTGGACCGGTCGCCTCTGTTGTCGGATGTGTAGTGAGACGATCCTTGCGGCCGGTGCTGTCTGTTATGTCGTTGTTTGTCTGCTTCAATATCTTGAGCCATCTCGAGCCATAAGCTCGGAGTCTGGAAGCGGCGGCCATAGAAGTATTCACGGTATTCGGGAAGTAGGCCTTCTGTAAGTAGGTTAGCGCGTTGGCTGTCCGTATAGTTGGTTAGGCGGCGGAGGATTTCCATTTTGCCATCGAAGTAGGTGCGGATGGTTTCAGTTCTTTGTTGACGTCGTCGAGTTGCGGCTACTTCTGGAGGTATATCTGAATGGGTGTATCGACCGGTCAAGAGGTCCTTGACTTCGGTCCAAGTGATGGATAGATTGGTGAGTATATCTGATCCATAGTAGTTGGCGACGTCTCCTTCGAGGAATTCAACGATTTTAATAAGTTTGTTGTCGTCGGATAGATGAGTGAATACACGCTCGAAGATCTGGAGGAATGCTTCTATACGGAGTGGTGTGTCTTTAGAGCCATTATACTTCGGTATCTTTACAGTAATGAGTTGCGGAGCTGTTGTGCCATTGGAAGTGCTGAGAGCGGTTGGACCGGTCAGGTCAGCATTGTTTGTGTTGTCTCCGCATTGAGACATTTCTTCGGACTCAGTGGTTGTCTCGTCAGATATGTTGTCTTGAAGTAGATATGATGTCCCGTGTCTTGTTAAGCCAGAGATAATAGGAGTGGACATCAATACGCGTAGATAGGGATCTATTGTTGATCGGTGCCGACTGCGCCAATTTGTTGTGGTGTGGTATTGTTTAGTTCCAGAGGAATGTCTATTTAGACAATTGATGTCCAAATAGACCGGTCGTACTTAGCGTGGGTCGGTATGAGACCTGTACTTCCGTCTAATCAATACCAAACACTAGTAGATATGTGTCGGTATGAGACAGATATCCACTATAAGATCACCAGTAAGTCGTTGTGAGACCAACAGGTGATATGAGATCCGATCTGCAGTTGTGGTCCAAAGGCTAGGCTTAGGAGTGATCCTAATCTCCGATGTCTTCTCCTACAGTGAGTGGTTGGCCAGCGAACGGTATGTCTGTAGATATCAGTGGACTGAATGGTCAGACCGATCACTGATATGTATGAATGATATGAAGACACGATTGATAACAAATAACAAGTTTATTGTAAAACAATGGATCAAATGGTGATACAAATGGTAAGTATTTAAGAGGACACGTGGAGTGTATGTGTGAGACAGGTATAGGTGCTGAGGCTTGGCTCAGGTATTAGTAGCAGTAATGACTGGCAGCGATGTGCACAGTAAGGGAGTATGAGAAGCACTGACTGAGAGGCAGTAAAACACTGGAGTGTATGTACAGTGGATAGGGTTTATATAGAGAGGTATGTATGGCGGGAGATACAGGTATTGGTTGGTTTGTATAGTAGATAATCCCTTACCAGGATACTGACCGGTCATTGAGGAGCCACTGGATGTGGTCAATGACAGGCAGTTCCAGGAAAGGTAGGTATTGAAAGGTCAATGATAATGATATGTGTAAATATAAGACAATAAAATGTACTAAAAATAAGATACAGTATAAAATAAATAACAAAAAGATTATAAAATTAAAGATAATAGACATTGATGTCTATGTGTGCAACAATTTATTTATTGTGATCTCTTAGATACCTAATAAATATTTATCATTTGGTAGGCATCGGGAAAACATACATTAGAAAAGTATTATGCAATGCTATTAACAGTATATTAATGTAATGTGCTATTCAATCAATTATAAAATATATGCAAATATCAATTCAATAGATTTTTAATTTTATATATTATTTCATAAGAAATCTCAGCTTTAAGTAAAGTATTTATAATTTGTAGGATATTTTATATAAAGTATAAAATAGTGCTTTTAGTCATTAACTTAATTTAATTGTCAACAAAGTTAAGTCAAATTAATACCTAAAGCTTTGAGTATCAGTCAAATATAAATCAATCAATAAATTATATACAGTATTATTGATACACTATGTAAGTAAAGCAAAGTAAAGTATTAATTTATTAATAAGTATGTGTTAGTAATGGTAATGCTTTACTATAAACATCATTTCAACAAACAGTCGTGCAATGAATGGAAACAAATAACAGATTAGTAAAGAGTTAGGACAGACATCACACATGAATCGATGGCCAATGTTTGCAAATCATATGATATTTCAGGTGTTGTAGTGTATGTATGAATGAGACCCACCTGAGGGAGGTTGAGTGACTGGTGGTAGAGTCGGACGAAGATATTTATTACAGAAATCTCTGTGTTGACAGCAATGGTGAACTGATTTAGGAAAATATATTTCTGATTTACACCATAAGGGGTTTTCGGGGGGAAAGATCTTGTCTTTGTCCAGACATCTGTCATTCATGTGTCATATCATGTGTTTTTATATCGTGTTTGTGTGCAATCAATTCAATGGTTCATTGATTGGTTGTTTCAAATGTCAGCAAAATAAGAGAAGAAAAGAGTGGTATTAATAAATGTAATTAAAATCCTTACCACTTGTGGGTGGCGTTAGAGTTGGTCTGAGGCCTGCATTACAGTAATCGCCTTCAGAACAGCATTTGATGACAAACTTATAGTTTAACGGTTCTGAATGTTGACATATAATCGGGTTCTCGAGTGGATATAATTCACTTTTTTGTACACACCTATCGATATCACCAATTGATATACACATCACAGGTCCCACTCATTAATCATTTTTATTAAAATCAATGTTTCACTTCATATCATATAATAATTTATATGATATACAGTATAACATATTCTATATAATAGTCATATCATATAATAGGGTATTTACCGACTTATTGTTTAATTAACATATTTTTATCTATTCATACATTTAATTCATTAAATTATTTTTGAATAAATCAATATTTAATTACATAATAGTCATCAAAACTAAGTAACTATTTTACATTAAATTAGTTATATTGGGTTTACTTTAGGGAAAAATAATAGTAGATTAAAGGGTTGTCATTAAAATACTTAGCAATTAAACAATAGGATCGGTAATTATGACGATTTGTCGATATAATAATCCGTCAATACCTGTATGAGTGTGATATGACTCCCTTATCATCAATGGATGTCGAGGCGAAACACAGACCGTCCGTATCGCACGTGTGGTTTGACTCCGGAGGACAGATATCGCAGTGACATTTCAAACCTGAAACACATCCATTCAAATCATTTATTTATTTATTATATGATATCTTTTAAATTACATTTTTATTTTATAAAAATACAGTACATATGATACAGTATATGATATCAATATATTATAATTTAATTTAAATATTAGTGAAAAATATTATAAGACATACCATTAGCTAAATGTTTGGTCAAACAAATAGAGAGTAATAATAATAAAACAATTGATTTGTTAAACAAAATAGATTTCATTTGTGTATAAAACATGGCTTTTGTCTAAATTGTATAAACAATGAGTGATTCAAACAATCAATTTTCAAATCATTAGTTCATTAGACAACTCAAGTGATCAACACTTTTACGTTAATTGCAATCATTGTGTTAATAGTGTCACCAATGGATCAGTTGTTGAGACACAAGACATATAATTGAGTGGTAAGTGATGTCATGTTGTGTTAGAAACAACTCATGAAAATCAAAAAGACATCAATTGTTGTCTCAAACAGACAGAGAATGGCTGACCATTTCAGACGAGACAACACATCAATAGAGACCATAATATCAGTCATCAATTGGTCCCTAAAAGTCATACAATAGTCAATACACACTGAGTTAACCCACATTTACCCCACATTTACCCCACATTTACCCCACTATATGATTAGCACATCATTGATGGACAGTTGTGTCTATGCTATCCATCGTTGTCTCGAAAATCAGACATCACGTGATCTCCAGAACTGGATGTCTAACTCAAGTGTCGCACAGTTAGACATACAGTAAATCCTGTTTATTGTGACCTCATTTAAGTAATTGCTTTAAATAATTGAATCAATTGTTGTTTGACTTGATTTTTGTTTATCTATTTTTGTGTGATATTACAAGTGAATCATATTTAAGACATTAATGGCACAAATGTTATGCAAATATATATATATATTAACATCAATAGTGTGTCATAGTATCGATATATATATATATATATATATATATTATATACAGTATATTAGTATTGAATAAAGTTTTTATGTATCAGACGGTAGTGTTTAGTGTTGTGTCTGTCAATAGACTCAGTGGAAGCCCAGGTATGTCTAGGGGTTGGCCTAAACACACACTCATATCATATTAATAGACAATTATTGTCTGCAATAGACTACCAAACATGAGTTCCTCATTTGGGACACTCAGTACTGACCACAACTTACTATAGTTTTTTAGTTTAATATTAAAACTTTCAAATCAACAGTTAATTAAAGTTTTGTTGCAAATCATTCAACTTTTTTTGTTTACTTACAATAATGTCTAATGTTTTGTCAATATTAGCCAAATATTACAATCTATATAATTATATAGTCATATGTATAGCCAATAATTTAGTGTATTTTTATAATAACTATTGATTTTATTGTCACCTAAAATGACAATTAAATTGAAGTGTTTTATTGTTGTTTATTATTGTCATTGGGATATATATATATACTGTAATGTTGACCAAGGTAATGATACTGTAAATATAAATTAATTACATTGGTTTGTATGGTTAATTAAATAACAGTTAATTTGTATACACAAAAAATGATATAATTTATAATAATCATTTACAAACATTGATTATAAGTTAAAACAACAATTTATCAAATAATATATTTATTTCAATGACTTTACCGTATTTTCTGATCTTAAGTGACGCACATTTTTGTATTTTGAAATAAAAAAAATTGTAAAACATATAATTAGTGTCAGTTTAATAAAACAAATACTATTTACTGTATGTCTATTGTAAAGTCCATCAGTGACTAGCAGTGGTCGGAACCGAACCGTTAATTTAAATTAAGTTTATATCGATTTTTAGAAAATCAATTCAACCGAAACCTATGAACTAAAGATAAAATCACTTTTTTGTTCCGGTTTTAAGTCAATCATATTTGGTTACATACACTCACACATATAAGAAATAATTAAATCAAATATTATTTCATTATTAAATATTTTTTTATTTCTTTTTTTTTATTTAAAAGTAATGAATTATTTGTACAAATGATTTTGAAAACATTTTATTAACAATAAATTTCTATAGAAATAATGAGACATTTAATTTAAACTTAATTAAACTGCAAAACGCTTTATTAAACGAAATAAATTAGAGTAAACTCCTTATCCTTTATGAGACCCGTTATGAGGTGAAGGGAAATGGATTTTACAATTAAATTAGTGAATAATTTGTAAAATAAAATAACAACTTATGAAAAACAATGGGACTACCAGTTGTTTCATTAAAAAGCTACTTATTTTTTAATTAAATATACAATTTTCGATCGAAAAAATATTAAACATTTTCATGTAAACATAAAATAATTTCTTTAAATATACAATAGTATTATATAATTGATTTGATCGCAATTATTAACCACTAGTTATAATTATGATATATAAAAAACAAATTGCAAATACTAGGAGTGATATGAAGTTTGGGATGAATTCTGTCCCTTCCATTCCTCCACATTCTTAATCTGTTGTCTCGCAAATATTATCCTTTTGTATTATTTAAGAAAACAATCAATAAATATAAAGCATATACTCGTCTAAATAGTGGACAAACCTCTGTTCCTGAAGAGTAGACTGTATTTCGGTGAGTCTGACCAGAGAGCGCGCCATTTTGAGTTCGGCAGACACTCGAGTGCACTGAAGACTTCCGATGTCATGTGATTGCATTGAATACATTTTTGCCTAATATATAAACACCAATAAACACCATAACATAAAATCAGTTACAAAATAGTAGATGTAATAAAATACCTGTTTCTCCGCGTGTTCCGCCTGCCAACCGGTCACATGAGTTACTAAATCGTCGCGGAAATAGTTGGCTAAAGAAGGTGTTAGTGCGGGAACTGAAGGCACTGATGGCTTAAGCGATGCAGAACTAATAGCAGTCGAAATGTTGGTAACACTGGAAGGTGGACTGTCGTGTCTGGTCGAGGATATCGCACTCTTTTCAGAATTGGGTGACTTATTAATGTGCGATCGACTTATTAAAAGATCCAATTCTTGTCGGATACCGTCTGCACTCTGGTGTTGAAGTTGGTTATAATGGGAGTGATGTTGATTGTGATGGTGTTGGTTATGATGATGATGTCGATGGTGATGGTGGCTTAAATGTCTCTCTGATGTCGAAACGGGTGATTCACTATTGAGGCTAACAGTCGATGCATTTCTTGGCGAACTTTTATCGTTCCTATGTCTCGACAATTGACTGTTTTGACTCTTACTGTCAGTGGCCTTAACGGTCAGTTGTAAGGCCTGTTGAATAGCTCTTAAAGCCTCTTCAGAGATATTACGCGACAACTCAGCCAAACTTGGATTCGATAAAATTAATTTCTGTAGATTTTGTGTTTGTGTCGGAGATAACGGTTGAGATATTTGATTTAACAGTTGTTGAGCACTTCCAGAGTTATTATTGTAATTATTGGTGCAACTGATCCCTTGAGTCCTATTTATATCATTTGTTTGATTATTAGAATTCGTTTTATTATTATTTAAAACAGTATTTGAAGATTCATATGGAGAGTGAAGTGGTTCACGCTTTACACAATTCAAGACATTATTTTTAGTATCATTTAATTGAACGCGTTTAGAGTCAATGCTTGTGATGCGTTCAGATGATGGCCTAAACTCATCATCACGTCGTGAATGAGATCTAATACTACTACTCGAGTTGCTGTTACTACTGGTACTATCAGTTCCAGCAGTTCCACTATACTTACTTCTGGAACTGTCTTTTTCAGTTTTATCTCTTTGAGTGGATAATTCATTTGAATGTGATTTATGGTTTTTATCACTTCTGTCACGTAGAGAATGTCTACTAGATTTGGAGGAATGTCTCCTCTCATATTCCATCCATTCCTGTGGTTTTTCCCACTGGGATATACTTCTTCTTGAGTTATAATAATATATTTTTCCGGTAGAACTCTTCTGTTCTCTCCAACCGCGAAAACTAGTTATACTATTATTATTGTTGTTACGATTGGAACTACTTTTGTGATCATTGTTTAAGTCATGACTTGAATGGTTATTAACACTCTTACTGTACTCATGTTTAGACTCAACCGGTGACCGACTTCTTGATGTTCGCGAGTTTACAATTTTCTTCCGGTTTTCATAATACTTGTCTCTTTCGCGATCTCTATCTCTGTCCCGATCTTTACTTCGCGTATATGATTTGTTGCCGTAAACACTGCGATTTGGACTCCAATTATCTGGAGATACACTTCGGGACCGACTGTTAGAGCCATTGGTTGGCGAGTATGTCCTCCGATGCTTTCCATGCGAAGAGTCGTTACAAATGGGAAAACTATTGAAACTTTTCGACGAATATTTACTCATTGAGTCCTAAATTGAGACAATTATTTAATTATATTAAATATCTATAATTTTAATGCAATTAATTAACTAATTGTTTTTAATTGTAATTACAATTTTAATCAATCATTTCAATTATTAATCACTTAATGACTATTATTATCTCAATGTTAGATTAACCCATTTAGTCAATACTACACTCAATGGATCAAATTATCTCAAGAGATGGTCGAGTATTTGTTATGTTTGCAAATTACAAGTCATTCATCACATGTAATGCTTATACCTCTAAGTGATGATGAGATGACTTCTTATCCATATACCTGTCATGACATACAAAATAATACATTAATTATCAATACATTCAATGGTCAAAGTGTTGGATGTGCTGACAGTGACTACAATCATACAATAGATATCAACTGAGATCAAGTGGTAATGCAATGCTTGGATTGTCATAAATGGCGTCTCTATCTGTCTATTGTGTGATATTGTGAGCAAAAATATCAGTCATTTTGTGGCCATAAATGTTGGTCACTGTCATCACATCCATTGTCATCGATGACTATGACATTACCCATCATTAAGTCGAAAGCATTTTCTCGATTGCATACCATTAATGACATTAACGGCCAAAACAATCATCAAATTGATGTCAATTCACATAACTATCACTTTATATGTTTGCATACATTCACTGCCATTCCTACCATTGACTCAAACACTAACATAATATACAATACAATCATTAATACTATATATGCTATAAGTTATAGTACTGTAGTATAAAGTACTGTATTTTACTCTACAGTATATACACATAGAGTTGAGTCAATCCAATCAATGGACTCGTCTATAGGCAACTCATTTAGGGATCATCTCATAACTTACAAAACCATCAATACATTCAATGCATTCATACAACTATTGTATGAATTACTAAATTTATTTAATAAGTAATATATATTTTTATATATTTTTATAAATCTTTATTAATTTTAAATGTTATACATTTTTATCAATTTATTTAATAGATTTCTAATTAATCCTTAAATATATACATTATATATATATTTAACAATAAATTCACAACAAATGTGACCCAAAAAAGTGTTTGACATAAACGCCATTAAAGTTATTGTAATTGCATTTAAAAAGGGAATACAAATACATTGTAACGCTATTTGTGAACAAAATTGTAATATAATTATAGACTCAAAAAACATAACATTTAATACTTTTCTTGAATTACATAATGTTTACAAAAAATTGATAACAATTTGTATGAAATATATTTTAATATTATGTTTGCAAACAATTTAACAATCGATTAGTTTTGTCGCTTAATATGCGATAAACAAAATGTTAACTAAAAAGATGACAATTAATGTCAATTATGTGATGATATTTACAGTCATTGATGACATGATATCACACCCATTGGTGACAATTAGGTCTCAATGAAGAAGACAAACAAATTATGTAAACAATGTTTTTGATGTTATTTTTAGTTTTATTTTATGATATATTTATATAACTCTTATGACATATATTTGTGTTTTTAATGTTTTTACTTATAATGAAAGTATTATTTATTAATTTATTTGTCATAAAATTAATTTTTGTCTAAAATTAAGTTTTCAATTGATTGTTGAATTAGTTTTTTATTTGATTTAAAATTATATATCATTTACAATGACTATTGATTATACAAACGATTTATATTTTGCTGAAACAGGTATTAATTGATTGAAATAATGTTTTTAATGGTTTGGTTTTAAAAGTTTGTTGAATAGGATTTCAACGACTGTTGCGATGGTTGGCCACCGAAAGCCGCGACCGACTCGATGGCCAATCGACTCAATTAAGTGCCAAATGTTTGCTTAATTTGTTGGAAAATCGTTGCATTCAATCATTTATATATGTAATCATTGATTAAAAATAATATTATTGCCATAACTTTCAATACATTGTTTATTTAAACAGATTTTTGAGAAAATGTCCAAATTTGACAAAAATAGTAATCAATTCAAGCCTTTAGAGTCAAACTCTAGTAATTTAATGACACAAATATATAATGCATTGAAAAATGAATGGATATCTGAATGTCAAGATTTGTGTCAAATCATTTCAAACCCTCATATGAGAGCCATATTGTTTGCGGCCGATTGTGTGGCCCGTAGTGACTATTCACCTCTTTTGCCATCCAATGAATACACTGAAGATTACATCAATTATGATATCGATGCCAACACTGAGGTCTATAAAATAGTAAGGATTGTTAAGAATGACGAACCTCTTGGCGCTACCGTTAAAATCGATGAGAAAACGGGCGCTGTTTTATTGGCCAGAGTTCTGGTTGGAGGAGCAGCACATAGAAGTGGTCTCATTCATGTCGGCGATCAGATCATTGAGGTAAACGGCATATCAGTTCGCGGCCGATCACCTGTAGATATAATCACTTTACTTGAACGCAACTGTAAGGAAGGTGTCATATGTTTTAAATTGTTGGCCGATAATTGCAATTCACATTATGTTAGCAACAGTTTCATTACCGTTCGCGCACTCTTTGATTACGATCCATCCAAAGATACATTACTACCGTGTAATGAGATTGGCTTACCATTCAAAAAGGGAAATATACTGAATGTTGTAAATAGAGAAGACCCCAATTGGTGGCAGGCCTGCAAATTTGCAGAACAACCGGAAAAATGTTGTCAAACATTTGCCGGACTTATTCCGGGACAACAGCTTCAAGAAAGACGTATTGTTGCAATGCGTGATTTTAAAAGCCATTTTGACAAAAATCGTTACATTGAGATAATTCCCGGCTTTAAGAGTCCGTTCCGTAAATCAGTTTGGAGTTCACGCAAAGTTAAAAAAATGATGTACGATGTGAGGCATAGTATGGTCTTCGATAGGGAACAAATTGCCACATATGAGCCAGTGGTCAGATATTTTCCTCGACCAAACAGGTATAGGCCTATTGTAATGATTGGGCCTAAAGGCGTCGGTAGGAAAACATTGATTAAATTATTATTTGATGAGAAACCCAATCACTTTAGACAAGCCATCGCTCATACGACACGATTCAAGCAATTTGACGAATCAGATGGAATCGATTACTATTTTGTTAGTGAAAATTGGATGCAAAAAGAGATACGAAAAAATAATTTTATTGAATTGTGTTTCTTTGATGGCGATTATTATGGTCTCCATAAAGATAGCATAGAAAAGCTCATTAATGCCGGGTTTGTATGTTTACTAAACCTAAGCGCTGAGGGACTCAAACGCATGTATTCACCTGAGTTTAAACCGTATGTAATCTTCGTGCGTCCATCTTATGACTTAAAACGTCTAATTGCATTGCGAAGAGAAGCATATAATAAGAGTCCATCACATGAATCACTTGAAGACTATTTTGATAAAATGATTTTTAGTGCCCATAAACTCTATAATTTGTATTCAAAATATTTTGACGTAACGCTAATTAATGATGAATTCAGTACAACATTTGGACAACTCTTACAAATTATCCACTCATTAGAAATTGAGCCAAAATGGGTGCCAACTGGTTGGGCTCATGGCTAATAAAATTAGCCCAATTGATAGTCAACTTATTTAGTCAAAGCTTTATTATAAATTTTATATTTTGCCAAATAATTATATTTATATTGTATCTAATAGCTAGTCATTTGTAACCCAAATACTCAACCCATACCTAAATTTAATACCTAAGTAGTCTTAACATTAGTTCCATTATTTATTGTCCATAAATCAAAGTTTTATATAAAAATATATGACATTTTAAAACATACAGCTTTTTAATATAAAACAGAGAAATTTTATATAATTCAAAAAATTAATATTTATATAATAAATATATTAAAAAATTAAAATTTACTTAACAATTATTTAATTTTCTCCATTGAGGCGCAAGATTTAGTTTAAACATATCACTGATTTTATCGCTTGAATTCAAAATTATTCTTGTGTTCGGTAATTGATTCAAAATGTTTGCCTAAATATTAATATAAATTTAAGCGTTAATTAATTGATAAAAATACTGTATATTTAAAGATTTTTGTTAACAAACTCGTGAATCAATTAGTTGATCACTTTTAATGTATCGCAAAGCATTCAATTGACTTATGTTTAGATTTTGTTGTTTTCGGTTTAGATTTTGTTGTTTTCGGTTTATATTTTGTTGATTTTGTTGGCAATTGTCGTCTTTTGAAAACAAATGATTAGACGATTGAAATTTGTTATCATTACTACATATGTAACAAATGGTGTCTTTATTGTTAATAGAAAGACATTTCTCATGGAAACAATGTTTGCAATGAAATAAAATAATATCTTCTTCTATGAGATGTTTTGAACAAATATAGCAAATCTTTTGACGACAAGTATTAGCTCTATTGGTCTCTTTCTTCAGTTGACTCAACTGATTGTGTAATTCTCTTAAAATCAAATTAATAGTCGTTTGCAAAAGTGTTTCTTCGTATTTATAATTTTCACAAACTTTTATTAATAATTCCCTAATAGTAAGCAATTGTCCGCCACTTCTTTCAGCGTCTGATAAGTTGTTTATAATAGTCTCGACAACAGTCGTCATGTTTATAGATTGAGTCATATTATTAATAAAGCGATTCATTAATTGATTTAATTTATCCAAATATTCTTTGGATGAGTTCTTAATCAATTGATTTATTGTTAACATAGACTCCAATAACTTAAGCCAAAGATTTTCTTTTTGCTTCGTGTCAACCATTTTAACTGAACAACGGTTACAAAAGTCAACCAAAAATATCATTTTATTTTCAATTTGGTCCCAAAATTTGCTAACATTTGAATTGTCAAAACAGTTGATAATATCATTGATTTCATTGTATAATATACTAAACGCTTCTTCAAATTGCAGACTTTTTTCGAGCAAATAAGCTGTCGCTTCGTTTATGACATACTTTTTAGTAAACTATTAAAATTTAATATACAGTCAAATAATTATTGAAATGATTTTTACATTAGTTTTAATTTACAATAAATTAAGTAACTATTGGAAAAATTGTGTGAAATACTTAATGCATTGGCATATATATTATATGGAAATTTTTAAATAAATATTCTCAAAAAAAAAATTCTATAAAGTTTCTGGGATAAGACAATTATATATGTGATAATAAACAATATTTAAAATAAATATTTATTCTATAATTAACAACTTTTAAAATGTATAGATATTAGTTTAAACATAAAATTTGAAATCAATGCATTTATAATCTAATGAATTAAATTATAGAGAAAATAATTTTGAGAAACAAAATTAACATGGACATCTCATAAATTCAAAATTTCATTTAGAAACTTTCTAGAAATTTACTTTTTTATAAAATTTAGAAAATAGTATATAAATAGAGTATATAATGCTTTACATACCACTAACATATTGTCCACATCATAGTCTTGGAGAACATTCAAAGCATTGAATACAGAATTTGGTTCAAAAGTTGACATCAATTCTAATAGTTTTTCCTGAATTCTGTTGTCTGTTAATAACATTTGTTTTCTTTGCTCTTTCAATGAAAGCAACTCTAAATCTAAACTTCCGGTCGAAAGATCTCTTTTATGACTTTTATTCGTTGGATTTAATAATAAACCGTTTAATAGTTTGTATAAAACAATAGGTTTTGATTCCAATGAAGTAAATATTTTATGACATTTTTCTATGTCTAAGATATCAATCAAAAGTTTAGCTGTTTTTTGATAATTAATTTCAATAATACTCTCAATATTAGAGTAAATACTATCAATAAAAGCCTCTTTCTCTTCATTTGTTACATTAGTCGACAATATTATTTGATTTATGTAATCAATTATATGACTCTAAAATTAAAAAAATAATAAATTGTATTTAAAATAATAAATTTATTAAAAAAACAACAAACCTGTCGATTAACATCTCTAATATATGTAAATAAGTTTTGCCCCCAATTTCTATTCTTTATGTAAATAAATTCACAAATTCTAAAACTGTGTCAAGAATTAAATGATTAATTATTTTTAAAAAATGATTTTAACAAAAATTATAGACAACTAACAAATTGCCGTTTTGTGCCATTTCTAAGATACGATTTTCATCGTAAACGAAACCAATGTCCGACTGAATCAATTCCAACAGTAGTTGTTGTCTTTCATCAAATGATATCATTTCTCCAACAAATAAATAGTCAATTATCTATTATTTTTTTAATCAATATTCTATAAATGTTATATTAAATTATATATAATTTTACATTAAATAAATTAAACCTCTTCGAGATGTGTTCTTTTGATGGAAACATTGTTTCGTTTATTAGATAATAGTTTTGCAATAAACTTATAAAGACAACAGATTTCCTGTTCATTAAAGCCCGTGTTGTCGATCATTATTTGCATTAATATATCAACTATTTTTTGCTGTTGAGCGTCACTTAATTAAACCCAACAAAAAATATATTAAATCAAATGTTTAAATGTAAAAACAGTATTAAATAGACTTACAATGAGTATTCATTATATTCTGTATCAAAACTTTCAAATGCTTTAAATAAAACTTTAAAAAATTTATCGGAATTGAAATGTAAAACAACTCTTAGATTAGGAAAGCTTTTGTCATCAAATGGATTATTATAACGACTTTTGGTATCAATAGGTTTTGTTAATTGCAAAAGCATTTCTTTGATTAACAATAATTTCTTTTCATCGTTTATAATATGATTGGCAACAAAACATTTGCCCCGCAATATGCAACTCAAATAATTAAGTAGTTTATCACCCAATTTGTTCATTTCTGGATCTAATAGCTGTCCGGTACAGACCCTGATCTCTAGTTCTCTAATCATTTCATCAAAAGGAGTCATAAAGTCATCAAAAGCATTGTTATAGATATAAATAATGGCATTATAAAGATAATGTGTGCGACAAACGGTCATTATATGATGGATGTCTAATGAGCTGATCTCAAGATGAGCTACAATGGACTCCAAGGCATCAAATGATTCATTTTCTTCCAAATAAACAATCAATTCTTTAGCAACAAAAGGACTCAGATTTTTAAACTTTTTATTTAAGATTTGTGTTTTCAATGAATCCAAAAATATATTTTTTGTAATCGAGTCGTTTGCAAATCTTTCAAATAAATCATTTAACGCTTGATTATCCTCAATGGATACACAATATTTGATAGCTATTAATATTACATATCTATAATTATCGACTAGAATATCACTGTTAGTGTTATCACTATTAATGGGATTCAGCATATGATCGACAAATTTGTTAATAATTTCAATCATCTTTTTGCTAACAATTTCTCGATTTTTAGGTTTCTTAACCGTTAAGCCTATCATAGCTTTAGCTCTATTTTCGTAAAACTCTAAGCATAGGTCTAATGATTTAATAAATTTGTTTTCTTCAACTAACACATCCACTCTATCGGACCAATTTCTTATAGAAAACATGTGGATTGACTCCAATCCTAAAATTAATAAATTGGCTGAACTGGTGCCAGAAATGCCAACATTGAACAAAACAATTGAGTGCTGACAAGCCCTACGCGCGGCCGCAAACATTTGTGGGCTCACGTTTTGGCCGTTTTCTAATGACTTAAAGTGAGCGCTTCCGTAAACCATCTTAATATTATTAATGTCTATAATGTCGAGTATCTCTTGAGACTTTACATCCATAACATACATCTCATTTGATTCATTAATTGCTGCAATGGTTCGTGGATTTAGCCAAATAACAGCATGTAATGTATAATCAAGGTTTATATTCATCAGTGGTGTAAATAATATTTTGCTACTACTTTTATAACTGGCCTAAAAATCAAATTAAAAAATACAATTACAATAAAATCAATTAAAATGTTTGGCAAAAACCTGATAAAAATAAACACTGGTGTCTCTCGCAAATAGCAATACAGGATCTATGACTCTGTTATCTTCTGCCACCTGAACCGTAACAAATTGCCAACTAATTAAAGGTAAAGTATCTGTTTTGCCCTATAATTGTTATTAAATATTTTAATATGAAATGAAATTAATTACCAGTAAATATTAGCTAACCTTAAGAACTTGTGTAAAGTGCACACAAATGGTTGGTCTTAAAGTAATAGCAATAACTTTGGTCACCGTTGCCATCGATAGCAAACAAATGTTATTAAAATGTTGCAAATCATCAATATTTATATTCAATGGCAATAAAAGTGGTTCAATGACTAAAACTTCTCCTCGACTAAGAAATTATTTTTAAAAATATTAAATTGTCTTAAATTAGTTAAATATCATTATTTTATATAATACTAACAAACCTTCCGGAGAATATGCACTCAGAGATTATATCTTTTCTTCTAAACTCAAGCATAAAAACAGATCCACTGCTGTCACTGAGTGCACCAAAATTATTATCAGACATATACTAGAATACAATAAAACAATTTGTTTATAATTAACATTTTTATAAACAAAAATTTTGTTAATTTTTAAAAGTTATTTGTAAATCACTTTAATATAAAGCACTGATGTCTGTGGTGTATGTAATTCATTGAAGACTTTAATCAATTCTCCAGACTGTAGGTTCCAAAGAGTAACACTTCCGCGACTATAACCACATACAAGTCGAGAGTTATCTTTCTTTATAGACATTGCAGAAACTGATCCAAAGTTATCACTAGTGCGAAGACATAGTTTCATGATTTGACGCAAATCTAATTTATTAATAGATTAATAATATTTTTCATTAATTTTTAAAAACAAGTTTAAAAATTTTTCGCAATATTACGGACCAAATAAAAGGATAAATCCGTGAGAAGTGCCGACAGCGATATAAATACTAGAAATGGTGACAACAGTAGGTCTGCCACTGTTTATCCGTTCACTGTTTGCTGACTTGATTTGAGCCGATATTTGCTGTAACTCTGAACATCTCATAACAGATCCAATACAGACATCTTTTTTAGTTTTAGAGTCCAAAGAGTTGAGTGTTGTTATGGATTTCTTAAGACTTTTCGATCCAAAGCTACTAATCGAAGAATTGTCAATTGAATCAATCACTTCATTCAAAGTTTTGTTAATTTTGTATGACTTGAGATCAGACGGCACATCACTGCCAATTGAATCGCTGTCGTTGTCCTGTTTGTCCATTAATTCAATTAATATATAATTATAATAAATGTATGAAATAAGACCTCATTTATAATGCTTTCAATTGTCGGTATCGGGTCTTCAGGCAAAGGTATGCCGTATTCTTCCTCATCGACCTAACCATCAAATGACAGCAAATAATTTTAGTAAAAACAGATTGTGTCGATATATAGGATATACATCAAAGTCGATATCTTCGATAATAGACGACATCATGTACTTCAGTGATAATACTCTGTCCTAAACTCGTGTTTCATCATAATATCGATGTAAAACACGTGCAAATTGTCATACTTTGAGATCATCTGACAATACATTCACTAATAATTTGACGGCTTATGAGGTGTTTGTATACAAAGTATTATTACAAACAAAACAATCAATGTTTCAATGCTTTCAATGTTTTAAATGCACTAAAAGTCAGCAAAATATTAATAAATAAAACAAAATATTTTTATCTAAAATTGTTTTCTTTTAATACATTATATGTAATATTCAACTAATTTTATTGAAACAATTTACAAAATTTTTACATAATTTAATTAAATATATTTTTGAATATTAATTTTATTTTCAAACTTGATATAAATACAAAAAATATACATTATAATAGTGTACAGTACATTTTAACATTTAATTAACACAATTAATACTATACCGGTAATGTATAATTAATAATCAAAATATAATTTCAATTATTGTTTTATTATCTAACATTTTGTGACCAATTATTATACATTTATCAATATTGTTGTTAATGTTTATGCATTAGACTATAGTATATTTTGATTCAAATTATATTTTTAAATAAATGAAATACTATTTTCTAAAATATTTTTTATTTAACACTCATTTAAAAATAATCAATATTCACGATTGATTGTACAATATTTCAATTACCAGTATATTGCAACTTAAATTAGTATACATTTCACAAATATTTGTAGTAAATATTAATTTTAATAAAAGAAAAACTTTTTAAAAATTATATCCAAATTAATAAAATCAAATAATATAATCATTACATCACATCAATATTAGAGGAAATACACAAAATAATTATAATTCACAACAAATAACTACATATACAGTACAATACAATATGCAATAATTCACTTATTTTTCCTCTGTTTTCTCTCCTCCTGTAATTAAAAAAAATGTCATAAATTAATAAATGCTATGAAAATGATAATGCATTTAATTACAGACCTTTTGAGTTAAAATAATCAAAAGATATCGGAAAACGTCGACAAAGTCAATGAATAACATCACTGAATGACTGCACATATAAAAAATGAAATTTAATGTAAAAATAATTAAAATAATATTTTATTAATAATTATAATTTATAACTTACGCGATGTAATCAGTGTCGCCATGTCTTCTCTTTTCAATTATCAAAGTTGTGTCAAACATTATGAAACCGCAGACCACGAAAAATGCCAAATACAGGTGGATCTGATTAAATGATTCATTCAGACATTTTTTATTGAGATCAATGATTAATGAAATATGTAATATAAAAATTTATAATTTTAAATGTATGCACTTTTGATTAAATATTAAATATATTACATAAACTGATATATATATATTCATTTTTATTGAAAACATTTACATAACAGATGTTTAATAATAAATAAATCGATAATATTGTAATAGACTTTTACTTAAATTAAAGTTAAATAAAATCAATTTATGACTTTAGCAATAAAAATAATATCATATAACAAGACATCAAAAAATGTTAGTAGTATTACGTAAACAGTTTATAGTTATTAAAAAATTTCGCAAAATTAATAAATACCTGATATAAGAGTTTGGATCCAATGAAGAGATTAATGATTGACATCATTAACAGTAGAGATAAGAAAGACATGAGAGTTCCGCCCAAATACAACCATCTTCTCTGATCACTAAACATTGCACTCAATGAAAAACATCCAAAGATAACACAAGTGGACAAAAACGCTGTGGGAATGAGTGTCGGGTTTACAATAATCGCGTACTCCATCAGTGGTCCCAAACCAAGACCTAACAAATTATTTATTTATTTATTTCCAATTCAATCACACACTGTATGTCTTCAAACCTGAAGCGAAAGCAAATCCAATCAAATACCAGAGTCTTGTCGACCGATTTTTTCCGTTATCTGGAGTCGAGTAAAGAGCGATCACAAAACCCATGGCCACCAGTGTTGACAACAGACCACCCTTTAAAACAAATCAATTAATTATTTAATACTATTATTCATTTAATATAACTATTAATTACTTGTAATATATTAGTAAACAAATGAACATATCCTCCGATGGCTGCCGACAGCAATGCAATAGACATCGAGGAATAGACATCTTTGAGATGAGTCTGTACTTGTGGTTCACTAAAAGACACAATCAATTCATAAGACAATTCAGTATTTATTTATTTTTAAATCATTTTTCCATACATTTTACGATTCAATGACGAGAAGAAAGAATCAATTCTTTCCATTGTTTTATAGTATTGTCGATAACTTTGGGAACAAATTTGTGGTTAAAATAAATCTTATTTTTCAATCGTTTGTCAATTGACTGAATCAACAGTTTTTAAGACACAAATCAAATGAAAACCAATGAATGCAATGAATGGACTCTCAGTTCAGTTCAATTCAATTGAATGATTCACTCAATTGAGGGATCGTTCAGTAATTAACAACATTCGAGTCCATTCCAGAAGTTTAGAGTCATTCAAAATCGTTGAATATATTATAGTCTTTTTATTCTATAATTTATGTATTAATTAACATTAATTCAATATATTTATAAAAGACACAAATTTTTATATTAATAATATAAAAGTATAGCATTTCTTATAAAACGTATGACTGATGTGACGGCAATCAAAAGCAGTCATTAAAAAAGGACGTCCGATATAAACACATTGCTATTGATAGCAATAATAGATTGATTTAATTAATTTATTGATTTAATAGTTAACATAAAATAGATTTATTAATTTAAATGCTTTCATATTATTATTAAATACAATTAAATTGAAAACAAACTAAAAGTAATCTCAAAGTGGACGTCCTTTTGTATTATGTTATCTGTAAATGTGTTAAAGCAATGAATGTATTGTCAAATGATATACAATAGTGACGTCTGTTTTGTTGTCAGTCACTAATTGGTTGTTCATTAAGACAACAAATCTCAACATTAATAACACATTTATTTCATCACTTGATTACAACTTTTGTCACTTATAACCGACGGTCCAAATGGCGGCCAACAATCGGTGTGATGTGCGGTGTGTGGACAGCGACCAAACCATTGATATTGCATTCACTTATAGTTTTGACACAAGTTTTAAACGAAATTTTCATTTTAAAAGAGATAAAAACGAGACTTTAAAACAAACATTTCAAAGGATTTCTTTGAATGTCATTAAATGTATGAAAAATGGTAACAAAAAACAAAAGCAAACGACTCGTGACAAGACTGAGACCAATGATTTAACCATTGAGTTGATCGCCGACGACATTACAGTTAGCAACGACTCGTTTAATAGGGATGTCTGGAAATCAGGTCTCGATTTTAAACTAATAAAAACTGATTAAATAATTTGATCCAATTTTAGGTGATATACTTAAAGTAGGAGACAATATATTTGATGTATATCTTAACGCACCGTCAGTTAAATCTATAAGACTGGCAAAAGTGATAATGTCTTCATTCAAAGTTTACCCAATAGTTTCACTTGAATTCTGTACGTTAAGCGACTGTAAGTTTGAATGGTTGAGACAATTAACTAAAAAATCGGAAAATGTAACCAAAAAAAGTTGCGAAGAGTGGGAAACTGTTGGCGAAGAAGGGTTTTGTTATACAGTAAGAAGTGATGACATCGGATATAAACTAAAAGTGGTTTGCAGTCCAACGTCTGGAAGACAATATGAAGCCATTAGTGAGAATACAATCGATGCTAATCCTGGTTTGTGTCCATTTCAAGAAAGACATGTGTTTTGTCAGACAGACGTCTCATACAATTGTTTTCGGATACTTTCATACAATATATTGGCCGACATTTATGCCGACTCTGACTATTCCCGAACTGTTCTCTATCCCTATTGTCCGCCCTATGCTTTAGCTATTGATTATAGGAAACAATTACTTTTAAATGAAATCATTGGTTATAATGCAGACATTTGTTGTCTACAAGAAGTGGATAAATATGTGTTTAATAATGATTTAAAACCAATACTTTCTTCACTGAAAGACAAAAAATTTCGTTCATTTTTTAGTGAAAAGGGAAATACTGGCGAAGGTTTGGCTACTTTTGTCAATGAAAATAGATTTGAAGTGATTAACACTGAAAAAGTCAATATTTCTAATGAACTCAAAACAAATCCTATTTTTGATAACTTATTACACAATATTAGTGCCAATGAAAAACTTTTTGACCGATTAATGGCTAGAAAATCAATAATTCAAGTGATTCTCGTTAGAGACTTACAAGTAAATGATAAGACTTTACTTATAGGTAATACTCATCTCTATTTCCATCCCGACTCCGATCATATCCGTCTCATTCAATCATATATTTATGTTAAATATATTGAAAATTTGATTAAAGTATTGTCAGAAAAGGTAAAACTATTACTTAATTAATACTATTTCATTCAAACTTTTCATACAATTTATTTATCAATAACAGAGACCCGAATTAAATGTTTCTCCAATTCTTTGCGGAGATTATAATAGTTGTCCAGAATTTGGTGTTTTCCAACTCATGACAAACGGTTTTGTAGGAAAAGACAGTCAAGATTTTAGAAGCAGTTAGTTGTTGTCATAAAACAGATCTCAAGTGTTGATACAGAGATGAGACCGAAGGTCTTATAGTTGTCTAATAATAATAATAATAACTATAAATTTAATACTAAAGTACTGTATTATACAGACTTTAAAACTTTGGTCTGATTTCTGAATCAATTTTGATGAATGTTTTTGTAAATTTTCACTACATATTGGAATTGATTAACAATTATATATTTTATTCAATTTATATATCAAGACTCGGATGAAACTATTGATGGTTTGGATTTGAGTCATAGTTTAAGTTTTGGAAGTGCTTGTGATGAACCAATTTATACCAATTACACTCCATTCTTCAGTGGTTGTCTCGATTATATATTTTACGACAAAAACAATTTAATGGTATCAGAAATAATACCACTTCCCGATCACCAACAGGTCTCGGCTAACACAGCACTGCCAAGTATTGTCTTCCCATCCGATCATTTGGCAATCATTTGTGTTCTTCAATGGAAACCCAGTTGAACCGCATTTTAATTATAAATTCAATTTTATATATCAAATGATAACATATTTGGTATTAAATAAAAATTTAATTTAAAATCATTTATTTAGTTGTGATTTGCGATAAAGTTTGATATGAATTGCGGAAACAGTTCTCTTTTGAGTGAAGGACTCATTAATATCACGATTGTGTCCAATGGGCTCAAAGTCATCCATCATATCCACCGATGATGTCGTACACGATATCTCCAAGTGGTTGGATTGTTGTAGTTGAAGAGCCATATTAATGGCCCGATTGACGGCTTTGGCCAATCCATGTATGACAATGTGGTCACAGTTGGTGTCCAGTGTTTGTTGACATCGTTTCAATTGAACTCCAAAATTGGTTTTCATATTAACATTGAAATGATTCAATTGTTTCGGCAAATGTGTGGCCAATCTCTTCCGTAAAACATATTCTTCTTTATCGACTCGCAAACTCTTTGCCATATCTTTATTGTCTTTCGAAGTCTTATCCATTTCTGTTAATTATCACAACTATTACCACAAGTGATGTCAACAATGCTTTTGAATGAAACAAACATCACATGCAATGCATTCAACAAATTCAATACAAAAGGGGTTTTTAAATAATTGTGAAATGAATTTTCTAAACAAATAAAATCATTAAATTTGTTTAATTTAATAAATCAATAATAAACTAAAATTATAACAAAAAAAATATCGACAATTATTATCTTAAAAATTAATAATATATTCTCTAAAAATTTAGTTTTCAATTTAATCGTAAAAAACTTGTTTTAACAATTTAGATCATTAAATAATAATATTAAATAATAATTTTATCAATAGATATATTTGTTATTTAAAATTTATATTATTAATAGTATATAATAATTACTCGATTTAAAAATGAGATGTAATAATAATAATAATAATAAAATATGAAATGACATTCAAATGGAATACAATTGATTTTAACGCCAATTATTTAGTGAAAAAATATGTATTTTGTGTTTTATGAATAAATGATTGAAAATGTGATAAAATGTAAAAAAATTAATTTAAAATTTTTTATAAATGAATAAATATTTACTAATAATAATAATAATGATTTCTAGTGTGTATTTATAATTATTAATAAAATATATACTCTTTAATATATATATTTATAAATATATATATAATTTAATAAACTTCAAGTCTCTATAAAATAACTAAAATTAGTCAACAATAAGATCACTCAAAGCTATTGTGATGTCAGTGTCTCAGAGTTAGCATCACTTGCGTTCTCATTAATAGCCAAATCTGTTTGTTCCGAATCAATGGTTAGATTATCATTATTGGTAACCGTAAGTGAATTGTCTTCACTTTGTTGTTGATTAACTTTCTTTGCCTGATGTGTCTTCAAATGTTTAGATAAGTGATCGCTTCTCATAAAACGCTTCAGACATTCAGCGCATTGAAACCGTTTTTCGCCTAAATATAAAACAACAGTAATTATAAATATTTTTTTACCTAATAATCATTTAACACAACAAACCGGTATGTGTTCGCCGATGTCTTTGTAATTCATCAGAACGGGTGAACCGTTTGCCACAGAAAAGCCAATTGCAAACAAAAGGTCGTTCTCCTGTATGCCACCTGAGATGTGCCCTCAAATGAGATGTCTTTCCATAAACTTTATTACAGCCGGGAATATGACAGATGTGTTGTTTCTTTTTTGTTTCGCTATTTCTTCCCTCGCCATCCCTACAGTTAGGACAAGTACAGGCCACTCGTCTCATTTTACGTCCGGTTCCCGGTTCACTGCCTGGCGTAGCTGTTCCATCAGTAGTAGGAGTGGCGGTAAAAGAGCCCTGAATAGCATTCTGAACGGCAACATTGGGTGTGGAGACGAGTTGCCATTTAGTCGGATCATTTGGGTCCTGTTGTATTTGTTGGGTAACAAACTGTCCTGCATTTGCAATTTGAATGGCTTGTACTGGACTTAATGGTCCAACTTGTTGACCAGTACTGGTCGGAACATTGGCCACGATGTTACCCGAGGGAGTAATACTTAAGCTTTGAAGTTGCGCTGGAGTAGCGGTAATCATCTGCTGTTGACCCCCGCCTTGCAATTGAATTGTTTGAAGACCTCCGACCCCTTGCACTTGAATCACATTTTGAGCTGTTCTTAAACCTATCAGTAATTTAATCATATAATCATTTATATAAATAAAATCATTAAATATAATACCTCCTAATCCCTGAATATTCAACGAATTTGTCGGCCAAACGGGTGCTGATATAAGTTGACCGATTTGACCGTTAGGTAACTGTACATTTGCCAGTACTGTTTGGCCGGCGTTATTGGACGTAACAGTCGAAGCGTTATTACTCTTTAATTTAATAATTATATTATAATCATATTTAAAAATAAATACAACTTTATATATGATATCATTACTTGATTTGTTTGATTATTTGTGTTGTTTTCAGTTCCCGGTTCTTGTTTGATGGCTGTTTGTGTATTGTTTGCTTGTGATACTTGAATCGGTGCCATTTGCACCTGTATTTAACAAATATTAATAATCATATTACAAGATCTATATCATATTTGAATACCTGTTGCATTTGAGGAACTACTTGTGCTGTCAATTGCTGGATATTAGAGGCGTTGAGAGATTGAAGCGCTTGAATCGGTAAATGAATTGTTTGTAGAATAGTTTGTCCATTTTGTGTAGAAATTGCCTGAACGGGAATCGTTTGTTGGACAGGCAATTGATATGTCTGTACAACATTTCCCTGTCTTACGGCAACAGTTTGACCGGGAGATGCATACTGTCCTAGCGATACATTTCCAATTCCGGGTATAAAAACTGTTTGTTGTGCCGCTTGTTGTTGTTGTTGTTGCTGTGCATTCTGTTGTCTTACAACTGTTTGATTGGGTGACGACAACAACTGATTGCCAGATAATTGGATGGCCTGTTGAGCTCCAGGAATAAAGATGGCTTCCTGACCATCGATCTGAAGTTGCTGCGGCTGAAGAATGCTATAAATGCCAGCATTGGTGGCAGCCGTTTGCGAGAATAGCTGAGTAGCATTGGATAAGGCATTTGTATTATGATTGGTGGCCACTGAAGTTATCGCTTTGGTTAGTGTTCCCACATTACCAGCACTGCTTACGGCCGACACAACCTGTGGATTGAGTTGAGTGACAGTTCCGTCAGGATTTAGTACTCCAAGCGTTTGTCCGGAGTGGACAGGGATTAAGTGCGCAAAGTCTGAAGCCTGAATCACTTGATTCTGGCCGACAAGCTTTACAGTAGTGGTGGCCGCGTTAGGTTGACCGCTGCCCTCAGCCGACAGTTCACTAGGAGAACCTATTTTACTACAAGTGGCCGCTAATAGAGCTAAAGGTGACGGTTGTTGTTGTTGATGATTACCCGATGATTGACTCTGTTGTTGGGTTTGACTCTGACTTTGGCTTTGCGAAGAGTCCTATCATTTAGAGGTTAGAGTAAAGGCGGGGTTAGATCATAGTCTTGTTGGGAGGGGTCGTACACTTGGATACAGTGCTGGGAGGGGTAGGCACTCCCAACACACCGTCGGGTCAGACAAGAGCACAGCAGTACAACACCAACACTGCCTAAGAGGTGGAGAACCGCACATATCATCAAAACATAACTTTATATCTACCACTGCTATACCATTACAAGTGCCTCAGCATTGCTATCGATTAAACAATTGCTTTACTATTACATAGCATAGCACTGGCAGCTCATTAGTCTTGTTAGAGATGCTAGCGATTGGCTACCAGTCCTCTCATCCCTAATCATACTTTGCATTCACACAACTCTTTACCGTTAACTTTGATACCATCCTTACAGATGACATATCACATAATCATATGTTTATCACTACCACTACCCATAAGGTCTAACCCTAACTCATGTCTCAATCAACGGCAAAACACATGTCTCTCATATGACCAGAAAAAAAGACAATTCAATGTCCAAGAAGTCAATACCTGATTATCATTGACGACAAATTCGTCCACCGATTGGTTGCCATTAGTCGTTGAACTCATCACTTGTCAACTCATATATAAACAACTTTTTTTTGTATAACTATTAATAGTTAATATAATACAGGTATGGCTTTGTTAGGGCTTTCCACTCAACACAACAACAATGCTATTCATAACTAATCTATTAATTAATAAGTTATCAAAATTATAATAACAATTAATATAATAATAATTAGTATATAATTAATATAAATATTTAATAAATAAATAGTAAATCAAAATAAGTTGTAATAAGTATTGAATGAGAGTTGAAATGTTGTATTATTTAGGCGTTGGGTTAGTTTGAGTGTATGTGTGCTCCACCTGAACGTTGGGTATGGCTTTCAATAGGACTTACTATGGATTGTATGTATGAATGTATGTATGGGTTGTATATATGGGTTGACTATTCAACCAAAAGGCACCACAAAGAGGACGAACACCACTTCACTCCGTCGCACCCAATATTCATACACCAAAACATATAGTCCTTACATGACTTACCATTATTTACATCCATATCATTGATACTAACTGTCCAAACACTGTCCATAGTGTCAGTGATGGACACTAATTGTTATCAAATCATTGATTGCATAGAAAATCAATTGATAATCAATTAAATACAATTGCAATACAATGAGTGCGTAATAATACATGTAGTCATGCAATGAGTGTATGGATTGCCATATATTAAGCATTCAATCACTACTACAGAGTGTCTCAAAATTTAGGCTTAAATTTGATAAATATTTTCAATTATTTTATTATTATTTCATTGATTTTAATAATCAATTAAACATTATTTGCATTTTATTAGCCATACATTAGAGTCCAAAACAATTGATAAATGCATTTGTTATACAAATAAATATAATAAATATTAAATAAAAATGAGAAATGAGTTCAATATATGTGAGACGTGGCGGTCAGTCATAGCTATACAAGTGCTGTATATATACAGTATGTCTTATAGAGCACTGGTATGTATGGAAGGGAACAACCATTGGGAACGACCTCAAGTATGCGGAGGCGTTCACAGCGCTTATTATAATATGCCATTCAATTGTCGGGACTGTTGTGGCCTAACCCGACTCGTGTGGCCACACGTGTGACACACCCTTCCCATTGACTGACACTCCAAGCAATACAAAGTGTACATCACTTACACTCATAACACACACACAGACACACCAAACAATTGTCACAATCGTTATAATCACTACAATCAATGCAAATGTATATTAATTTTGCTTACCTTAAGATCAGTTGACATAATTATGACGATTCAAGTGATTAATAAACAGTTTAAGCATTGAATGATCAATAGGTTAGACCAGTTGTCATACATTTGGGCCAACACTCAGATATACAGACAAACAGTCAGACATTGAATACATTATTACATAACATATTATACGACATATTATATTATATATTGATTCATATCATTGACTCAATTCATTCATTCATATATCCATTGCATACACACATTCATACAACAAGTTTATAACAATCATTGCTTTTATTTTTACAAATTATATTCAATTTTACAAAATTATCAAAATTGTCGAAAAGATTTCTTAATATAATATTAATTTAGTAGTACTTTAGTACTGTATTTCAAATGTATTCCCTTATAAATTAGGAAAATATTTAAAACAATTGTTTAAATAAAAATTCAAATATTTATAATATAATAATATTTTTCTATAAAAATTTTGATACACTTATAGTACCTGGATAATATATTGTATTTATCATATGTTTAGTCAATCAGTAGATAATAATCAATTAACCAATAAATCAAATGAAAATTAATGTATTTGAAACAAACTAACGAAAAATAAATAATTAGTTTTTCATTTATTAGTCATTTATAGTTTATTTAGAAACTATAATTTAATCAGTTAATTAAATTATCTAATTGTATTGATTTATTATTTTATTAATTGATTAAAAGTTATAATGATTTTATGATAATTGCATTTTAAGTTAATTTTCAATATAAAATAGTTTTCATGTCAAATCTAATATAACTTTATTATTAAAATTAATTAAAATTATATAAATATAATATTTGCTTTTTAAATAATTTAAGTTATTATATAAACTAATCGGGAATTTATTCAAATGAAGGTAAATATATAATAAGCAGATATTAACTTAAAATTTTAATATTAATACTAAATATTTGTATGTAAATTATATAATAAGATAATATCACTAATTTATATACTAATTGCAATATAAGTTGATTTATTGGTTTATAAATGATTAGTTGATATTTTAATATTTATTTTTAATTTATTTGTCAAACATTTTTAAAAATATAATCTAATAATTATCATTGGGTTATGTAATCATTAGTGTCTTGATTTCCAACTAAAAAAATTATTTTGTCGGTTCAACGCTTATAACTGGGACTTAGTATGTCCACCGAAGTTGACCAGTGGACGCTATTTCCGAAATTTTATTATAACTATAAATAACTATTTGTTGGGTTAGAAACTATAAAAACTTATAAATAATTATTTCATTGATTTTGAAAAATATAAGCATTAATTTGTAAAATATTGCACAAATATATGTAAAAACAAAAAGTAATAGTTATATAAATTATATAAAATCTGTAAACTGTTATCAACTCATATTACTTTTTTAACAATAGAAATAATTAGTTTATTTATATAAATATAGAGAAGGTTTGTTTGTAACGTTTAGTACTAAATATTATAGCAATACATTTCAATCACATGTTTAGCACTAAATATAGCCAATAAATACGTAAAACAATAAAGCAATGATTGAAAGTTTATTTTATTGTCTATAAAAGCGCGCAAATTTAGGGTATAGTTATTTGAATACATTTTTTATGGACACTATAATAGCATTACAAAAAAACCTTTGCAAACAAACCTTCTCTATATTAAACCATTTTTGTAAATATGCTGAAAACAAGTGAATTATATATCTGTTGAAATATTTATAAGATAATAAATAACTATTTCAATAACTATTTGGCTTTTTTGGCAATTATATACAACTATTTAATACAGTTTAAATAACTATTTTAACAACTATTTGACTTTTTTTAGTAACTATTATAACAACTATTTAATAGAGTATAAAAAATTATTAATCAATACACTAGTAATCATTCAATATATTGTTTAAATGTTTATCCATGAGATGTCACACTATGTATTGAACTCTATTTTATCAACAATTTTAGTCAATAAACTATTTGACTGTTCAGTCAACAGATACCACTATATTTGACAATAACTATAAAACTTTGTATTAGTTTTTTATACAGTATTTTAATGGTTTTATAAATACTATTTTAATTTGATATATAATAAAATTCTTTAATTTAAAATTAATTTCAATATTTAAAAAATACAAATAATATAAACAATTTGCACATATCTTGGGTGTCATTAAAACTCCGACCGAACCTATCATATAGTTTACAGCACTGTTGGTCTCAATAACTACAAGACTATGAGTATTAGTGATGTGATGTGTGCTGAGAGCCACCGAAACCATATCGATATCGTACAGCACTTCACTATATTTGTGATTTTAAGTGTATTTAATTAAAGTATTTTTTACTTAAATTATTTAATATGTGTGAAACAACTGCAAAAACACCAGAAAAATAATAATAATTATTATTATTATATTATTATTGCATTACAGGTAATTGTAGAGAAAGTAATTTATATCATATAAATTTAATCATATATTTGTATAAAAAATTGAATTCAAAATAAAATATAATAAATGACATTTAGTATGCTTTATAAAAACAATTTATTGTTGAAATGCAAAACTTGTTGCAATTAATTTCAGTGACAATTTAAAAATTTAATTAAATTAAATCTAATAAAATGTTATTTCTTTTTTGCTTGAAGTCCGGCGCCGGCGTTAAACTTAAACAAAATGATGTCTCCGTCCTCTACCACATAATTTCTTCCCTGTTGTCTGTATTTGCCGGCGCTCTGCAAACAAATCAATTGATAAATGAAATCCAAAAGCGAAACAAAAAAAAAGTGGTATATATTGAGTGCCTTACTTTACAGGCAGCCTCTGATCCTTCTTCCTTGAAGTCATCAAACTTCATGACTTCAGCCATAATGAAACCCTTTTCAAAGTCGGTGTGAATACGACCGGCCGCTTGTGGAGCTTTAGTCTCTTTCTATAGACAGGTAATCATTGTTTTATTTGCAATATCACATACAATACAAATGATAAATACCTGTATAGTCCAGGCTTTAACCTCATCCTTACCAGAAGTAAAGAAGTACTAGAAATCAAAATACAATTAAATAATTAATGTAATATAGATGTCATAAACAGTGTAAACTAACATTTATTAGTTATTATATTATCAATAAAAAATAGTAATCACCTGAAGTTGAAGTGCTTTATAACCGGTTGTTATAATTTTGTCCAAAGCACTGAAATATACACAAATGTTAACGAATAGCAAATATTTGATTAAATATGAAAATAACAAACAACTAAATTGAATTTAAACAAAATTATGTGAAAATATCAATATTTAAGAAACTTATATTATGTTAGTGTTTGCTATAATGATATACTTTAAAGTAAGATAATTATAGATTGGTTTGAATGTGAAACTTAAAATATAAGTTTTATGTTTTAAAATTGAATAAATTTTATAATCAATTGAGAAATATTAATGATAGCAATAAGAAAAACAGTAAAAACTGCGCTAAAATAGACTATCTTTCAATAAAACGTCGATTTTTTCAAAGAAAACGCTAAATAAATGAAATTAAATAAAGCGATAAATAAATTACTTATTTTAGATCACGTATTTGGCCCTACGTTTACATTGGGAATCAATGAGTAAATGTAAAGTTAGGAAAAAAGTTAAAATGCATTTATGTTCACAAAAACTATTGGAAACTCCGACTGAAGTGAGCCTTAATTATAGGGTAAAGCATGTAATCAGCAGTAAATCACTGGTCTTTCAGTGCCGTCATTGGCGTCATTCGCGGAAAGAGCGCATCCATTGAGTCCATCCAAACAGTCAGTCACTACTACTATAAGCCATTGAAACTCTTTCTTTGAGAACAAACACCACTTATAAGAGATTTCACATCTGAAAGAACAACAATTCTTCTAATATTTTGTTCTTTAATTACTTCAAACAATGAACACTATGAGCGGTCAAGAGGTGATGATTATAGAGTTAATCGTAAAAAAGCAGTTCCGCTATAATTATCGATAAAACCTATTCTTTTATTGCGAAGGATGTCATCAAATATATACTGACATAAGTTTACACTAACAGTACCTCAACTCTCATCAAAAAAAAAAAAAAAAAATTCACTAACAATTCATTGACATCTCATTAGATTCAACACAAATCCACTAAATTCTCTATTCTTTTCATTTTGACTTAAATTTTTGTCGTCGATAACAATGGAAAGTCGGTGTCATTGATAGCCCATTCAAATATCGTCTGACAGAAGATTAAATCTAAACAACATTTTCAGATGACATCTAAGTTAGAAGTATTTGGTTTTTAATACAATTATTGATAACATTGAATGACAAGCGTTTCTAATGGAGTTATGTTTTGAATAATAGACAGATTAGTAGGACTTCTCGTCAGTCACTAATCTCTCGGACTAACAGTGTGTCCGATCAAACAGTTTTCAATGAGTTGTATCATTTGAGTCAACTATAGTCACTGAAAGCTTAGATTATAATTTATAAATCATTACTTTTATAAAACTTTTTTTCAGTAGACATTATGCTAACATTTTTGTACTTAACTTTCATATGAATGGCATTTTTGTGAATTACAGTCAAAAAAATATGAATGATGTAAAACATGAAATAAATGGTTTCAAATCAATAATTTGAGCAAAAATTATAAAAATATATAACACATGTTATGTAAATAAGTGTTGAGGGAACAGGGCTTAAAGTTTCCTATATTATTATATACAATACATACAGTATTGGGAGTCAATTGAAATCCGCACAAACCCTGAGAGTAACCCTAATGTATAGCAGTGTAATATACGGTACAGTATATATTATATACCACTAAATATAATATTAATATATCAATTCAAAAGCAAATGCAGAAAAAATCTTAATATATATATAAAGTGTATTTAAGAGTTAATCAAATGCGAAATGTCATGAAATATTAATAAATGTGTTAAACCTTTGTGTCTTATTTTCATCTAAAAATCGTTGTTTATCTTCAGCACTCATTGAGACCAGTTTGGTCTCGACAATACCACTGAATAGTATGACAGCAGCTCCGGAATCATTAGTATCGATCCATTCCTTCATTTTGATGAGCCTATAGTATATAATATAACATTAATAAATCAAATCATATTGTTTCATATGAGTCATTGTTGGACACAATGACCTGAACTGAGGGCACGGGAGTGACACTCATTAGAGTCATTAGAAAGTTATTATTTGAAAACACGGTTCACATTGCAATCATATGGCAAACAATATATGGTTTCAAATGACTAAAAGGTTTGCTTTCATATACCCGATGGACTTCTCAAATGACTGCAATACTCACTCATTCATTAGTATTAAAGCAATCAATGAACAGATGTTCACATATAATCTTATGGTATATTCATAACATATTAGCCTTAAAGGGGTTAATGTAATAATAGTCTAAACATAATAAATAACTAAATAACTGACCACTTGTTCTTCTTGCGGATGAAATCTTTCTCCGATAAGTTTATCAAATAAATCATTGGTTTTGATGTTAAAAACAAGTATTTGTTTAGGATTTCAATCTAATAAATATATATATGATTAGTGATATCATTAACAATCAATTGTCAATCAATCAATGGTTACATCGTTGCCATTCCATTCACCATATCTGATGTGTTTCTTCTCATCCACTAATAGTTGCTTTATTTTCATTAGGATATCCTAACAAATATAAATTTTTAGTCAATATAAACAAATTTAAATAATAATATCACTAACATATTCAGCTTTGTCTTTTTTATCACCCCTGAGCACAGTTTTACCCAATTTGTCGATGGATGCCATCAACTGTTCTTCATCTTTAAGTCTAAGTTCTTCGTTGATTATCTCAATATCTCGAACAGGATTGACATCTCCCTCGACATGAATTACATTGTCGTCTTCAAAGGCTCCTAAACCATAATAATACTATTGTTTATTCAATTCTCAACTCATTTACTAAACTAACTTTTTTTAATTAATAAATAAACTCAAAGGTATTAATATTTAAAAAAAATATATATATTTAAAAAAATAAATAGAAACTAAAAAAATTATAATTAGTAGCAAACATGTCAAAAATAACATCAATGTAAGGGAACACCATATTTAGATCCTCAAAAACAATAACTAGAGTTCAATACAATGTTTCATATAAATCAATACACCCTCTGATGCCTACCAGTCCTTTTTGACACAACCTATAATTTGGTGAACAAGACCTAAGAGATGGATCACATTTGAGTTACAATGCATCACATCATAACAAAAATTAACTACAATATAGAGTGGAGTGCTATTTGCTATAATAAATAACCAAATAATAAAATAAATGTTTCATATAATAAGTAATGCTCTAATATATTGGTCGGCCATTCAAACGATACATTTATAACTGACTTAAGGCTAAACGTATATTAAAGAAAATGCTATACTTTTACGTTTCATTTATTTTATGATCAATTTCTTAAGTGTGTTTAGAGTTAACTATTATGTGTAAAGACCTCAATATCCAACCAAGTTATATATGATGCGCCTCCACAAGAGTCCACTCCACCCAATATTAGCATATTTTCATTTAAAAAAATTGAGAATCAGGTGCTGGTGGTCAACAGTGATTGACTACAAATTGATGTTAACATCGATGAAAGCATTTCAATGTAATAAAACAACAATGTGTTGCACAGTTGTATTCGCTACTGAGATATTGTTAAATTCAGGGACACTCATACTAAACACAAGGTTTTAAGAATATACGGTACAATAGTATAGAATATATATATATATGTATATATCGGGTAATTATAAAATAAATCTCTTAAGCTGTCGAACCCCCAGAGCGAGAGGTGTTTCAGTTCGTCCCAAACTCTAATATCAATGATATTTTGCAGATTATTTCAGTCAATATTGACTGTTATAGCGTTACCTTTAGCTAAACATAGAGAAAACTAATATTTAAGTCAACACTTTGTTTAATAATAATGGCATAAAGTGGCACTCAATCGTAACACAAATAAATATTAATATTATTATATATTTAGTGCTTTAATGTTATTTTAAATATTGTCTAAAGTTTATAATTATTATATATTTTATTATTTAACTAATAATATCAATATATAACTAATAGAAAACTCACTGCAGAGATGAAAGATCGCATCACAGGCTTTAATGTGTGAAAGGAAGGCATTTCCGAGTCCCTGTCCTTCACTCGCACCCTTTACCAGACCAGCGATATCGACCACATTAAGAAAGGCCGGGACTTTGCTGTTAATAATAAATAATATAAAAATAATTGTTATAATTGTTATTTATATTATATAAATAAAAAACTATTAATGTGGCAAACAATCTGTAGAGAGGGAGGGTATTACTCGCCTCTCAGTTCAAGTCAGACAAACTATAGTTATTGTGAAATAACTAGAAATAGCCGTTTTAAGAGAAGAAGTCAGTCTTATTATAAAATGTAATTTAAGTCAAACGTGTCTATCATTTATTAAACGCCAAAGAATTTTAAACGTTTTGTTGGGTCTGAAAAACAAAGTATTTTTAAGAGCCGATCCCTAAACAGACAGTACTTTAAGAGATTCTCATATACTGTACTGTAATGTAATAAATAATGATTTGACACTTTGCTGTTCAACAGACATGTAATGCAATTTGAAACCAGATTTGTTTCATTATAATTAAAGTATACTATTTCTGACACCATTTAAACAATTAGTCGATGTTTTCAAAAGTAATCATCGATAACAAAATCTAACAATAATTAATCAAATCATTTCTGACATCTAATCAAAAGTAAATTAACTATATATACAATATATGTTTTGATAGAAACTATTTTCCATTTCTATTGTATTCCTTTTATAAAGAAATTATATATTTTAAAAAACAAAATTATAGACTGTTTTAATTAAACATATTTTAATAATAATAATAATATATAAGCACTTTATATACAGTATATTTAGTTTCGTATTATAATTATTGGATACAAGAATATGGAAACACGATTCTGGCACAAACTGGTCTCGTCTTAAGGGTGACCAGTCTTTCATCGCTAAACACAAATTATATTACTTTTGTATCAATTATACCACCAATTGCTAAAAAATAATAGTTATCATCAATAATAACAACTATAAGATCTTATTTTCACACTATTCACGCATTTATTTAATATTATGTTCATTACAATCAAATAAAAATAAAATTTAATAAATTTTCGTAAAATCAGTTTAAATATAACTTTGTTAAAACAAACAAAAACCTTTTTAAAAATTAATTAGCAATAATTTTCTAGTAATAAATTTCATGTAAAATACATAAATGTGTAAATGTTAGCTCTGCATTGACTTTACATAAGTTATACAAAAATATTTAACAAATTGTAGTTTTTGCTAATAAAATGCACTTTTTTAATGAGATTTTATTTATGTAGTATATATATAACGCCATATAATAGTTTGAATGATGTATTGCAGTGTTTTTGGTAGATCTCAATGTCTGATATCTACAAAGTTTTTCTCTTATAAAAAACAAAAGTCAATGTTATCCGTCATCGAAGTCATGATTTATTATTCATACAAAAACTATTGATCAATATTTCAAACAATTTTTCGTATCAAATATTGTTATCATTTTTTCGTTACTAATGTTTGACAAAATACAACAAACTTATTACAACTTATTAGTCATACTTTTATAAATATTAGTACAAAACAATAATCAATTGTCAAAATGAGATTGAATGGCAATATTTTTAAATAATAAAAATCAGTTAATGACTAAATAATTAAATATTAATTTAAAAATAATTGTAGTTATTTAATATAATAGTAGTTCATTATAAGTAATTATGAAAACTTTAAGCTTAATTAAAGTAATTGTATGTTATTTTGATTGAAATAAATTCATCGATGCATTGGTGCCCATCCGTTGTCGTAATAATTAATTTAAATTCAAAAGTATTCATTGCTTTCATTACATAACAAACAACAAAGTTTATAATTAATGTTTATGTTTATAAATTATAATCTAAATTATTAAACATTATATTTCTTATTTAGTGTTTTTAACTTATGAATCATAACATCAATTTCATTGCCATAAAAATATGTGAAAAATGTCAAAATAGCTGTTTTTGAAATATAATTTGAAGCAAAATGAAAATGTTTTTATGGAGGCATTCATCAATGTCTACAACAAATTACTGATAAATTCAGTTAAAACTATAGGTGACAGCCTTTAATTACAAGGATATAAACTATGAGTTAAATATTTGCAATTAATTTCAAAATACATCAAACTATAAGATATTTTCTCCAAATTTGCAGACTTGGCTTAACTATCAATGTTTTACAGTATGTACAGTATATATGGCTTTCGAGAGGCCGACTGCCGACTGACTACATGAGAAGCCATAGACTGTAGACACGATCACAACCAACAGCTTATAAATCATTTGGATTTCAAGTCTTTTGTTTTAATTGCAAACACTTATAGACAGTCAAGACTAGAGTCACGACTCAAGAAAGTGAATCACGACTACAAACAGCTGCTATTGACTGCTATCACTGCTTTCATATCGTTTATACCATTGTCTCAATTATCGCATTTTACACTATTGTCCACATTATTCAATATTTTTGCTTTCATATCATCTTCAAATAAATTGCAATTTTTTCAATTATATTCATATTATATTAAATTCATTAATTTAACCATTCATATAGTCATACATTAATATAACAAATTTATGTTTCATAAATTATAGTACACTTTATTATATAATTGACTATTTGGTTAAATATAAAGAACATTAACACCAACAGTAATATAATAAACATGATTATCAAAAAATTACATTTAATATTAAATTCAAATAACTTCTAATAATATAATATATATATAAATTTATCATTACATACCTGTGAGGTTCAAAGTATTGGCACAAGAAGTCAAACCTATGATCAGGTACTGGAACCCGACGTACCTAAACATTGACAATAAATCTATTAAATCTCATGTTATAAATATATTGTGTAAATAAATAATTTTTAATCTATTGTTTAACTTTAAAAATAATCAATAATTTTTTTAAATAGATTCTCTAAGATTAGTTTCCTGATAATGCAGTTATTAGTTTTGTTACTATAAAAATATTTAAATTATCAACAAATTATGTTAAAAATAACAATAGTATGACAATTAAATTAAAATTTTAAAACGTTGTAATATATATTTTTTATTTAATAATTTCATAACTTTTCAATTAGAGTATTGTGTTATTTTTGGCAATTAGTTATAAAATAATTACTAGTAAATGTGTTTCAATAAAAAAGTTTATTATTAACAAACTGTATATCAGTGTTATTATATAAATTAGCATAAAATTAAAGTGTAATCTCAAGGAAATCAACTTCATTTTGCTAACAATTACTTCATTTGAGTTCATAGTAAGACATTTTTTGCTATGAAATAATTAAACGAAAAAATTATCTCAAATAACGACTGCAATAGTTCTGTCTTATAATTGAGAGAAAGAGAGAAACACATCTCAAGAGCTGACGTTAAGAATTCAATCGAAGGTCAGACCAATTATGGCATCTCTTTTTAAAACTATTTTTTCTTCAGAAATACAACTTATGTCTTGAAAGCTAAAAATATTTGCCAATTATTTCGTCGATATTAAAATCATTTCATAAAACATAACATGTCTTTCAATGTAATAAATCAAATATTTTTTTTGCTATAAATTTTATCAAATTGTTAGTTGTTTTGCTTTTAATCGTTGACTTATATGAAATGTATTTCAAAATTGGCGCACAATTTGTCTGATAAATAGTAAACATGTGTTGTATTGAATTGGGTTGACGTGTATTACAAACTGAAATGTCTTAAAATGGTAATCACTGGTTGGAAGTGATCATAATATAAGATATTTATAAAAAATACTTATTTTCATTCGGATCTATTGTACAAAACGGAAAATTTTCAGCCGCGGCCTCACTTTTGGTTAAGACATTGAAAAATGTAGATTTTCTGTATAATAGATGATAAAGACATTATTTAAGACATGCGATCAACTAATTGGTCACTCAAGTGATAATACCCGACATTAGGGACGCCAACAATGCCGACCTTAAGATTAGTGGACAGTCGGCCTAAAAGTATAGTCTTCGGCGTATCTTTCGATTCCTTCTTTGGCGGCATATCTTTGATTTGCTAATCAATTTAGTTGTGAATTAAGTAAACAATTGATTGATGTCTTGAACACCAAATGACACAAAATATATGATAAAAACCGATTGAAAGACACTTTGTTTTGATTAGTTGTCGGCAAATATGGCGGTTATTGCACAACACGAGGACTGTCTGATTGAGCGCATGCGTCATATAATGTGCTTAAGTATACAATTTGTATACAATATAACAGAAATATTGCAATATTTGTCACTAAATTTATTATTGAACACTTTCTATACAAATAACATTACAGTAAATTTAATACAACTTTTTTTCCTATTTGAATGTCCTATCATTGTTAGCACAGTTAGGAGTCCTAACTTATGACAGTATCGTGTGTTTGATTTGGTTTAATATGTACTGTATATGAAAAGTTTATCCATTATTATATTCATACAAATGACATACAATTTATAAATGTATTCACAAATTGATTCTGTATTTCATACAACAAAACAAATTTAAAATGATTTCAATATTTTAGAAATAATTTATATTATTTAAAAAGTTTTATTAACATTTGAATTAGTATTAGTTTAAGACAATAATTAGCTATAATATTATGGTAATTGAAGTGTAATTTTGGAAATTTGATAAAAAATTGTTGAAAATCGATAGATAAACTTAAGTAAATTGGTTGGCTATAAATTTGTTATATAAATTTATCTATATGTTTGCTAATTAGACAAATAAATATTAAGCAAAAAGTTATAACAAAAAAATTTATCAAAATTTGATCGCAAATGAGATCATAGACCTGAAGAGCTAAATAAAGCTTAAGATGTGATCAGAGGTGCGACCGCTTGTTTGGTGCGGATAATTGCAAATGTCTTTAATCGTTATAATGTTTATAATGAAGATAAATATATCTTTAGGCAAAATGATTTGCATTGTATTGAATTCATCACAAGAGTACCATTGGTTGAAATGCCAGTGAAATCAGCCTTTAATTTGAGATAAACTATACACTAGTTTTGGAGTTTTCTTCTATATATTGTGTGTTTGTCTACCTTTACATATAATATATAAGATTACATATGATATATATGTTGGATAACATAATAAGATAAATGTTTTGGTTTATAATATTGAAGTCACTGTTCGTAATGCAGGTGTTCTTCATATTCCTCAATGGGTCGGACCATCATATAGTAGAAAGTAGTCACTTATGAATGCTGTCATCCGGAAAACGGGTGGGACTTGGAGTCTATCAGCTCTGGTATACTGTATGTATGGGATTGTGAAGAGCACCTAAATGTGTGCGCATTTCAAACATTGTTTCAATTGATGTTTAGCTAAGAAAACATTATAACATTGTTTTCATTCATCTATTTTTTACAAATTTATTTAATATAATACTGTATAATGTGTGCCATTCATCGCAATGATTTAATCTAATTTATTTTAATGTCTTGTTCTCTAATTTATCAAAGTGTTATTATTTAAATTATAATATAAATTTAGTATTATATTGTCTTCTTTATTAAATTATTATAAAAGTTATTATTTGTTAGAAATATAAAAAACTGAATCTAGTTTTCAGACAACTTAATTAAACATAAGAAAACATAAAATTTTAAAAATCTATTAATGTTTATAATTATTACTCTTAATGAGACAATTAAAGCATTTATAAAATTAAAATCTTGTCATAAAATGAGACAGTTATGAGTTTTGTGAAAAAAACAATAATAATAAATAATAATAACAATTATTCAATACAAGAAATAGCAAATCGTCATTATATAACGGAAGTCATATTAAAGTCAACTTAAATCTAATTAAACCATTTGTTTAAAGTATTTTTAAAGTTATTATTATTTGATAATATATTTAATAAATTTTAAACAATTTATTCACGCAAACACATTGTGTGTGATTTTTTATGCATTTAAATAACTATTGGATTCAAAACAGTGTTGTTTGTGTTCAATACTGTCTTTAAAGACAATTAATAATTTAATAGCCGTTTAAAACGTTACGAATCAATTGTTTTGAAATGCAGGTAAGCAAACATCATATTTGATTATTTTTACAATAATTTATACATAGTTTAAGTACTCATCAATTATTTAAATCAAATTAATATACGTGTGTTCACAGAATTAATACTTCGTTTATTTTTCTATCTATTGTTTTATGTTAAACCAATTATATAAATCTCTGACTTAGTAAATAGCAAATCATTTAAGTATTTAACTTATAATAATATGCAGTACTCGTAATGCTATTTCTAATTTATATTTAAAAAAATTGATTAATATATTCAATGGCAATGATTCAAGATTTAATTATAAACTCGATGCAAATTAATGTGACAATAACTATTATAACTATTATAATTTATTTTATCTTAATATATAGTACTATACTTTTTTTTATTAATGATAAAATGCATATATGAGATTAAACTTAACAAATAATAATATATAATTTGTTTTAACGACTCATTTAAGCCAAATAATTAATTACTTGTTTATTAAATTCTTGTGATTATTACTATTATTATTCAATAAATTCACACGAAATTTCTTATTAAAATTTTAACACTAATGTTAAAGCAAAAAATTGTTTTGTTTTTTGTGAATAATTATAGTTTAAATAGTAAGAGAAGTAAAAGCGTTTAAAATCTCATTTGTAATCAAAAACTAATCAAATTAAGAAAAATAATTTGATTTTTATGAGAATTTTTCTCATATTTATCTTTTAAATGAAATTAAGTGGGCTTTCAATTGAATGCCTAACAAATCGATTCATTCACAGCATTAGTATTGGATGAATGCCTTAAACTTCATGTGCTTTACTTACACATTGGTTGTCACTGTTTCACACAATATCACTATATTCTCACATTTCTACTATAGTTCACACATTTATTGTCAATGCATAACATTAAATACTGTGATTTTTTTTATTTACACTAATAAAATTAAATTATATAAATCATACTGTAATTTTATATTGTCAGATAATTAATTAAAAATATGTCAGTATATATTATATTAACATATCTAAAATGTAATAATTAATTTGAATATTGTGTTGACTAAAATGATATAATGTTGTGGTAATAAATCTAAAATATCAATACAATATTTAAAAATATTCAACAAAACTGGTGTTATGCCTATTATTATTATTATTATGGATCAATTAAATTGATTTCTAATGCAAAGTGTGATTAATACTGAATCAAATATTGATTTCATAAAATATTATTACAATAGTGTTACTAATATTAAAGAGGGTTTAAATTCAAATCATATCACATATAGATTTAGCAATTTGTTATCATTAAATATTTAGTGCTTAACTTTTATATAAAGCTTTTTTTCATTTTTTTTATTTTTTTAAAATTGATAAATTATTTAAATACATGTTTATTGATGTTTTAAATAAAATCTCATAAATGACAATTATTTTGATAATTATTTTTTAGTTAAGCAAAACAAGCTAAATGTATGTAAGCTAAACAAATGACTTAAATAATAGTTGCATTTTAAAAATAATATATTATCTAAAACAAAATTGATATATATATTTAATTTTATTTCAAAACAAAAAATATTTTTAAGCAATTAGTCTATAAAACTCGGTATATGATTAGCAGATATTTTGACATTATTTAGTTTAAGGAAAACAACAAAAAGACAATCAAAACTTACCCAAACTCTTATTAATCATTACAATGTATGTATTATACAATATATATAGTTCACACCCTTATTTCGATATATAAATATATATTAAATACACAAAACCTATGCTATAATTTGTAAGTTTACTAACGTTGTAATTAAGAACCGGATAAAACTATAATAAATTACTAAAAATTTATATTTAATATTTCTATAATCTTATTTCAAAAGTACTTTTACTAAAATATTTGACATAATTTTTTTTACTATAGTTTATATTGATTTACTACTAAATATAATTACTTTTAAATTTAACAATATTCACTATGAATTAGATAAAATGTTTCAAAAATAAATTGAACATAAAATTTTTGGATAACAAAAAATTTGTTAAATAACATGAGTTAAACTGATGATTAAGTAAATGATATTTTACATGGTTGATCATAGGGAAAACAGTTTGCAAAAAAGTCAATTTATACACTATATGTCAAAATGAATTTTAATATATCATTCAATCTTTAAGTGAAACACAATATAAGATTCAAGTTTTAGGTGTTTTAATGAAATATTATAAAATGATTGACAGATACATCAAAAATAAATAACCTGTAGATTTCACTTTAGTATATAAAGCTTAGATTATTTTTATAGTTAAAGTTTTTAATAATATGATTTTGAAAGCTAAATTACCAAAATCTTATAGATATTATAAATACAATTCAATAAAATTTTGTTTTCCATGACATCTAAAATCTTTAAATAACTATTTTAAACATAGTATAATACTTTACTTTATATATATTATATAATATATTGTTATATTAATGTATGTATTATAAAATTAGCTTAGACTCTGTATAAATAGTATATCATTTATGTCCAAATAAGGAAAATAAAAATTATCATTATATATATGTAATTTATTATATTAAATGTCATTAAAAATAAAAATTTAGATAAAAATTACAAATTATATTAAGATAAAAAATTTGTTTTGGTATTAATAAATAAACACTACTTTGAAGTTTACTTAAAATTGCATCAGTTATTTAAGTTTGTGTTGATAATGAAAATTATGATAGTATATGTGGCAATCACTTTAATTACATTTAAATTATAATGTTTTTATATAAAATTATTGAAATTAAAAGCACATTGCAATTGCATAAAATGTGAAATAAATTGAGCCATTATTTTATTAAATTAATTTAAGTGCTATATTTCCTGTTTTTTGTATTATAATGATATTAGTATAAATTTTAACTATTTTTATTAAACCAATTTAAATTATAATTTATTTTTAGTTATTTTTGTTTCTTAAGATAATCTATTATTATTGTTGTTAATTATATTTTATTTTACATATTAATTACACGACACAGTAGTTTGTCATAAATGTTATGTAAATTGGTTAGACATGATTTGGCTCATCTCTGTATTTTATTCAATAGATTTGAGATTCAAAAAGCTTTAACAAACCGAAACCATTTATTTGATTAAAATAG